GTACATTAAAAGTGGCACCATGCTCTCGAACTGCCCATGGATCAGCTCGCGACGCAGGGACAACAAGTCGTTAGCCATGAAGCCCTGCCGAGCTACCTCCCTAAAGATGCCTTCCATGATTTCGTTGTTCTCTTGACAGTACTTTGGTGGCATCTGTATCTGGTAGGCATAGCTGTGGACGTAAAGAGAGAGGAATTAGTGAAGTGATTGGGTTATTAAAAGAGTGGCCCCAGAAAGATATCACTTACTGTACAAGCTCCATAAGCTGATGAATGGCGATATTATCTTCTCGTCTCTTCATGTATTCGGCAATCGTGGCTGGCGTCACCTTTTTGCGGTCCAGCTGCGACTGCGCCGACGAGATAATGAAGCGACACTGCTCGTTACAGAAGCGGCCATTGGACTCTAAGGGTATGGCCACAGCGTCAGTAAAAGAATATACAGTTTTTGGAGTCATGGTAAAGACAGGGGGGCCAGATTCCGACGTCTGCTTACCGGCATTGCCCCGAGCTCGAATCGTGACGCCTATGTCCCAAAAACTCTGTATCGCCGGGTTCGAGCTAGGGTTGGATGGCGTCTTTCGATCGGTGAGCAGCGACTCTCGGACAAGCTGGAGAGTTTCATCGCGATAACGCTCGACATCTATGGGCTGCTGCAGCATGGCCGCGTCATCGATTGCTGTACATTTGTTTTAGTCACGTGTCATATCCTTGTGCTGACGTAGAATGTCTATACCATCATCCCATGGAAAATACTGTTGACTGCAGTTAGTTATGGTCCTGGCCATGGCCTATATGAAGGACCTTATTTGTTGGACTAACCCATCCGATGAGCTTCGCTATGGTTAGGACAACCTCCGGGTCGGCTCTAGGGAAGCCCAAAATAGCGAAAGTATCTCCTCCACAAGCAGCCAGCTTTTGGCGGGTGCGTTCATCTTTGAACCAGCTACAAGCGATAGAGTCAGATCCAGAGGTTCTCTGTTGAGATTCGAAAGTGGAACACGTCGATATGAACTGAGACAGAAGGATGACTTACTGCAGGCACCATTCCTTATATCCAGCTCGGACGAACTCGAGATGTGGGCTTCGATCCACCCTCCACGTTGGGCTCAGTTCTTCGACACTCGGAATCACCAACTTGCAGCCCTCATAGGCGTGTACAAGCCTCCCTAGTGTCTGTGCCTCGGCGAGGGTATCCATTTCGACGAGCAGGATATCAGATATAAGAGGCAATCAGTCAGATACGGTCCCTTGGTCGCAGAATAGATGTGAGCCACAAGAAAACTCTGAGCGAAAGCTGAGCAGACCTGTACACTCGCTAGCAGAATCAACGTCCTCCTTTTAATCTCTCTCAGTCTCCCTAAAGGCTGCAGACCCTAATGGGGCAAAGACCCACCCAAAAGTCATATCACTCGATTCTGCCTTCTGCCGGCCCCTTGCCCAGCGGCCCAGCCAGAGCGCTGGCAACAGGAGACGTACTGTCCTCCAATTAACACACTTAACAGGGGTGTAAGTTGACACCATGGATGGCTTCTTGTTGTCGCTGCATACGGTGGGGTGTAAGCTGACACCATGGGTGGCTGCTTCCTACCGCTCCTACGGTACTCCGTATCAAGTTTTACAACTTTAACCGTGTAGCGTGACGCATCTGAGCTCAGAACGAAAAAGCTCATGCTTTCTCCCATCAATGCACTTAGTTTCAGCACGTTAGCAAATTTACAACCTGAAGGATTGAAACTATAGAGATTGAGAATAGAATTGATAACGACATCCATATTTTCTAATACGCTAAGGTTGTTAATGCATACCTAGGTTCGCCCACAGGGATTTTCAGAGGCTGACTATTCTAGTAACAGGTCCTGTTCTGGATCTGCTCATGTGGTTTCGCTTCTATTCCGTATACTTGATCTGCCAGTCTGCATATACCCATCGATCGCCCAACTGCAGCCAAGATTGGGATTGCTCGGGCGAACAGCCAGCGAGGGGTGGAGCTCATTGCAGTCCTTCAAAAGATGAGGGGCATGTAAAGCCAATAATTGAAGGGAGCCAAGGGGCGATTACCGAACAATCAGATCACGTTCCAACAGAGCAGCCGATCTGCATTCCATTGCCTGTCGTGGACACGATATGCACACTACCCCGTGCTCCGGAGCGATGGATTCGCCCACAGGGATCGTTGGAGCGGGCAGGGGGGTTGAAGAAAGCTCGGTAACAAATATCTATCGAGAAGGAGTATGGGATTTTCTCTCCTGCGCAGGTGCAGCAGTCTTAACACTTCACTTCAATGAACCTGATCAAGAAGTAAAAAGACCATTAATCAGAGCACACCTATGGGTGTACTGAGTTGGAAGTCCCATGGTCTGACTGAGGGAATGTACATGCGATGGTCCACTCGGAGGTCTTGGTGCTATGTAGGTCGAATGGCAGAGGCTGCCACGGTGTGCTGCGCCATCTTACAGCTTACGGGTAACTCCCAATGATGTACGTTTACCTTCCAAGGTTCTTCATCCTATCGTCCAGACTACTATACACGGTTCTGGGCCGTACCCACTATCAATGCAAATTGCTCGTATAGACGATGATTCAAGGGTTGCAGTTGCCTGAAATACAGGGGTAACTGTCTAATTATAGCATGCAGGATCTGAATATCATGTTGTCTGACAGGATTTTCTTTTGCTTGGGGTGCCACTATCAACTCTATGAGCCTGAACATAAGTCACAGGTGCAGTAGCTATATGTTTCTCACTGCCCTTTGGACCCCGTCCACTGACAGATGAGTATGTCTACTCATCTTATTGATTACGAGCATTCTTTTCACTGCTAGCCTTCAAAAACCCTCAGAAATTCGGGAGAAGTTACAATCAAACATGGCTGTCAGCGTCGCTACTCCTGAAGTATTGCTTTTAGCAATTGCTACCTTTGTGCTCTATGTAAGCAAACCATGCTCCTGAAACACTCGCCGTATTGATATACGTCTAGTATGTAGCCAGTGCTTTCTATTGTATCTTTTTTCACCCTCTCTCCAAATATCCTGGGCCGTTTCTGTCAAAATTTTCCGGTTTACCATCCTTTTATCATACATACCGAGGGAACCGACATATTTGGCTTTGGCAATGTCACGAGATATATGGTGAGTCCATTCTCCTATATGTTCGTTCCAGACTTATCTACCTCTGCTGCACTCAGACATCTTAGCTTGAGTCTTTGATCGCTTCAAGGCAGATTCTGGAGGGGGCCGAACACGTAGAGCAAACTAGATTTGCACGATTCGTTTGTACCCCAATATATGATCTAACAGAGGTAGGCGATGTCGTCCGCTCTTCTTACGATACCCTCATGTTCTCAAATGCCGAGACTTATCGGGAAATCTACGGCGGGCATGCCAACGTCCAAAAAGCATGGCAATTCGGAGTTTGGCCCAAGGACGCTATCGCGGTGAGCACGTTCGCTTGCACGGACAAACATGAACATAAGCACCGCCGTCGAAATCTCGAATATGCCTTCTCAGACCGTGCTGTCAGATCAGCTGAGCCATTTATCGTCGAGCACGCGGATCGATGGGGCCCGCTGCTGGCAGATGGAGCAGAGGACGAATGGAGTGAGCCGAAGAATATGACGGAGTGGGCCGACAGTTTCGTATTTGACATCCTTTGTGACCTGTGCTTCGGATGGACCTACGAGACGAAAAAGCCTGGGCCCAACAAGTTCAGGACTGTTCCTCACGATGTCGCCCAGTATATGAAGTTCACCTATACTGTAAGATGTTCAGCGTGATCTTGTGACTCGGTCGCTAATCAACGCCCATACAGATATTCTATTCACCAATTGTGCGCATCTGGTTGTTCATGAAGCCTCGGGGCATCAATAAGCTATTCGACAGTTTGGCGCCCCCGCAAGTGAAATTCTTTATGGATTTCGTCGCCAAGAGTCTTGACGACAGACTCAAGCAACATGCGATCAATGAAAAGATTGGCAGTGTTCCTGAGAGGGAGGATATGCTACATTATCTCATCACAGCAAAGGATGCTGAGACTGGAGAACCGGCTTACAATCCTATCGACCTATGTGAGGAAGCCAACATGCTTACGGCCGCCGGCGCAGATACGACCTCAGCAGTGATTGCGGCCATGTTCTTCTATCTCGTCCACAATGCCAAGATTTATGAGAAGCTCGCTGCCGAGATACGCACGACGTTCAAATCCCTTGATGATATCAGATGGGGTCAACAACTCTCGTCCTGTATCTACCTGCAGGCTTGCATCGAGGAAGCTCTGCGCATGAATCCTCATGGTGGCTCTGAGTCACGGCGCCAAGTCTTGCCAGGCGGTCTCAGAATTAAGGATGATGTGATCCCCCAAGATACAATTATTGGCGGCGACATCTTCGCTATTCATCATGATGCCGAAACCTTCCCGGATCCCTTCCGCTTTAAGCCAGAGCGTTGGGTCGTTGGCGAAGGTGTGACTGAAGAAGAGGTCAAGGCCCGTGAGTGCTCTGTTTACGCATTCTCTTATGGGAGCCGGGCCTGTCCCGGGAAAAGTCTGGCACGTATGGAGCTTTCAGTCACCATGGCACGACTCATATTCCAGTATGACTTTAGAGGCATTCCTGGGGGGACAGAAGGACAAGGCAGACCGGAAATGATGTGGGGAAGGCGTCAGAAGACGCAGTTCCAGACGTGGGACTTCATGGTGGCTCACAGAGAAGGCCCGATGGTGCAATTCAGGAAGAGGGCTGGCGCTTGATAGGACGGCTTTGGTGTTTTTGGTCGGTCCCGTCCTCCCTCTGTCAAGAGAGGGGAAATAGAGACAAGGCAACTATCCTCAATACGTCAATTGCAGTCAAGTCGAGTAATAAGAGGTGCATTCTAGTATCTAATGATGCTTGTGCAACTGAAGGTTGTCGCCCGAGAAGGAGCTGACAACCGATCCAGGGTCTAACCCTTGAATGTGAGGGGGTAATGCCACCACCGAATGATCTCGGATGCATCTCAAGATACAGCTTCCTCTCTTCCTTGCCCACCGCTGGAGATACCCCGTCGATACCCACCCGCACCACGAAAATGGAAACATCGACCTACATAATCCTGGCGCTGCTCGCCATTTTCCTATTTGGCCCGGTAAGTCCCCGCCCCGCCCCGCCAGCCCGGGCTCGCGGCGAGCTTCTTCTTGTTGCTGCGCCGATGCTTTCGGGGGCCAAACCCTGAGACGCGGAGATTGCGAGGCGGCAGTGCAGTTCTAACAGGCAACGCAGGCGCTCTTCCGGGACAAGTCGCCCATCCCCGAGACGTCGGGCAACGTGCACAAGATCACCAAGGCAGCCGAGCTGGACGCGCTGCTCAGGTCGACCAGCAACGTGGTGGTCGACTTCTACGCGGACTGGTGCCCGCCGTGCCGCTCCATCGCGCCCGTCTTCTCCGGGCTGGCCGACAAGCACGCGCTCAAGGGCCACCTCGCCTTCGCAAAGGTCAACGTGGACCACGTCAACGACGTCGCGGGCCGCTACGGCGTGTCTGCAATGCCGACCTTTGTCTTCTTCGAGGGCGCCAAGCCCACGCCCGTGCAGGCGAAGCTGCCCAGGGCTGCTGGCCCTTCTGTGGTGGTGGTGGATGGCGGCGTCGAGAGGATCCGCGGGGCTGACCCGGTGTCGCTGACTGCCGTGACGGCTGCGCTGTATGAGAAGGTCAAGGGCGCTGCGGGTGTTGTTGATGCTCCGGCTGATGAGAAGGCGTCCGAGCAGTCTTGACGAGGGTGTGCCATTCAGCCTGGGCTGGCGCGGGGTGGCCACGGCCTACAGGGGCTCGGGGCCGAAGGTGGGGTCCGGGATAGCGGCGTGAGATGTGCTGTCAGGCACTCGGTCCTCTTCAGTCACCCTGCAGCCAAACCCGCCACGGCAAACTCGTCCTCGACGAGCATGGTGCATCGACAACAGTCATATCAACCCGAGAATACGATGATAAAAATATTCAAAATTCCTAGCCAATTAACCGAGTGTGTCTTAGTGCAGTAATAATAGGAAACCCTTTTCCGGCGACGGCCCTATTCCCGGGTCGGAGGATCGATCCAAGTACGCACGGAGCCAGCTCAGGGGCCCTGTCCAAAACAGCAGTTGTTACAGCCGAGATGGCAGTGAGCAGCCAGCCTCCGTCGCAAACATTCAGGGAGAGAACACATTGCTGCTTCATAGTTCATCTCATAAGAGTCAAGTCCCCGCCTGATCATCGAAACATCCCTCACATCGCTCTCTAAAACCACTTTTCCGTGCATTATTGGTGGTCAGCAAGCAACGCATCCACCATCATGGACACATACCAGCTCAACTTCGCAGGGTTGCTGGGCCTGTGCGCCGCCCTCTTCATCGCCCAGAGGAGAAAGCCAGCTCAGCCTAAGCAGGATGCAAACAAGGCAGAAGCAAAGAAGGAGCCAGAAACCAAGCAGCAGACACACAGCGATGAGGCATCTCAATGGCCCTTCCTGGTCGTCTTTGCCCTCGTCATGGGCTCAGACTGGCTGCAGGCAAGCTCTCCACAGCCCACCTGGGCAAGCAACAGCGAAACGAACACCACGAGGCTAACCCGTCTCCACACATAGGGCCCATTCCTCTACTCCCTCTACACCGAGGAACACAACGTCTCACCAGCCATGGTGTCAACCCTCTTCACCACCGGCTTCCTCTCTGGCGCCGTCTCCGCCTACGCCACGGGGACCCTCGCCGACCGCCACGGCCGCCGCCTCGCCTGCCTGGTCTTCTGCGGCGCCTACGCCCTCAGCTGCGCCCTGACCACCATCCCCTCGCTGCCGCTGCTCTTCGCCGGCCGCGTCCTGGGCGGCGTGGGGACGAGCCTGCTCTTCAGCGTCTTCGAGAGCTGGATGGTCACCGACTTCCACGACCGCGGGCTCGCCGGCAAGGGCGGCGACCTCAGCCGCACCTTCGGCGTCATGAGCACCCTCAACAGCGTCGTGGCCATCGTGAGCGGCGTCTTCAGCGAGTGGGTCGTCGCCGTGTCCGGCTCGCGGAGGGCCCCCTTCGCCGCGGCCGTCGTGCTGCTCGCCGCGGCGGGCTGCGTCATCTCCACGCGGTGGCGGGAGAACTACGGCGATTCTGCGAGGTCCGACAAGAAGCCCAAGGCGGCGGGCAGCGGCGGCAAGAAGGAGGCCGCCGACGAGGCCCCGAAGCCGAAGCCGAAGCTGCGGGAGATGCTCAAGGACCCGCGCATCGTGTGCCTGGGGCTGTCGTCCACCATGTTCGAGGGCTCCATGTACCTCTTCGTCTTCATGTGGGGCCCCGCGCTGCAGTCCGCGCACGCCTACGAGTCCTCCGCCTCGTCCGCCTCGTCCGCCGCCGCCGCCGGCCTCCCCTACGGCATCATCTTCGCGAGCTTCATGGCCTCGGTCCTCGCCGCGTCGCTGCTCTTCAACATCGCCATGGACAACAAGCTGCTGAGGTACACGTACCTCCTCGGCGGCATCCTGGCCGCCGCCGACCTCGTCTTCTACCTGCTCGAGCAGCCGCGCCCCGAGCAGCTCACCTTCTGGCTCTTCTGCCTCTTCGAGGCCTGCGTCGGCATGTACTGGCCGTGCATGGGGTACCTCAAGGGCCAGCTTATCGACGACGGCGTGCGCGCGCAGTTGTACGGCATCCTGAGGGTCCCGCTGAACGTGTTCGTCGTGGTCTCCCTGTACTTCACCGGCGACGGGGACTCTTATGCCAAGGTCTTTGCCGTCTGCTCGAGGCTGTTGCTGTTGGCTATCGGGGCGCTGTACGCTATGATTATGAATGAGGATGAGATACCGTGAGTGGTGTCACGGATTGGTAGTGTGTGGTTCCTGGGCAGCCGTCATTTCATCTTGTGTGTGGTTTCGCTTCTATTCCGTATACGTCCGAGGACATACATGGCGCCTTCATACGGTGGTAAATGCTCAAGACCCAGCACTGATGCCGACATAACCTCTCAAGAAGCCGAGGAGGGTGTAGATAGTACGTGAAATAACCATGCACTGTAAAATGAGCTTGCAAGACCTGGATATGATAAAACTATGAGATCGATTCGTCAAGTCCTAATCTTGTAAGGCTTTGCTATGAGTTTGGAAGCCTATTATTCCCTGGATAACTTGAATACATTTTTACCCAGAACAAGAAATAAAGCGGCTATGGTCCCTCTTCAATCTTCTTACCTAGGTAAGCGGTTTAATCGTAGAATATAGAGTAGTCAGAGTGTAAATTGCCATTTTTAACATTACTGACACATATTGATATACAAGTACAGTTGAGCCAGAGTGTTTTGAACTCAGATTGCAGATGAAGGACTCCCATGGACGCGTCACTGAGAATGCCTTGCTGCCAGTAGGACCTTTCGAGTCAAACAGGCACCACCGAAAAAGTCCCAATCCCACAATTGATTCTGTAACCAATTTTGCTACACAGGAACAAAGACTTTCTGCTTTACGGATTGCATTCCGTTGGGTTATTGGTACTTGTGAACCTCTCCTATGGCGGCCAACTAGGGCCCCAAAGACTCATCTAGTTGACGTCGATGACTGAACCCCTGCCAAGGAATTCGGAGCAACCTATTTCTCTTGCGCCTATGTAGGGGCGTAGTTGCACAAGATGATCTCATCAGGATTTAAGCTTACGGTCACCTCGCTGTCGGACGAGGCTAGCCGCCAAGCCAAAGCGGACTTAGCATGACAACACAACTCCGGAATCCGTACATGATCTACCATCGTGACGACTCCGAATTAATTGTTCGTAAGTAGACTGGCAACATTTAAAAAAGAACCTGAATTTTAAGTGGTATTTTACTTGGTGAAGTATAAAGTCATGCAGGTGCCCTCCCCTTCATGTCTTTCCTTGACTGACATGTGTGTGCCATCCTGTGTACGCCTGTACGCCTTGAACCGAACCACTGCTTGACAGAGGACACAACTATCACCCCAGATTTATAAGATCCAGGTTGCAGTAGCCCCCAAAGAGACATGGCACCGCTGGAAGTCCTCATAGTAGGCTGTTCCATAGCAGGCCCTGCCCTCGCAACCTTCCTCCTCCTCCCCTCACTGCCCGCGTCGCAGAAACCACGTGTAACCATCCTGGAGAGATCCGCAGCGCTACGCACAGACGGCCAGAATGTTGACGTCCGCGGCACCGGCGTCACCCTCATCCGTCATCTGGGGCTCGAGAGCGCGGTGAGGGCGTCGACCACCGGCGAAGAGGGCGTGCAGCTCGTCGACGGCGATAACGTGGTTTGGGCGCAGTCTGCGGCGGACAAGACGGGGAGGTATCAGACGCCGACGAGCAATATCGAGATTCTGAGGGGTCGCCTTTCGGAGCTGCTGTGGAAGAGGAGTAAAAGCGTTAGTGAGGAGGTTGCGAGGAATGGTGGGAAAGGGGTTGAGTACGTGTTTGGGGATTACCTCGACGACATCGAGCAGGTAGGAGATAAGGTCAAGGTGCACTTCGCCAAGGGCGGGCAGCACCGCAGTTTTGACCTGGTGGTCGGCGCAGACGGGCTTCAGAGCCGGACACGGAGCATGGTCTGGGGCAGTGACGGGGAGAAGGACAGGGTGAAGAGACTCGGGATGTACGGGGCATTCTTCAGCATGCCAAGCGGCAAGACTGACACCCAGTGGCGCCGCTGGTTCCATGCACCAGGAAGGAGAGGGATCATGACGCGACCGGACGAGCAGAGGGACAAGACAACTGTGTTCATGCACGTCATCAATGATCAGGACGAGAGGCTACCCAGCCTGGCTGGGAAACGAGACGCAGTTCAGGCGCAAAAGGACATTATGGCAGAGTACTTCCATGACGCTGGATGGGAGTCTGAGAGGGTCATCAAGAACATGATGGCGACGAGAGACTTCTACTACGACATGGTTGGACAGGTCAAGATGGACGAGTGGAGCAAGGGCAGGGTTGTACTTGTGGGCGATGCAGGGTGAGTTTGTTGCGTCCTTCCAGGACCTCCCAGGCCCACGTGAGCCACTCTGCTTACAACAAACCACCTGGGCAGGTATTGCGCCTCGCCCATCTCAGGAATGGGCACAACGCTCGCCCTAACCGGGGCGTACGATCTTGCTGGCGCCATACTACAACACCCGCAAGACCTCGACGCGGCTTTCGCACAGTATCAGGTGGCAATGCGTCCGCTTGTAGACCGTGCCCAGAAGTTGGCACCCGGCATGCCTCGTCTCGTCAACCCGGAAACTGCATGGGGCGTCTCGGTGTTGCTCTGGGTCTCGTATCTCTTCTGTGCCTCGAGGCTCCATCTACTGGCTTTCGCACTTGGCCTTGGGCCGCCGGCGGATGCGGTACCCGTGGCAGATTATGGGCTCAGGAAATTAGAAGACTCCCGCTTTTCATGAACAGCAAGTCCTTTAGCTAGCATTGTTGACGAATCAAAACATGAGAAGCTCGCAGAGATGGTGTTCTCAGTGACAAAACCAGTCTGTATCGTGTGGCGGCGATACCACACACTATGACACCGTCACGTTTTCAAAGCGTTGGATGACGTTCAAGCTCCTTTCGATTGCCGTGGTGTAATTTGTTAGAATTTGTCCCAATGCAAAAGTCTGCCCAAAATGAGGTCACCTTATGGTGCGCCCCAGAAGTTTGGTAAGTCATCTCATATAAAGCTATCTCAGAGGTGTATGCTACGGGAGGTCATCCCCCACCCGTAGCAAGTTGTCTCACGAAATATTTGGAGAGAGACACTCTGGATTTGTAGTTGACATGCAACCCAAAAACATTTGTGTAAGCCTGACCGCACTGTCCATAGAATTGTGCTGACACAAGTGCTTCATCCATGTGGAAGAAAGAGCCTGCCAAATGGCCCGCATTGAGTCTCTTTGCTGTTGAATTCCCCGTACCACACCCATCCTTCACTTGGCAAATAAGGGTATCTTCGTAGCATCTGGCTTGGGAACTCCCTTCCATTTGATTCTCGGTCTCATAGCGGCCCACCCACTGTCTTGGGACCCAAGTCTGGTACAATCTCGCCCCGTCTGACAATGCCTCTACCATTGAAAGCACTAACGTGGGTTGAAACGACTTCTTCGCGATACGACTTCTTCACGATACGACTTCTTCGCGATTTGTAAAGATCATCTGAGTACAATAAGATGGATTGAAGTTGCACAAAAGATTTCTAAACTCACAAACAAGATAGATCTGTGAATCATTGCCAGAAAAGTGGCTTCGATCTCACGCAAGACACCGAATATTTGTATTTAAACACAATTCACCAGCTCGGAACGCAGCTGCCATTCAGTTCACTGGTACAATGGCAGTTCACTATCACCCAAAGGTTCTAATATTAGTAGCTACCCTGTACCTTAGGTTCTTCTGGACTTCCTTCGATCCCCTCACACCAAAGAGCAGCTCGGAATGGCCACAGACAGCATCCGCCTTGAAAGACAAAGCACAATTGAGACCCACACCTCATGCCCAAAGTACCTAGGTACCATCAGAGCCCTCTCCCTCTTTGCCTTCCCACCGCTATAAAACACCTGCCTTCCAATCCCAGAGAAACTTTCAGGCTGCCGAGTACAACCGCTTCCAACAACCTGCCTCCCTTCAAAACACAACATGGACGACACTCACCCCACCACCCTCAACTCCATCATCCATGGTGTTGAGGCTGTTGCCCTCGCAGGAAAACCAATGAATGTTTCAGACCTCCCGCTCGAGATACTCGACAAAATCATGTTCCATCTCTCCAAGCGAGCTGAGAAACGCAACGGTGGTGCCATGAAGGTGGGCGTTACGTTCACTCCGTCCGCAGATATCAAGAACGTCCGCCTCTCCTGCCACATCTTGAGCGCAGCTGCATCGCGTTACCTGATCGATGGCCTCAAGGTTCAAGTGTCACAAAGTTCTCTCTCCCACCTCGAAGAGATCAGCGAGCACCCGCTCATTCGTCACAGCGTGCAGGGCGTTGAGCTCTGCCTAGCACAGCACGACAGTATCTTCGACAATGGCATTCAGGGACTTATCCAATTCGTCAAAAGCAACAAGATGCTACTCGATATTGCTGATTACGGCAACTCCCATGAGATGACACGCAAGGCTCGATACATTTCTGCCTGTTGGAATGAGTTTCAGATGGTCCTCGAATCTGCAGCCGACACCCTGCTTGGCAGCTTTGATGAGGAAATCGGAGCCATCCAAGATATCGCGGGGTGCATTCACCACACTGGAACACTACTTGAAGGCTTCCGCCAATACCGAAGCCGCTTGCACGAGCAGACTTCCCTTCATCAAGGTGGCTTTGTGGCGAGGGTGTCAGCGGCAATGGCCAAACTGCCCAGTGTCGAGCACCTCGGAATCACCGACTGGGATACTGCCGCCTTGGGTCGCCGGCCTGGAGAATTTGACATGCGCGTGTACAAAATCGATGTCTCGAGCGACTTGTCCATCACTAACAGTCTAGCTGGTAGCCGCCTTCCATTCGACCAAGTTCGGGGCACCAATCTCATGTCCATCATTCCGGGTCTCGTCTGTACGGGCAAAAACATCGAGTCCCTGGACATCCAGATCTCTCCAAGTGCAGTCTCATACACGGAGCTCATGTTTTCCACCTCACAGCAAGCCGAGCTGAGGTCTGGTCTGAAGAAATTGCAGTCTTTCAAGTTCGATAATTACCGGGCCCACATCGCGAACCTCTGGAACGAGGCAGATGCAATTCGCCCGTTGGGACAGTTCATCGACTCCTGCCTGATATCCGACAACCTGGAGTGCATCTTGATCAACGCCAAGATACGCTATTATCCAAACGTCGCGAGAAGCCTCTTCAGCCCGCGCGCTTGGCCCAAGTTGAAGTCTGTTGACCTCAAAGACCTCCCTGTTTCGGCCGCCGACCTCGACGTCTTGACCAAATCACTCGCATCCAACCATCCTTACGGATATCTTACGCTTCGAGCTGTCCGCCTCTACTGCGGCGCCACCTGGGCCAGCATCCTCGACATGCTGCGCAGCCGCGACCTCCACGTTAGCCTCGGCATGTACCAATTTGGCGCGGAAGCCGAAGAGGACCCGGCTCTATGCGAAGAGGTGTTCTCCGGACTTCGGTGGCGATATACCAGAAGCTTCCCAAGCTTCGCCGAGTACTATGTCCGGGGAGAGGACATGAAGAATCCCCTCCTGGAACGCCCTGACCAGGACCTCTGTCACAGAATGTTCGGCCAAGTGCTGGAGCATAGGCTACCACTATGGGAGTTCTGAGTGAGGTGTTAGATTGGGAGCTTTCCGAGTCTGCTACTTTCCAGTGGGAGGTTGTCTAGTGCGAGGATACCAGTGCGGAGCTGCCCAGTGTGAGGCTGCCTGCCTACCTACCTAGGTAGGTACCCTAGGGTAGGTACTGACCAGCCGTCTAGTAAGAAGGTTGTCTAGTGGGGACTTCACGGGGAGAGCTGCGTACATGGCACTGGCAAAGAGTGGATCAAAAGAGGCAACAATTAAAGAATGAAAACTGCATTGCATGAACCACAGTAGACTACCACCACACATGGGGAAACCTCCCAACTGGCCTCAGGTGCCATCACTTGTTCACAACAAGGGTCTGCACGTTACAGTAAGCAATCAGACCAGTAACCCCCCACTCAGCTCCGATACCGCTCTCCTTGTGGCCCCCGAAAGTGGCAATAGGGGACAAGTCGGCGTGGCCGTTGATCCAGACGTTTCCGGCTTCGATCTGCTTGCCGACACGCGTGGCGTTGCTGACATCCTTGGACCAAACCGAAGCACCAAGACCCGCAGCAGTGTCGTTTGCACGGCTGATGACGTCCTCCTCGTCTTTCCACGTGAGCAGTGGCACGATAGGACCTTCGATATAGTTAGACTTCGGCTGCAGTAACTTTTAGGTGGTATCCACACTTACCGAACGGTTCCTCAACAACGATCCGCGACTTCTCTGGCGGGCGATCGATAATAGTCGGCTTGATGAAATATCCCTTCTTGGGGTTCTCATCGACTGTTTCCCCTCCAAGGGCCACCTCCCAGCCTTCCTTGGGGATATCGTCGAAAAAGGTCTTGACCCGGTCGTACTGCATGCGATTCTGGAGTGGGCCGTGTGTGATCCCGGGCTGGGAGCCATCACCGAAGACGTATTGGGATGCGGCCTTGACCAGAGCCTTTTTGAAAGGCGCGTAAATATCCTCGTGGACATAGATTCTCTTCACGGCCACGCAGATCTGCCCAGTGTTGATGAAGGCGAAAGCTGCGATCTGTTGAGCGACGCTCTCGACATCTACATCCGGGAAGATGATAGCCGGATCATTGCCACCTCTGTCGCATAGTTCAGCATGATACCTCAAAGCATTGCATAGATGGAGTAATAATACGTACAGCTCTAGAGTCAAGCGCTTAAGGGTCGCGCTGGCACTCCGCATGATGGCCTTGCCCGTGGCGGTAGAACCTGTAAAGCTGATTTTGTCGACACCTGGGTGGCTAGTAATCCACGGGCCAAGGCTTTCATCACCGCTGAGTGATTGTACGACACCAGGAGGGAAGAATTGCTGAGCCAGTTCCACGAGCTTCAGCCCGGTATACGGGGTGAACGGCCTGCGAGTATGTGTTAAAACCGGAGGTGCTACGTCTCAAGTCCAACATGGCTAAGAGCATGGAATGCTGGCATAGTCCGACTTACGATGGCTTCACAATAATGACATTACCTGTCAGCACAGCCGGTGCTATCTTTCCCGCAGCCAGCAGTAGTGGGCCATTCCACGGAACAATAGCTCCAACGACTCCGAGGGGGGTATACCGCTTGTAGGTTGTCTTCTTCTCGTTTTCTTCAACGATGTCCTCTGGCAGATCGAGTCCTCCGATAGATCGAATCCATGCGACGGTTCCTTGCGCCTCAAATGCGGCTTGCACAGTCTGGAGTCTTGTTTTAGCACGCTTCTCAAGCAGCATTACACGGATTCTCATGGGGACCAACAGGCTTTCCATTCTCGGCGGTGAGCAGCTTGTGGAACGATTCCAGGTGGGACTCAACGGCGTCGGCATAAGCTAACACTGCCTCGCGTCGTTTTTCAAATGGCGTCTTGGACCATGTTTTAAAGGCTGCTTTCGCGGCTGTGACGGCCCGGTCCACGTCATCTTGGGTTGCAACGGGAACTTCAGCGTTTGGCTCGAGGGTGGCCGGATTGATGCCATGGCGCGTCTTCTCCGTCGGGGCGCTCTTGCCGTTAATAATTTGCACGAAGTTTTTGAAATCCATGTTCAAGAAGAGTTGTTGGAGTACTTGATGTTGTTTTCTTATGTTAAGCTTGGTGACCTGGTTAGACCTAGCATTCCATATCGAGTTGTGGATGGCAAGCTTTATATCATCTAAGAGGCCCTGGAGTAGGTACCCGTCTCTGCTCCAACAACCATCGTGGTCCGACGACGTCGGATAGTCGGACGATGGACTATCCGCTAAAGTCGCCGACTTTGACGCGCCCAGCCGTCGCAAGACATGCCAAGATACGCTACGAGCGGGAAGCGGGAGCCTCGGTAGACTTGACACAGCAGGAACTAGCCGGTGCATAGGTGGGCATTGTGTTGGAGGCCCAGCCACGACTCAGTGACAGTTGAAGAGACAGCCGGACGCGTCCTGATACCTACGTAAGAGCTACAATCGAGAGACTTTCAGGATTCCCTACTACTATACGCGTGTATCAACATTGAAGTACTGTAGTAATTGCTCAACAACAGTGACTTCTACCAGTCGACGCAATAACATAAGAGATAGTTATGTCAGATGACAAATTTTGGAAACTAGGATCGAGTCACGCTTCCCTATGCCACCTGACAGGCTGGAAACATACTAACAAGGTAGTAAGGAAAAAGCTCGAAGCGGTTACATAGCATAGACAATGCATAAGGAAACTTGCCGTCAACTGGAAACGGCTTCCTCGGCTGTCTATGGGCCTGTCTATGCCCTAGTCGTGGACAACTACCAAGAATGTAGCGTCACCCCGACGCTACTTCAGTTCGAGTCGTCTTTGAGAAGACCTTGCCCCGCCCTGACCCCTCCCCAATCGGCCATGCCTGGGCCAAGTGACGCCGTGCTGACCAAGCCGCCGGAGACATAATTATTGAGATATCAGAAGGGCCGTTGCCAAGGCCTCCAGGTGTAATAGGTCTGATATTACCGGCGTTTCGTTGCGGCTCGCCCGGCACGGATCCTTGAAAACGTCGTACCCGGGAATTCTTTGGTGAAAAATATCGTGCACTGGGCCGTGGACAAATATTTTGGTCGAAATCCGGGGTAATTCGACCAACAGATTCAAGTTTGGAAGCTAATTGGTTGGACCTAGAAAGCGTGGGGTACACTAGATCCATCGACCATTATTCAGTTGTCAGCAACATTGTTGCTTGCCAAGGGTGGGTTCCAGAAAGACAACACATGACGGCGGACTGGACGAATCAGAGGACCGCCAGCTGGCGGCTATGCCTACTAGTAGATCTACTTGAATCAGGTTTCGGCCCCTCCAGACGAGGATCTTCTTTCTTATGACTCAGGCGCATCCGCCTTACAAATATGGGAACATGTGCTCTGTGACAATAACAGCGTCGAACTTGGAAACAATGAGAGTTGTTATTACTGACCTGTTGATTGCTGGACCTTCGCACGGCTGTACTCTTATAATATCACATACTGAACATTCTATAAGGAGTTGTTCCGCAGACGTCGGGAGTAATTCAAAGAGCTACTTGCAGGGCTCAGGATTGCATGCCTTGTTCACAAAATTTGCTCTGGCAAGATTCGGGAACAGAGTATCTCCAGGGTAGCTTGCTACGCAAAAGATGTCGCAGCTACTGCTCAATACGAAGACCGAGGCTCGAAGAGTGTATCCCAGTCGGTGAAGAGAGTCCCAGTTCTGGAGCCCGATACCATCAGAGTCTGTAATAGCAGCCGGCTACAGGTAGCAAGTATGAAAGAGGTGACTCAAGGAGCTGACGTGGCCACTGTCCAGGCCCACATGTTGCCAAGAATTGGATACACCGGAAATCTGGGGGCAAATCTACTCCGAGTCCTATGTCTCCCCAGTCGCACGCCAATCGAGTTTGTTTGGACGAGAAGCGCAAGTTCGTCAGACTGGGGAGCTGGAAATCCGCCCGGGATTTATGTGACTCTTGCTATAATGCAACTGTTGCTTGGATACCAACCACTGGCAAGGCTCCCATTCCGCTCACAACTTATTACATTGGCTTTTCTTTTCATCGCCTTGCCACGAACCACGGGCTTGAAATAAATAGCTACCATGACTGGCGTGCCCAAGTCTGTCGTTGATGATCGACCAAATGAGGTCAAAAGCAGCTACGTGGAGACGGACCTATCTCGGCGGGAGAATGCGGTCGGTGCTAATGAGTACCTGCATGTGGGTATCTCCGTTTTAAGGCGCCATACAATACGTTTTATATGTGGTTTCGCTTCTATTCCGTATACGTCCGAGGACCTACATTTTATATGTGTGAGGAATTAGAAACGAAACCACCTGAGCCTACATAGTTTAGGTTTTATATTTCAACACCATGTGAAAATGCTTGCGCTCTTTTTGAATTACACTAAGTTGCACACTGGTTTTGAGCAACAGCTTAAACTGCACAGAACTTGAAGGTACTTGGGAGAGGCGCCGAGAGGTATCTATACTGGCGCATCACATTCGTTGTGTCCACTTCAAGAGATGTGACTTAACTTGGTGTGTCAGTCAGCCCGGCCAATCTGGCATTCATTGGTACCATAAATATATCCAAGAGCAAGAAGCCCTGAGCAGTGGCACGGGTCAGATTAGTTGTCTACGGTGGTACATACACTCCAGAAGATATCTTTCTGCATCGGGACAGCCCCTCCCCGTAGCAGCGGCCTGCAAATCCTTCCCCCCAGAGAGAAACATAGGTGCCGTAGACAGGCAGGCCCAGTCGCCCTCTCAGGAATTCCCCCATTCCTACTGAAAAGCCGTTTCTTTCAGCCCAGAATCAGGGGATGACCGAGCTGAACGTCCCATAAGCATTTGTGTTACCGGAGATGTGAGATCCAACGCGGCAAAGTTCGGGGCTCAAGCGCGTCTAGAGGTCGCACCGAGCCGCCAGCCTGCTTGTTAGACATTCAGGAGCAGGCTTAAGGGTGGGCTGCGCAAAGCTTCGCCACTCATGCCCTCGGCTGAAGATTGCATGGTGGTGGCGTTGCCGTTAGCGTTAGCACACAGTAGTTACTATAGCTGTCTTTCTGTGTACTACTCCACTCGCCATTCTGGGGAGTGGCAGCCACTTCTTCGCATGAAACTTTTGATTTCGTCATCTCAACTGCGTGAATATGTACCCGTATGGGGGCTGTTCAACTGGATCTACGAATCACTTGGGTCTTCGACATTGTACAGAAGCGAGAAATACATGTTACTGCACTGACGTGAGACTCCACCGTTTTGCGTAAAGCGGCCTGACTGAGTGCAAGCGAGATGCTTTCATTTCTTACTGAAGATGCTGTGATACCTAGGGATCATTCAGCGTTGGTCAGCCTAAGACACATGTTGACATTTGTATCACTTGTCCTTGGTCTTGAAATAGAGATCCATTTGATGCTGGGCCCGAGAACTGTTAGAAGTTCTTGTTAAATACCTTGACGAGTTCCACATGCCAGGTTAAATGACACTCATTATTCTGCTGGATATGATTATCTGTTTTCATTCCAATTCGAGTCAATCCGAGGATCACCACCGTCATACTCAATCCGCCACAAGCGACAGGTTGGCAACGATGACATTCAGGCAAAGACTGCGCGCAATGAGACAGGCGTTCATCCTGCCTGACGAAATCGATCAGCCGGTCTCACGCTTTCTTCATCCTTCAGTCCTCCGGTTCGTGTTCGTAGTCTTTGTCGCCGCCAGCACGGGCACCTTTGCAGCATCGTGGCGCGCCGCGCCAGACGGGAACTCCTACGACAGCGGGTTTTACAATCTGCTCAGCCAAAGTTTCCTAACCCTGCTGGCGAGTTGGTGTACCGTACACCCTGTCCTACACGACCACTTCAGCAAGCGCCGCTCTCGCGTCGAGCTCCCTGCCCCCACTGTGGTCTTCATTCTCTGTTTCGTCGCGACAGTCTGTGCGGCGGTGGCTGCGCCGATTGCTTATGCTCAGATGGTCGATCGGGAATCGGCTGAGAATATAGGCAACACCATGAATTTTATCTCCGCCTTCTTCGCGGTAGTCACTGCAAATCAACTTGCCAGGGGAGTTATGTGCATCACGGATTGAGTGGTCGGGAAAGTTTCAATATTTCTATGACAGCGGAGGCATGCTTATCAATGTGGAAATTTGACCGCCAGCAAGGAGTTTGATAGTTCGAAGTACCAATTCAAACTCGATAGTACTTGGGGACATCTGAGGCACACTCCTTTGAAGTAACATGTTAACCCGTGTTATGTGGTTTCGCTTCTATTCCGTATACGTCCGAGGACATACATGGCGCCTTCATACGGTGAAACCCGTGTTATATCGGTACAACTTGGTACTCACCCAACACTGACGCCTTAATATTTTCCGTCCGGTCATCTGAGTGTTGGCGTCTTTGCGATATTCGCAAAGCTGTGAATATATCATTGTTGGTTAAACTATCCTGAAATTGGGTACTGTGAGGAATTAGTAGAAGGCAGCGGAGTTTGTTGCGTCCTCGCCCCCGAAACCGAGGAGTTTGAGTTTTCCCTGGGCTCCGTCCAGGAACCTCGTGTCGTCCTCGCAGACACTTATTAGCGTAGCAGAACTGATGTATTTTCCAACCCGTGATTTAATGAGAAGCAATGCGAATCTTGGCAAGAAGCTACCAAACCTTATCCGAGTCGGTGTAATCAACGGGTGTTCCGGAGAAGCACTGCCCTTGTCTGCCGAGGTCTGTAGGCTTGGAGTAGTAGCCATCAGATCTCTGAAGATTATTCACTCTCTATTTACCACCAGATCTCTATGTCTTACTCTGACCTTGAACTAGAACCCCAGAATCACCGAAGCCAAACACCGTTCACACATAACGAACATGGACCTGCAAGATTCCACCAAGTGCCCTTTACTCCGCCCGTTTTAGGGCTGGCAGCTGCGGACAGCCGCTTCAACGACATTGGTCAGAGCTGGTTAGTAGAGTTTGACTGTGCTGTTAGCGCCGTTCAGGCTGGCAAAAATAACTCGTTAGGCTGCCGAGTGAGGTATAGCGCAACCTATGCGGGTGTGAGCGGATCCCCAACTCTATCAAGCTCAAACCCTCTTATGACTATGTGGTAGGGCTTGGTAGGCAGTCTGCCTCGTCCCCAGGTTCTAGCCCACAGTCTATTTGAGTGCCGCTTTCGATAAAGTTCAAGTGGTCTCGGCCTCATGCTGTTTCTGCTTTGTCTTAGACGAGCTTCGCTCGGGGATCCGCTTCGGGTCCTCGATATCTCTCCCCAAACATCCTAGAATACAACCTCATGTAGGACTAAGCCCTACAAGACAATACCGTAGGGGTAGGTAAGTTACAGAGGCTGCGTTATGATACCACGTAGCTTTCGAAGATGTGCCAGTGTTATGGTAATAGGTAGTGCATGTGGCAAGGCGAGCCCGCACGGCATATCAACAAGGTGCAGCAGGGGAGCCTGCGACCGGCCGCACGTTGTGGAAAAGCCTTGTTCCTGAAAACGCCAATTGCGACCTTGCTGTACGGGGATAGATCACTACGCAATGATGGTTCGATTTGACGGGACACCTAGTCATGCTCCCGCCCCGGCGATGCCACCATCCCTCCTCCGTCTACAACCCCCGGCGCGGAACTTCCCAGCGACCTGCCAACCCCAAGGAACCTACCGAAGGTGAAGCGATGCCACGGCTCAACACGATCCCCGGACTCCGGGAGGATTCCAGCTTGACCCATCCCATGCCCCGCAACTCCGTCATGCCCAGCCGATGTGGATGGAAGCCGAAAGCGGACTGACTCGGAGCCCGGGAGTTCTTTGCGGCTGCGCTTGTGCTGCCTCAGGTGGAAAAGCAATCACCCCCGGTCCTCTTCAGGATGCATGACCCTGTATAGTGTGTGGGGCCTCTGGCCCTTTTGGGCATGCGGCTTATACCGACGTCAAGTGGATCAAACCAATGGCCCGTGGCAGTCTACAGATTCCCACGCGAACATCCTCAGGCTGTTTGGGCCGGGTCTTCATAACTCCGAGCCTCACGCTCAAGGCTAAGGTCTGGAAGACATAATTCGATGTGGCTTCAACCGCGAGGGTGTTGATGTCATCCTAGGCAGGCCGATTCACCCGTTGAACCACGCTGCCAGAGGGACATCTGGAGAATGGACACATTCACGCCTCGGACTTCAGGAAGGCCCTCATGCAATGGCTTCCAGGTTTCAAGATGATCACATCTATAGTATTCAAGGGCTTGGGGGTAACGCTTTCAAGAAAGTGGAATTGTCAGTGGCAGTACTAACGCCATATCATAATCTTACAACTGGCCATAGAACGCCAACAACTTCTCCGCTCCAACCTCCCAGTCCACATCGTTCTGCATGTGATGTCCGGCAGACGGCACAACGGCAAGCCTGACACCGTCAGCATCCGAATCGATGCCCTCCCGTCCTGAAGCATTGCCCCGGTTCTCCGACCCACCCACAGGGCCATCCACTCCGTCCAGCTTTTTATCCCGCAGCAGCGATCTTAACGCCTGGCGGTAAAAGCCAGCCAGCTTCTCCATGACGTCCATGGTCATGAGCCGATCCCGTCCGCCCGCCAACACGAGGATCCGATGGCCGCCGCCCTGGCCCCACCCGGCGACCCTCCGTACGATGGTCGCTGCATTGGCAAAGGGTACCATCATGCTGAGGGGCCAGAGGAAGGACTCATAGGCATTTATGTGCGTCTGGAAACGCGCCACATACGAGTCCGGCACGGCGTCGCTGAAGAACGCGCGGCGGGTAAGGGCTGGGTGTGAGAGCGGGCTGTTGGGATGCCAGCCGTGAAAGAGCATCCTCAGTGAGAACCACGGGTCCAGCAGCCACCAGTTGATATAAACTTTCATCCTGAAGAAAGAATGTACTCGTCAGCTGGCAAATATCTCACACAAGACACACAAGGGGCGGGGCGAGGGCGAAAGAAAGAAAAGACTCACGATCCAAACCCCGGCACAGCACCCATGAGGACCAACCCCCTGACACCAACCCCCCGCTCAGACAGGACGAACTGGCTCAGCCCTCCCCCGCTGCTGTGCCCACAGAGCACGACCTGCGCCCCGCCCTCCCGCCCCTCGGCGAACCTGATCCCCGCGACGAGGTCGTCCGCCAGCGCGGACCTGGGCGTCCCGTAGACCATCCGCAGGAAGGACGGGTGCCAGCTCTCGCCGTGGCCGCGGAGGGAGATGGCGTAGCAGGGGACGCCGCGCGACGAGAGGTACTGCATGTACTCGAGCCAGACCCAGGCGCTGCCCATGCCGCCGTGGACGAAGAAGACGGGCGGCGGCGGCGGGGCTGCGGATCTCTGGTTAGCTGCTGGCCCGGTGGGTGCTGCGTGGAGGATCTCGATGGGCCCCCCTGCTGTGTGCATGAAGAGGCGCTCGACGCCCTTGGGGAGGGCGGGCGGTGGGCCGTCTGGCTTCCTCCACCGGATCCATTGGTAGCTGAGGTTGAAATTGATCATTTGTAAATGTTTCTTGGATAAGGAACGATGCTTTTGGTTGTACTTTGGACTTTGTATTGGACCTCCTGTCAATCTGAGATCTCAAAGCACAGCCTGTACACCACTTCTGTTGTCGTGTAGTTGAGCGGCTCAACTGTTGTGACTAAGCAGTAGCCCGGTGACTCAGGCCTGAGTCCCGAGGAATTATCGGCCAGCCAGCTGAAACCTCACGGGCATTCAGAGAAGCTTCGACGAAGCGGCTAATTCTCGCGTGGCGCTTTAGTGGCTTCCAAAGTTGTTTAATTAGTAGTGGCTTGGCAGCTGTATTCCACGCTACACTACCGGGCTTGCCCGTTCATTCTTTGCTAGCAAGACACGTGCAATGCTCTCCTTAGTTTTTCAAGAAAATGCCGAAAATTTGGCCAAAGGATGAGGCTGGCAAAGCGTGGAGAGACAGTTTTGCCTGCTCAACTTCAGTTTAGGAGCATATTGGTCACGAGTACCGAGACCTCTATCCTAAGCTTTCGAAGCTTTGAAGCCAGCTTCGTGATGATACATTGAGTGGGGTGCTTTGAAAAGGACTCTAGCTCGAACTAAAAGTTTCTTTATGTTTGTAGTCATCTACTAAGCCTGACTCTTTAGTACCTAGGTATGGGGGCAAGCCTCAGACAATCAATACATACCTATGTAAAAAGTAAACATATAAGAGACATTTTATTCGCAAATGACTCCAGCTTACATGGCAAATGAGAAGGTTAGTAATAAAAAGGGCTCCTAAAATAGTAGTATGCGCGCATTTATACCTCCCTTAGGATAACCACGGCTGTATAATGTACGTGCAGCCAAGTTCCCCGTCTCTCTCCAAAATGCACCCCTAGCAATTGCAAGCTCCCGAGGTCGCCGCTGACACGCGCAAGCTATCACGCGTGCCATATTTGCCTGCGTACTGACCCAGACTGAGAAGCTCAGATGTAAGCAACGGGGGCTTACATCCAAAGCAGCCCCTGCCACTACCATAAACATGTTTCAATTCAAAAACGCCCGGCACGTAAGCTTACAGACCGGAATCTAAGCACGTTATTCCCATGTAAGAGACAGCCGGTGAGCTAGTCCCGGACAGGTCCAGGGTCATCTATGTGCTATGATCGTACGAGAAACATGGAGAAAAAGAGATGTCGCATCAGCAAGGGAGCGGTTCGGCCCTCAGGATATGGAAGCGAGGTCACACAGCCCGTCTCAGATATCAGCCAGGCTGTGGCGGTGAGGGGCCAAACTGCAAATAATACCAGTAGTTATCCTGTCATCTAGCCGTAATTAATAGTAAGGTCTAGCTCGAAAGAGTTCCATGACAAGGTTCCCCCACAAACCGGGGGATATCGAAACGGGCTTTCTCATAAGCACAGGGCCGTACAAAGTGAGCGGGAACCGGGCTGGAGGAGCAGTAGAAACAACGAAGACCGCCGGCAGTAAGCCACCAGAGGCAAGTTCCGTCTCATCAGAGACATGGCGCACGTTGAGTCGCATACCGCCTCTTTTGTATACTTTATACCAGGGGCCCGATCAATGTGAAGCTGTCCGAGTCAGCTCTGGAGCACCCAGATGCAGTGCCGCGTAAGGCATCCGACAAGGCCGATAGACAGAGAAAAGCTTGTCTTGCTGAATGCACCCACCCACACTCGGGTATGGTCTGCTTACACCATCCCGGCTGCCGTGATCGGAATCCGTGGCGGAGAGGTGAATACAAGATTATTGTGACAACATGCAGAAGAACGCCTGAAGTCTGTAAGAGAAATGGCTCTGCCGACGGTCGCCCACGGCAGTCGTAGTGGGCTTGGGGCCAAGATATCACATCCAAAGACTAGTGAACTATAGGCACTCGGGGGCATTAATAAGACTGTGCAGATCTGCGTATAGCTCTGCAGCGCCTGGCTTACCATCCAGCTCCACCGGGGCCACGTGCGGATCTTGCCTCTGCACGTCCTCGAAACCGCCGGACTTGACAGCGTTTACAGCTCCTGCATGCCATAAGGATGCGCCGAGAGTGGAAGTCAATGGGCTGAACGGCGCCTGAACTACAGCAGATCGGAGTACTGGGCCGTTATGTGGAACCGAACGAGCAGATCATCCTCGTCGCCGATCTCCCCGGTGTCGCTTTGGAGCTTCTTGGGTGCCACCAGTCTGCGATAAAATGTCGCTTGCCCTTGCAATGTCGTGGTCGGCCTGTCGGCTTGAGTACTGCCGGCGCTAGAGGGGGACGAGATGGGGGGGGGCGCCTCGGGATCTGCATCATGCATGACACAGGCATTATCCTGTCAGGCGGACTAGCTCCCGAGATCCTTGCCTAGATCACCCGGCCTCGAGAGAGACAAAAAGCCACCACGCAGTCGGCGATGGTCACACCCCCAGCCGTGCCTATTGCCAAATCCATATTTCCGAACCATATACCGGAGCAATCAAGGTTGGCGGCCATCTTGGCGCGGGAACCGACGGGTGGTGGGATCGAAGAGGTGAGAGGTTTGCACCAGCCTTCACGGAAGAGGCACGATTGGGTCTGCTGTGCACCGTGTCTCAGACACGACATTAAGGTCCCCGCCGTGCCTATCTGCCTTCAACGGGGCCCTCACCCGGGCCGTTGTTCGGAATGACATTCGGAACGGGGTGGATTGTCTTGCTCGTAGGGCCGAAGCGAAGGTCAATCTTGGTGAACCGCCGATCAAAATCTAGAAGGACGACTTCAGTCGAGCTCGTCGCAATAGCTGTATAGGCAAACAAAGTACAGACAGAGAATGTGATGATTCACCGCAGCGGTCGATGGCACAGCTCCTCACTTGATGGCGCACCCCGTGGCGCACAGCGTAGGATTCAAACCTCCTGATGGTGGCGAGGTACCCTTGGTGGTTGCCATGGGCTGCATGGCCGAATGATGGACACGGTCCAGGCCCAAGCGGTCAGGCGGTGCAGGCCCGAGGGGACGGTGCTGGTGGCGGGCAATGGGGTACAAATGATGTCTACCTAGTTTTGTAACGAGGCGGCATTTCAGCAGACTGTGACGTGGATGTCCCCTTGATGCAGATGCAGTCGATTGCACATTCTGAGCCGACGTGTCGACGCGGTATGGTCAGCTCGGCCACCCGGAAAAAAGGATCCCTGGGCAGTGGGATGCAGTACCGAGGCTATTCCTTCAGCAAGGTGGAAAAGGCTCGAGTGAAGACATGAGAGAGCACGACTTGGACCAGAGACGGGGAAGAAGACACGCGTCTCTGGGGTCCGAGTAGCGGCCATTAACATGACTGGTGACGAGAGCTGCTCAGGTGTCCGTCGCGAAAACTCGCATCCCCATCGTGGGGGTGGTCGGCGATTGGCGAGAATGCAAGGCATGCATATTGGATCGATCAAAACAGATGATCCCCTTGCTGCGCCAGCCCTCTGGTCATCGATCTGCGCAGCTTGGTGAGATCTCTGTCGAGATGTCCGGCCTGAACCGCACGAATGGTAATCGTCGCCCTGCCAGAAAGAGAGCAGTCGTCAGAATCCCGTAGCGTGCGGCTGTTAACCTGGCTGTCTGGCTGTTGGCCCGTCATACTCGACAAGAGAAAAAGACAAGGAGCGGAGCAGTGCGCACCCACCCGGCGGCAGCAGCACCGGCAGCGGCAGCGGCAGCAGGCACGACTCGTGGCATTGCCTGGGTGATGGGGCACGACAGCTGCCAGTGAGGACAGTTTGCCTGTCCCTTTTGTATTGCCCTGTGTGTTGATGCGACGTGGCACTGCCTGGTGCGTGCTTGCGAATCTGCCACCCACCACTCAGGCCGATGAACGGCGAGAGAGTTTCCAGTACGTGCATTCCGAGATGGCCGTCAACGTGAATGTCGTGATGGTGTTTGGATGATCAGTTTGAAGCAGGCGATGGCGACCCCTGTCGCCATGGGGCTGCGATCGATGGACGGCATTGCAGTCGAGGGACTGAGCTTGTTGCGTTTGATCGCTGGAACACTATGCGATCTGCGGTGCATGCTGCAAAACTGGCTGTTGGAATGGGTACTTGGGATGGGCAGAAGGCCTTCCTCTCTGCCTCGTGTACTGTGCGTATATGGTAGGCCGGTTGGCCGGATCAGTGTACAGCAGGATGAGTGGATGTTGGATTGGTGGTAGTGGCGGTGGCAGTTGAGGGATCACCGGCAGTCGGCCAATGGAACGAATGCACCTGAACTAACAATGAGGAGCTGTCTGGCTGTCAGGGCTCAGGAGGACCCTGGCAGCCCTGGCTTCAACCTTCACCCACCCTGCCACCCCTCACCCGCCCTGCTGCCCCGTACCTTGGTACTCCATACTGGGACGCCCCCCCCTAAGCACCTGTCAGGCAGTCAAGCAACCAGGGCAACTCTGGGCCCATGTCAGACAGCAGCAGTACCAGTCAGCGAGGCTCGCCAATAGGGCGGCGGCCCGCTCCGACAGCTGGGTGGCCCTCGCTAAAGCGTGTTGCCCCTCTTTGGGGCAAGGCTGTCGGAAAAGTGGTCTGATTCTGATGGTAAAATCGCCTGGTTTTTTGCACCCATTTCGTGACATGTCTGTCTGGTCTGTCTGGCTTTTCCGCAGCTGCTCGCCGTCTGTTGAGCAGCGGCGGCAGCGGCAGCAGGAAGCAGGAGACCCAGGCAGGGCAGGAACTAACCAGCTGGCTCGCAGTTGCTCTTTCCACCTGGCCCGGGTCACCGGCCCTCACTTCTCCTGCCTACCCAGGGTAGCAGTGACTGTGCCTCCCTTCCCTGTAACCTGTGCCACAGGACTCAATCACCCAGATCAGGCCATTCCTGACAGCTTCTAACGGCCTCCATCCGCCCATCCGTGCTGTTGGCGTGCCGTCCATCCCCAACCACAGCACCATCAATCATCCAATCCAGTCCAATCCAATCCAGCCCAACCGGGAGCCAGCCCCACGTAGGAACCTTGGAAGTAGGAAGGCACTCACCCACCCTACCTCTCACACCCTCGCACCCTCGCACCCTCACACAAGGACTCAGACAGACATACAGACGGACAGGCCAGACAGACCGTCTCACTGCTCATCCTCACCCACTCAATCGCCCACTCAATCATCCTCACTGCAGCATCCGTGGCCCTGGGAGCTCTTTGTGCCACCCCTCCTCCTCGGCATCCTGCCGCCCGCCCAGGCAGTCCTCGGATCTACCTGCCAACATCGTCAGTCGATGCACATGCGCATAGCAGGAGCAGCAGCAGCAGCAGACCACGCAGACCACGCAGACCACAGGCGGCACGGGCACTGGCATTGACGTTAACCCCCCGTCCTGCGCATTGAAACATCCCACCCATTATTATCTACTGTTGCTACCACTCGTGCTTGATACCCGCGTATGTACGTACAGTCCCCAGTCCAGCTCGGTTTAGTCCAGTCCAGTCTGGTCCAGTCCAGCCCAGGCCAATGCCATAATGGTATACCTGTCTCCATCCTCCTGCAGCAGTCATTCCAAAATCCCATCTCCCATAACAAGCAGCTGGTTGATTGACTTTGGCATCCCACGCAGATCACTGCCTCCCTCAGCTGTTACCTGTTCGCCTCTCTCCTTCACCACACACGCCCCAGCACTTCCACTACGCGCCTTGTCAGTCTCCTGACTGCTCACTTCTGGTCACTTCTGGCCCCATCTCGCCTGGTCGACCTCGTCACAGCGTTGTCCTCTGCCCTGTGCTTCTGCCCTGCCGTATACCCTCAGCCACTGCCTCACTGCCTCACTGCCTCACACTGGCCGCTGGCACTGTCTGACCAAAACTTGCTCTCCAAGAGTGGTCAAGGAGCGGCGGGCACTTCTCCGCCATCTGAGAACCCTCAAGACCCTGCCCAGGGGTCAGCCCCCAACAATCCTGACATTCCCTATTGAATCCATCCCAGGCGCCCAGTCATGACATAGAGACGAGCATCTCTGCTTCCTCGGACTTGTTCGCATTCTTAATTCATTCAGTCTTGCAACTGACATTCCCATCGATTGACCGGGTCGTAACACTTATCACCCGTGTCCCACCGCCCACTTCCGGTGTGCTGGCATCCGAGTCTTCTAGGACTCGCTGTCTTTGCGCCGTGCCCGCACCAACATTTTTCTCTCGGCGTCTCATCAAATCAAGAAGGGGGAAAAAATCATACGATCCTCAACCCAGGTCCCTGACCTGCGTGCCATGACCGGCGAACAATCATGGACCCCAACCTTCTCAGACACATCGAGTACTTTCTCGAGCCAAATGGCCAAGTAAGGTCAACCAACCGCCCCTTTCTTCCCCTCCCCAGCCCCTCGTGGAAAATGATCGCCGCCCTCGCGAGACACATGCCTATCCGGCCGCACTTCACCCGTGCTGACCAGCCGCAGACAGATGACCTGGAAAGCCAACAGCAGCGCCGCTTCAACCAGGCAGCATCCACCAACTCGGCACAGAATTTCTGGGACATCGCCGGCCTGCCCTCTGACTCGGGCCTCGGCTCCCCGGTGAGCGCTCCGGGCGGCCTGAACTTTGACGCCTTTGGACAGCCGTCGAATCAGCCCAACAGGACACAGCAACGCCAGCAGATGCTTGGCCAGGGCTCTAGGGTAATTCTTCCACCCCGAGCTCCAAAGCCCAAGACTGGCCATGAAAGGAAAAGAACGAAATTGAGCACCGAGTCCACACCTTTCGACAACGTCGACTACTGGATCCAGTTCGACAATGAGGAGGGCGCCGGGGAGCCTGGCGGTTCGGACCTGAGCCACCAGAAAGGCAAGGACGCCCAACAGCAGCAACAAGAGCAGCAGCAACAGCAGCAACAGCAGCGGTAAGCTCCTCCTCGAGCCACCGGTGGGAATGGACAAGCATCAAGGTGACCGACCTTCCCGCCGATGTGTGAGACACATAGCCGCTCTCCCTGGCGCCCCCCGGGCAGAGCCGCAATGGTGTGGCGTGACTGACACGTGTTGAGATGAAGACCCAAGGCGCAGCACGCGCAGACCGACCCATCATCCACATCAACCCTGCGAACCGTCGAACAGCAGCAGCAACAACAGCAGCAGCAGCAACAGGCGCGGCACCGCCAACAGTCAAGCATAGGCTCTGCACAGCCAGGACCGAGCAACCCCCGGCGGAGACAGATGCGACCAGAGGACTTGTTCGACGACAGCGCCCTGGACTACGCATTATCCGAGGAAGGCGACATGACGACCGAGGACTTCTCGACGATGAACCTGGCCGATCAGATGTCCAACATCGACACGATGCCCCCCTCGGAGGTGCCACCCCGCGAGGGCCTGTACTCGACACCATTGAGCTGGGAGAAGCCGCAGCCGGGCCTGCGGCTAGACTCCCTGATAAGCACGCAAAATCCACAGCAGCTTAACGAGGACGAGCAACGGCGGCTCATAGCCATAGCCATGAATACTGGGCCGCTGATGGGAGGTCTAGGCTCGGGACAGTTTGGGATGGGAGGAGGAAACAGGGGCTACGTATCGGGTAGCGGGCTACACGCAACACTGGGCTCGGGCCTGAGTCTCGGCGGGATGGGTGGCATGGGACTAGGAGCGCTGGGCAACGGCATGGGCAACTTAGGTTTCGGGCAGATCACCGACGACGCTCCGCTACTGCGGCCCGAGACGCCCGCCGTCGCGAAACCACCGCAGAAGCAATTTTCCCGGGAGAACACCGAGAAAAGCGGCGGCGGTGAGGAGAAAGGCAAGGGGAAAGAAAAGGAATCCATTGGGGATGCCAAGGGTAAGGGCAAGCCTGGCGACCGGACCGCCCACAACGACATCGAGCGCAAATACCGCACGAACCTCAAGGACAGGATTTCAGAGCTGCGAGACGCCGTGCCCGCACTGCGCACCATCCAGGAGGGCGTTGTCGACGAGGGTGACGAGGCCAACGGGCCGGCGAGGCCGAAAGTCAGCAAGGTGAGTGGTGCAAATGCTGAAACTGGATGAGCAACCACGGCAAAACTGCTAGTGAAAAAGGGGCTGTGGGAATGATGGCTAACGAGTGACGGCAATTATAGGGCACGGTCCTCACCAAGGCGACAGAGTACATCAGCTACTTGGAAAAGAAGAACAGGGCCATCATGGCGCAACATCAGCAGCTGTCGCGCCGGCTCGCGGCCTTCGAGCAACTCCTCAGCCAGACAGCCCGCCCATCCTTCCAGATGCCCAATTACAGCAGGACGCTCTTCGACCCACGTGCCTTCTGTTAAGCACGCCCCCATGCCGGCGAAGTGCCAAATGAACAAAGGACTCGAAGGAGGAAAAATTGCATGCGGCTATATACCAATCTCCGCTGATATGAACATCATAGCCACCGGCGTTGTCATACTGATTTGGTCCGCGCGACCGGGGTTATCGAGGACAGGAATTGAGCGGGGATGGACAGGATGGTCTGGGCTGACAATTTGCGGGCGGCCGACCCTTTTAAATGATATGAGAATAATCTCTTGCTGCTTTTGTTTATCTTTTGTTGCTTCATTTTCTCTCCATCGGCCTACCGCGAAAAAGCACGCGCAGAACCGGACGAAAAAAGCCTCTCGCTCATAGACTCTCCTCTATTATCACTAAAGCAAGCAAGCAACAAAAGTATGCAAGCGAGCAATCTGGGACGACGGCATCTGACGGGACCAAGTCATGATCTTGCCCGTCTGTATATATGTGTCTATACTTCCCTTTTTTTCTTTGAACACTGTTATAAGCCTGCCCTGGGTTTCGGGCGGGCCGGCGGCATCATAGACTTGGCATAGTGACAGCTTGTGAACAAACCGGTGAGGGGTTGGGTAAATAGGCGGTGGTGACCTCACACGGGAAATGACAGTGCACGGGATGGCATTTCAACAGATGAGCAAGATCGCGTCTCAAGACTGGAGTGGTTTCTAATGTGCCATTTGTGTGTCTAGTCGGGGATATGAGATGAGACGCCATGCAACTCTTGCTCTGGCTGTTGCCCCGGAATGCAGCTCGCTACCGCCGAGAGGAGGTATACCCTCAGTACGCGGGGGGGGGGGGGTTGTGTATATATGTACAAAACGGCTACGAGGACCAAGACCCACCCCGCCCACCTTAGTCCCTCAGGGCCTCGATATCAACGACCTCCTTGACCGCCTCCGTGGTAAGCACGATGGGCGCCGTCTCGTCGACGCAGATGCTGTCCTCGATGCGCACGCCCATGCCGCGGAAGTGAGCGGGCCACCGCTCGTCGTCGGGGACGTAGACGCCCGGCTCGACGGTGACGCAGTGGCCCGGGCGCAGGGGCACGTTGCGCCCGTAGCCGGGGCAGTCGTGGACGTCGAGCCCGACGTAGTGGCCGACGTGGTGGGGGAACAGCTCCTCGAGGCGGCCGGACCCGCCGGGGCCGACGTCGAACCCGAGGTCGGCCAGCTCGGCCCGCAGCGCCTTCTCCGTCTCGCGGTGGACGCCGTCGAGCGTCAGGCCGCTGTCGGCGCGGCACAGCGCGACGCCCGCGCGCTGGACGCGCAGGACCGCCTCGTACAGGTCGCGCTGGGCGGGGGTGAAGCTGCCCGAGACGGGCCACGTGCGCGTGATGTCGGCGACGTAGGTGCCGTACTCGCCCCCCGCGTCGACGAGGACCAGCTGCGACGGGTCGTCGTCGAGGGCCGCGTCGTTGAGGACGTAGTGGATCATGTTGGCGCGGCTTCCGCCCGCCACGACGGGGACGTAGGCGGGGCCGGCGCAGCCGTCGGCCGTGAAGCCGTGCTCGAGGAAGGCCTGCAGGTCGCGCTCGCGGGCCCAGGGCCGGCGCATGGCGGCCGTGATGGCGCGGCCCGAGACGCGGCCCGCGTGGCGCATGGCGGCCACCTCGGCGGGGGACTTGATCACGCGCAGCTGGTTGGCGAGCGGCTGGAGGCGGTCGATGGCGACCTTGTGGTCCGTCGCGCGGAGGATGATGTCGCCGAGGGCGGTCGGGCGGCCGCCGCCTGTGGCCGGGTGGCGGACGTCGGCGTCGGTGTAGATGCGGGCGGCGCCGCGCAGCAGCGGGGTCAGGAGCTGGTTCAGGTTCTTGACGTCGCCGGTGGCGTCGGCGTTGAAGACGTCCTCGGCGGCCTGCAGGCCGCTCCAGGGGCCGGACCACTGCTCGGCGGCGGGGTCCTTGGGGCGGGCGAAGAGGTGGAAGGCGTAGTCGCCGAGGTCGTCGCCCGTCTTCTGGATGACGGCCACGGCGTCGGGCTCGTTGAAGCCCGTGAGGTAGAGGAAGTTGGACTCCTGGCGGAAGGGGTAGAAGACGGCGCCCGAGCGCCACTTGATGTCTGCCGCGCGCAGGAGGGCGATGCCGTCCCTGGGGAGCTTCTGGGCCAGGCGGGCGCGCCGGTCGGAGTACTCTTGGGCCGTGATGCCTGGTGTTACTGTTGGGGGAGAAGAGAGGACGAGGTTACTATGCTGCTAATTGGGCTGGAGTTTTTGAGCTGCGTGGCCTGGGCTGGGTTGTTGGCTTTGTTTGCTTACATTCGCCCGGCTTGAGGATGTGCGGGTGTGTCTCGTGCACCGGCTGCCCGAACTGGAGCTGTGACGCCGAGACGGAGGCGTAGCCCCTCGTCGTCGAAGCTCTGGGTATGCTGCTGCTGCTGCTGCTGCAGGCTGTAGGTCGACCGCGTGAAAGCTGCTGCCTCCTCGACGCGAGGGACGAAGGTAGGGTTCGGGCAGAACGGCACGGCGCAGCAGCCAGAGGGCTGGCCGGCGGTATTCGTATCCTCATGATGGTTGCTGGTGACTGGCCCGGGTGTCTTGGGCGCAGGCTGGCATCTCGACCACAAAGGGGCGGCGGGTACAAGAAAAGAAGGTGGTGGTTCGATGGTCGTCGCGGACGGGAAAAAGAGCTGCGAGGTGCGAACGGCGTCATTGGCGTGCAGGGGGTTTCGGGCGTTGCCGCGTTAGGTAGGACCCTGGTCCCGCCTGCCCGCCTGCCCGCCCGCCCGTCCAGGTCTGGCCTGCCCGCCCCAGCAAACAAACGAGTTGATTGATATATGTTCACAGTAAGTAGCCCACTCAACACCATTCCTTCTTCAAGTGGATGTGGTTCTTGTCCATCTGACGCCGTACATTGTACTAGACAGTGACTACGCTGTTTTACTGACAGGAGAGCAGCTAATGCAGGTCTGTCAAACGGACACCGGTTGAAAGAGCACGATTTGTTTAAGCCAAGCCCTGGCACACATATTTACTTGTATCTGTTCTTGTACAGATTAATTATGAGAACGGAAATTGTGTGCGAGACTGCTTCACTCGTTTATTCTCCGACGACATGCCATATCGTGCCTCCCACCGGGTGCTCATCTCCAGCACTTGAGACATGGGACTCACCCGTGTCTGTCGAACATAGCAAAGTGATGCCGGTACCTCCGCCTTTCTCTCTACAATCATGAGATACAGAAGCTGGCTGAATATCTATCAAATAATTTAGCACCAATAATTGCAAGCACTGACACCACACCTGAGAACAGATATGATCACGGCGGCTGTGGCTGGTCATGTCTCACTTTTTTTCCCCGAGCCATCTCGACCCCAGGGCTATTCTCGTTGAGACCATGTCTCATAACGGGACATACCTCTCGGGCCCAGATCACTTAATTAATAAGGTCTTCATTATATTTAGGGCGCGATCTGCTTCAATTCACCCCCCACGTTCGACATAGCACACTCTAAGCTTCTGCCTCCACTTGGGGCACTGCCCAACGGCAGGCGGGGACGTCGTCGATCCGACTCGGCTGTGGCCATGTTCAGTCGGCCCTTGGGAACACGACAAAGCTAGGGTTTCCTACTTCGCAAGGTGACCTACCAACTCAGGTATTCAATTTTATATAAAGTGCAGAGGTCAGGCGACAGAGCCATTTATGCCCTCGCCTACCTACCTGGGTAGACAGCATGGGCTGGGGCCGATATCACTGTACAAGACAAAGATATGCCGGACACTGTTCGCATTATGACTATGCCATGAATGCATCCGGCGATATCGAGACCCGGGGCATCTAAGCTTTTAGATGAGAGACATTGCATAGTGAGGTTTGCACTGCCGTATGCACGATGCCGTTGAAGAGCACAAGGTCGCAGCAGGTGTTCTCAATGTGCCGGGGCCGTGGCAAATTCGGCGTGCAGCCGTCATTGTTGGTTTGGCAATGAGCGGACTCGACCAAGGGAGCCGGCATCCATTCGGTTGTTGGTTGTTGGCTGCGGTGACCAGACGCTGAGGCACTGGCGCTATTGCGTTGCCCCCGGGAGCTCTGAGGAGAATGAAAAACATGTTTTCCCCGTGTTGCCCAGGCGGGCGGCGAGGGCACGGGCACGCTTATATATCCAGCCAGCAGAGGAATTCATCGTCGTCCCGGTTCTGCTGCTTATTATTTGTTGTGAATGCGGCCGAGATTGGAGAGATTGGCAACGTTGAAATGACGGGACAAGAAGGAGCTTGCCGGGCTTGCCTGAGTTGTGCCAAGCCCAGGCCGGCTAGGTTGGATCTGCTGTGCACCACGACTTGTGCCCGTTGCTGCTCCTACTGCTTTTAGTGGGGCCAAGGGCCTGTGCGTGTATTTGTTGTGTCCGCCCGAGCGCCTTCCCTGGCGAGACAACCAGGACCCCTGTCCCTTGGCCCCAGCACCGCGATTTTCCCAGGCCTGTGTGAGCGTGTGCGTGTGCGTGAGGAGAGAGTCAATCAATCCGAGCCTGTCTGAGAGCAACCTTAAGCTCAACCTTGGGAAGCTGTGCACCACCACCACCGACAGCCTGCACGACGACACGCCCCACGTCCATTCCCATTTCCCCTCCTTTTCCCAGCCGTGCAAGACACCGTACACATCTTGGTGCCCTGTCAGACTCGTCTCTTCTGACCGTCTTGCCGGCCCCAATTGACTGACTGACTGACTGACTGCCTGCTCCTCTTTTCTCTGCCCGCGTCTTCAAGCTCCATCCCACCACACAACACACCCACGCACAAAGTGCATTGAGACGCGTGCTCTCGAGGTCGGCCATCACGCTGCGTCACACCTGCGCCTGCCAACACACCGGCAGTCCTTCCGTTGCGGCCACATACCCACCGTCCCACCTGCCAACAAGCCTCCTCCTCTCGCAGGAGCAGCTCTTTCGACGCGACTCGACCCCCGCAAATAGCATGTTGACATAGAACACCATTCTTACATGGCAGCTGTATCCATACCACCCTCGCCCGTCCCCTCCTATCCCTCCATCATGTCCACCTCCACCAGCCGGGTCCCTCTGTCCTCCAACCCGAATGTCGCCAACTCCCCCATCCGAAACTCGGCCCTCGCCGCCGCCCTGAGCAAGCAGAGACAGCAGAAGAGGGCCTATGCCAGCCTGCAGAGGGAGGAACCCTATGGGCAGCCACCTCCCACAAAGAAGCAGATGCTCAATGACGGCACCGAGAAGCCTGCGAGGTCCCCCGTCAGGCAGGTCAAGGTCGTCCGCCGGGACCCAACCAGGGCACACAAGGACGACAAGACTTCCCACGAGAGGATATCAAAGTCTCAGCGGGAGGAGGAGAGGGCTCGCGTCCACCAGTGGAAAGAGGCCCAGCGCCGCAACTTTCCCGGCTTCGTTTTTTACTTCGAGAGCGTCCCCAACGAGCAGAGGGCAAAGATCGTGAAGCAGCTGGCCCACTGGGGTGCTGTGAGTGCAACACGCGTCAAACCAACATCCGGGGCCATATGCTAACACTGCCTTGACAGCGGGAAGAGAAGTTCTTCTCCAAGGACATCACGCATGTTATCACCACGCGTCCGATCCCACCTGCGAAAAAGACTTCTGGCCCCGACGCCGCCCACCACACCGCAGACCAAGACAATGACCGACGCGGCCAGTATGATATGCCACGGACTATTGATCCGTCTCTGCTCAGCCGCGACACAGGCACCAAGGATGTGAGGAGGAGGCTTTTTGAGAGCGCCGGCCGCAAGCTGCCGGCTCCTGCCCCGGCCGAGGACAACCTTCTCCGCCAGCCAACAGCTGCTCGGAAGACGGACATACTGGTGCGAGCACGGGAGATGGACAAGAAGATCTGGGCCTTCAGCAAACTGGTCAAGATCCTGGAGATGCTGAATGATCCGGACCCGTTCGGAACCGCCGCTGCCCCCAAGGCTGCCGAGGAGGCCAACCTCGCCCAGCTCCTGAACAAGGAACGGACCAGCGGTCCCTCCGACAGAGACCCAACCGTGGCAACAAAGGAGCTCGTCTTTTTCAAGGGGCCTTATATCTATGTCTATGACATTGAGGAGAAACAGAAGCCTATCATGGTCAGAGAGTATGCCAAGGTTGCCGATAAGAAGGACGGGGACTGGCCACAATTTCGATCAACCCAAAATGGCCGTTGCCCCTTCGTGGAGGACGACGAGCTGAGTGAGCGGAAACGTCAGGCCGAGAAGGCCGCGAGGGACAAGGAGCGCCAGGAGAGAGCTGCCAAGGACGCGGCGACCACGCTGAAGCCGGCCGCCACCGCGAATGCAAAGTCTGCCGTGCCCAAACGCACCCTCACGGAGATGGAGGATGGGCACAACGTCCGGTCCACCTCACGGGTCCCCGACGTTTTTGATCTCGCCAAAGCTGCCAACCCCCCGGCCATTGACTTCCACAAGCCTCAGGCCTTTACCAGTCGTGCTCGCTCCGCCCGTCTCCTTGCCGGTGAGCCCGTCGCGTCTGGCGTACAGAAGTCCAACATCACCTCTGCGATCCGATCTCAGATGATCTCGTCCGCGAGTGGTATCCGCGGAGCCAAGGCAGGAACCAGCAAGGAGCTCTATGGTCTCCAGCGCCAGGTCCTCGAGAAGAGCAACGCGCCGTCTGCCAACCCTACCTCCCAGGACACGAGCTCGCGCCGCCTGGCCGAGATGAGTCTCGACACAAGCAACAACCAACGGTCAGCAAGCCTCGGCGTAAGCTCCCGCAAGCTGGCCCAGATCGAGGAGCGGTCAAAGGAGCACAAGAGGACCCTGAGTGCCCCAGCCAACAAGCCCAAGAAGCGCGATTTGAAGCCAGGGTACTGTGAGAACTGCCAGGACAAGTTTGCCGATTTCGACGAGGTGAGTTTTAGTCCAGTCTCCAACTCAAGTCAACACTAACCAGATTGTTAGCACATTGTCTCGAGGAAGCATCGAAAATTCGCCGAGAATGATGTCAACTGGACCAAATTGGACGCACTTCTCAGTCAGCTCGAGCGGGTCCCAAAGTACTCCGATGAACTCGGCGAGGAGCACTCTGACTGGTGACGGCCTCAAACCCATTTCAAGCCCAACACCATGTCATATCCGCAACGCCATCCGGTCTCCATGCGACCATCGCTTCACTTGCTCCAACACATTGCTCCGGCATCAAAAAAGCATATTGCGCGCTGCGGCTTTCGTACTGCCCCGTCGGCGTCTCATACTCCAATTTGCGGGACCTTTGACCGATTCTCGTTTGTTTTATTTGATTCCTGCGTTGGTAAATGCAATTCAACGCTCCTTCGAAGCATTTACGGGGATGGGATTGCGATGATACCTCATCATGAGACACGTTACTGCAACACATTTTGTCGCCTTTTTTTATTTTGGCTCGCTCGCCCGCACATTTTTTGTGATGCATGCTTCGTGCGGAGCATGAGCGGGATTCGACAGGCCGGAGTAGCGCGATGGTGCAGCGCACGAGGGGGGGTGTTAATGGAGTTTCTTCTTGGCAGATACTTGCTTAGATTCGAACAATGGCATGGAGGGTATAGGGCGAGACGACATGGTCGAGCTGGCCAAAAAGCCTCTGGTACTGGACCGCGGGGGCTCTTCTGGGTCCAATCAACCTGTCACATGGATCATGGTCTTATTAGCTATACAGCAGGAAGAGGCTGGCAAGACGCGCAGGCTCTCGGTTGCGCGCACAGTACGAGAGTCTATGTATATTAAGCCGTATTCATATACTGTGTCGAGGATATGAACATACAATCAAGCATCTTCAAATGAGCCTTGGGAGCCATGAGAAGAGTCCAAAGCTGGGCCTCTGGGTAAGAACCAGCGGATGACCGAGTATTTCAAGTTGACGGTGGGCTCCATCACATCCGCTGTTCAGGACCTGTCTGGGCCCTCCCTGCTTGCCCTTCATTTCACATCAGCACTCTTATTAGGCTAACAAGCCAGCCCTGGCCTGTACAGGGGATACTCTCTTAATAAACAGATGCGAAGCCGACGCGCCTTCCCACGCGTTCCTGGGCTTATCGATAAGCGTGGCCGTTGAGCTCCAGGGAAGCTACCCCGCGATTTCCCCCGGGCTGGTCGACGTCCGCCCACCTCACCTGCCTGCCTGCCACCTTCCACTCAACCTCCCGTCCGCCAAAACCCATGCGCCAGCTCCTGATCGACCTGGCTCCAACGTGACCTCGCGTCAGCACACCGAGCGGGCGGCCTCCTCCTCCGCCTCGACCAGCAGGCAACGAGACCCTCACGGCGCAGATCACACACCACATACCCCGCGAGCCACGATGTCGTCCCCACCGTGGACCCCGTCCGCCTCATCGCCCGCGCAGCAGCCAACACAGGGCGCAACGGCAGCAGCTTCGGGCACGGGAGCAGCAGCAAGCCCAGCAGGCATCCCACCAACACCGACACCACCACCACCACCACCACCACCACCACCACCACCAGCAGCAGCCGACCCACCACAACAAGAAGACGCCCCCGCCGACGACGACGACGGCGCCCCCTCGCCCGACCTCCCCCTGACGATGACGGCCTCGCTGGTCCTGACGCAGCTGCCGCGCGACGCGGCCGCGGCGCTGGCGGAGGCCGAGCGGGCGGCGCTGTTCGCCCCCGGGCAGAAGGTGATCGTGCGGTTCAAGCCCGTGGGCGGGTCGGCGCCCCCCTTGCCCGCGCGCCGCGAGCGCAGCACCATCTCGGCGACGAGCAGGTTCGAGGCGGTGGTCGCGTACCTGCGGCGGACGCTGCGGGTGGCCGAGACGGACAGTGTTTTCCTCTATGTCAATTCTACGTTTGCGCCTGCGCTGGATGAGGTTGTTGGGAATCTCTGGAGGGTGGGTTTTTTCTCTTTCTTTCTTTCTTTCTTTTTCTTTGTGCTTTTCGTCCCTTGTTGTTGGGTGGCTTGTCGCTTTGGGCTTGGGTCGGTCTACTGTTTGATTTTGGGTGTGGGTGCGTGAGATGCTGACTCTTCACCCTGTTGCGCAGTGCTTCAAAGACTCGAACGACCAGCTTAATGTCGGGTACTCGATGACGCCGGCGTTTGGATGAATGCGGAGATCGATCGAACACGGCGTGGCGAGATACCGGACATATGCTTGGGATGTTATGGAAAGAGAGCACGTTGCTCCAAATGAGTCGGGCCGATGAGCTGGCTACATTATTAGGCCACGACCGCCGGCCAAAAGTCTATCGAACAACCAAACGCCATGCATCCAACCGACATGTTATCGCGACAAGCCTCAAAATGCCTTCTCAAAAGCCTCCAGTTCCTCCTTAGATATAGGGTATGTGTGCTCCGGCGCTGGGTATGCCCTGGTCTTGACCTCATCCCGGTAGGCCTCGATCGCCCTTAGGCTCTCAGACCACACATCGCCATACTTCTTGACGAACTTGGGCAGGAACCTGCCGGGCGGGAAGTTGCCCAGCATGTCTATCTGCACGAGCACCTGGCCGGAGCACGCGTTCCCGGCGCCGATGCCGATGGTCGGGATGGACAGCTTGGACGTGATGATGCCGGCGACCTCGGCCGGGACGGCCTCCACGACCGTCGCGAATGCGCCCGCCTCCTGCACGGCCAGGGCGTCCTCGAGCACCTTGGCCGCGCCGGCCGCCGTCTTGCCCTGCACCCTGAACCCGCCGAGCGCGTTCTGGCGCTGCGGCGTCAGGCCCACGTGCGCCAGCACGGGGATCCCGGCGGAGGTTATGCGCCTGATGGTGGGCGCCATCTCGCTGCCGCCCTCGAGCTTGACGCCCTGCACCCGGCCGGTCTTGATGAAGCGGATGGCGGTCTCGAGGGCCTGTTCTGGGGATACCTCGTACGAGCCCATGGGCAGGTCACCAACCTTTGTTCATGTTAGCGAGGGGCGGTGGTTGAGAGTTCAATGAGTAAGGGGGGATACAGAGGGGGCGGGATGTTGAGATTGGATGATCGAGCATGTCATGAAGAGGGGAGGACGAGCCGCAAAGAGAATGGGAGGACAACAAAGAATAGAAAGAATAAGACTAACAGTAAAGGCAGCCTTGGTGGCCCTCGCGACAGACCGGCAGTGCAGCAGCATCTCCTCGACCATGACCTCGGCCGTGTCCTCCATGCCCAGGGCGACCATGGCCAGGCTGTCGCCGACGAGCACGACGTCGACCCCGGCGGCGTCGGCGACGTGCGCGGAGGGGAAGTCGTGCGCCGTGATGACGGCGATGGGCTCGCCGCGCCGGTGCATCGCGCGCAGCGTGCCGAGGGTGACCTTCTTGCGCTGGCTGCCGGGCCCGCCCGCCGCGCCGAGCGGCGAGTGCGAGCTGTACCTCCTGCTCTGGTGTTGTTGTTGTTGCCGGGGTGGTGGTGATGGCCTCTGGTGGTGGTGGTGGTGCAGGGGTGATGGCGGTGGTGGCAGGGGTCTGTTGCCTAGCGCGGCTGCAAGGGAGGGTACTACTACCCTCCCCGATGCTGCGCACGTGCGCAGGGCTGTGGTGGGGAGGTGGTGCATTGCGGGTGGTGGGCGGTGACGGCGGCGATGTGGGTGATGTGTGAGGAGTGCGGGTGGGTGGATGGGCTGCACTGATGGCGTCCCGAAGGGGGATGGGATGGAGTATTGGCGATGCTGGCCGGGCGGGTGAAAGAATTCAAGGCTAGGTCATAAGATGGAATGAATTATGGGGGGATCGATGAATTGAGCGCCAGATTTTTTTTTTGGTCTGTCGTTTGGTGGATCGATCAATCAATTTCCCGTCACTCGCGGCGAAGAGAAGAGGACCAAGTTCCCTGGACCGGCGGCCCACTGGCGCGGGCGAGGGCTGCGAGTTGTTTTATTGAGGCCGGTCATGATGATTACTGCCGTGTATTTTCAAGCCCGGCCCGCGGCGGTGTGGTGGATGTTTTCAGAACCGTCCGTAATCGTATGGCCCCCGAGCCGACCGGGGCAAAAACTGACTTATGTAAGATTTGGGCCGAGGTCCGTTTTTCTTTTTTTTTCATTTGCTCCCCTGCCTGGTTGCGGCTGACCGGGCGGGGCTGGGGGGTCGGACTCCGACTCGCTCGGCTGCTCGGCTTGTCCGATGGGGGAGGTGCGGGCCGCGGCTCTTCTGCGCATGTATGGGGAGGGGGGCACGTGCCTCCTGGGCTGACCTTGAACCTGTATGGTATATTTTGAGACCTGTTTGTTGTTGAACTTCGACTGCGGTTTGTTTTGGCAAGGGAAGTGCACAGCTATCGATTTGGTGCTATGACTATGAAACTTTGCAAGAATGAAATAAGCTGAGAAAGGTCTTGGGCGATGAAAATTGCATACACCTGGCTGACGAGGTCAGGGCATCAGCCATTAATATTCTCCATTAGCCAAACATCGCACACAATGCCTCAAAGACAGAATGAGATTATTTTCAAGGATCAGGGATTCCACACCCGCAAAAACAGAGGGAATACTCATGCTAGACGATTCAGGTGCTTAGGTTAGTGCCAAATCAGCTTGTTATCTCGTGAGGGATTATCCCACAAGTGTCCTCCTATAGGAACTTGAAGTTCTCATGTGGGGGGTTGTCCTACAGAACTCATAGGTGACGCACAAATGGTGGCGTGCTTATTTTTCTACCTTCCTTTTGTGGGTGGGAGTTCTCGATCTCTGTTTTGATGTCATTCAATATTACTTTAGTAGGCATCTCAAATACCTATAGGTACCTACCATGAACTCAGAGTCGCATCTTCAATCCACTTCATTTTGTAGAAGTTGTCCGATCACCGAGCCTACTTATGCGAACAAAGACTACATATTTGATCAGAGCCATAAGGCCTCTATTGGGTACATCAGGGTGGACTGGCAAGCAAGCCCCTGAGATTACTGTCAAACCGACCCACCTTCATCGGCCGGAGCATCTCCCCGCCACCCTTTTACACAGTCAAGAGGTGGTTTCGCTTCTAATTTCCATGCATATTAAACATATGCGGCGCCTTCATACGACGCTGAACACTCAAGACCCAGCGTTAAAAGACAATGCCAATAGGAGTACAGGAACAAGACAACACCAGACTTCTCAGCTTTCGGCTATTACAACTAGTGCCACCGCCAACAAAACTCTGTCAAGAAAGTGTGGTAGGCCACAGTCTGAGGATTATCATCTCGCGCCTTCGGCGTTACCAGGTCGACAGACATGATCATGAAATTATCATCAGCACAAGAACCAACAAGGCTTGGCAATGTTGGGCTGCGCGACCACTCGGAGTGCTTTGGATCGTGCCCAATTGTCTGTTTGTGTTGGCACGTACGCAGGTTCCACTTAGTGTTGGCGCTGAGACGAGAGCAAAGCTGCACACAGCACGCGCTGCTGCGGCGCGGCGCGGCCCAGTCTCGGTTTTAAAGCAGCATTGTTGGGTTTATATCCGCTGGGAGGAATCGGGATGAAGAACGATGTGACCCGCGGGAGGGGTTTTCTCCACCTAGGCAATGCTGCAGTGAACCTGTTGGTGATTAGATGAACTGTTGGTGCAGCGGACAGTATCCAGATCCTTCGGAGAATGCATACTTTGGGCAAGCACCTTCAATCAGCATACCCCTGGAGTGGGGCGACGTAATGTATTTTATGGAATGAAGTACCAACAGTCACTGAGCCTGGACAAATGGATCCCTAGGTACGCAGCCCCCACGGCAGACTGAATTCGCTCGCAACATTCAATCTTGGATGCAGCGTAGAACTAGTACTATAATAGTGACACCGCGCTGTCACTAATCCGCAAGAACAATCGTTCGTCATCATCAGCTCATCAATCAAGCACTACTAGCAGTCATTGAACCTCTTTTCCTGTCCACCTCGTGCCCAAATCATGGCCGCACAACAGAACGAGTATGATTTTGTCATTGTTGGCGGTGGCAATGCCGGTCTTGTCGTGGCCGCGCGTTTGACCGAGAACCCCAACGTCTCTGTCCTCGTTCTCGAAGCCGGCGGTAATGCCTTGCAGGACCCCAGAATTGCTGTCCCAGCGATGTGGTCCAGTATCTTGGGCACGGATTTCGACTGGGATTTCCTCACCACGCCACAGGTGAGTTGCCGTTCTAAACCATACTGTGTTGAATATTTCATTGATACGCTATCCAGGAAAACCTCAATGGGAGACAGATTGGCCAGCCACAAGGCCGTCTTCTCGGGGGTTCGAGTGGCCTGAACGCCGAGGTCTTCGTCCCACCATCTGCAGCTGACTTCGACAAATGGGAGGCCATGGGGAATGAGGGATGGGGCTGGAAGGAATTTGGCCCGTTCTTCCGCAAGTTCTTCACCTTGGCGCAGCCAGAGGACAAGCTGCGTGAGCATCTGGGCATCACCTGGATCGACGACAAGGTGACCGGGGCCCGGGGCCCAATCAAGGCGAGTTTCACAGACTCGCCCGAGAACCCCTTGAGCAAAGCCTGGCTCGAGGCCTTCAAGAGGCTCGGCGGTGACCTCACCGCTGACCCTTTCAGTGGCCGCTCTACAGGAGCCTTCAGTTGCCCGGCGAGCGTCGATCCCGAGACGAAGACGCGCAGCTACTCGGCTAGTGGTTACTACGCACCGGCGGCTCAGCGCCCTAACCTTGAAGTCGTGACCGGAGCCAACGTCAACAAGATAATTCTGAAGAGCTCTGGAGACGGCCCGTCTGTCGCAGCGCGTGCCGTTGCCTTCACGGGGACTGATGGCGCCGAGCATCAAGTCAGCGCGCGACGCGATGTGATTCTCGCCGCGGGAGCGTTCCAGACACCAAAGCTGTTGGAACTGTCTGGAATCGGCAACAAGAGTCTCCTTGAGAAGCTTGGGATTGACTGCAAGGTGGACAACCCTGGCGTGGGAGAGAACCTGCAAGACCACATGATGACAGGTGTGAGCTTCGAAGTAGCCGACGGAATTATGACCGGGGATTGTCTTATCCGCCAGGAGCCAGGGATCGCCGAGGCATTCATGAAGATGTACCAGGAGCACAAGGCCGGGCCACTGGCGGGTGCCGCCCTGACGAGCTACGCATTCATGCCTCTGCTGGGAGACACGATCGACAAGCTCGAGGCAGGTGCTCGGGAGAGTCTCAAGGAGGCTGTCAGGGGCCTACAGACCGACGGAGATCTGAAGTCTGCCAGCCAGCGGGCCACCGCAGAGTATGTGACCGAGCTACTGGAAAGTGGCTCGGAGGCCACAGGCGCGTTCTTTGCGCTGCCTGTCCAGGTGAATCTTCACAACGGTCCCCGCCAAATCGGCATGACTACCAACCCGGTTGATGGAAACTACATGAGCATCGGCGCAGCCATCATCCATCCCCTGTCGCGCGGCAGCAGCCATATCGCCTCAGCCGATGTGGCCACACCACCAACGATCGACCCCCGGTACATGAGCCACCCGTTCGACATCGAGGTCTACGCGCGCCACCTGATGGCCGTCGAAGCTCTCGCACAGACCGAGCCCCTGGCCTCGGTCCTGAAGCCCAACGGCCGGCGGGCCCAGCCCGGGCCGAATGGGGCCAAGGTGGACACGGTCGAGCGGGCAAAGGAGTACATTAGGGCCACCGCAATCAGCAACAACCACCCCGTGGGGACGTGCTGCATGGCCCCTCGGGACAAGGGCGGCGTGGTTGACTCCCAGTTGAAGGTGTATGGTGTCGAGGGGCTTCGCGTCGTCGACTCGAGCATCATGCCTCTCATCACCTCGGCAAACACGCAGACGACGGTTTATGCTGTCGCCGAGAAGGCGGCGGATATAATCAAGCGGAGTTATGGTATATGAGAATGATTTCACGTAGATTTCAAATAGCAGTAAATGTTTATTTGCTCCAACATGTAGCATAGTAAATCCACATTCTTGGTGATTGGAAGTGATGTCCAGCCAGTTCCACTCCTGATCAATAAGTGGTGAGAGAATATCAGACCACCCCATGTATACGAGACGGCGGAGTGTTTGCAGCCGTCTGGGTCGACTGATTCGACTGTCAGACGGTGCTGGGTAATGAAGCCACGGAGAGGTGATTGGAAGTCGTTCGCGGGCTCCAAGTTCAAGACCCGTACTGCATCTTCGGCAATCAGGGGTTCATACTGGTATTGGTTCTCTAGAGAAACCGGAACATCATATGCAGCTCGATCTGCTGGCCCCATGGTTGTCATCTCCACCGGCTCAAGGGGAGTGTATATGTTCGAAGCTGAGGGTCCGTCGATCGCTCGCAGTTGCATATACCCAGATGGGGCTTGGCAAGAAGGATGAGCCGAGAAGGTGTTGGAATGGTAAGCATCAGGTGTCTTTTGCGGTCCTTTTTAAACGGTTCGTTGCCACCATTTTATGTATGCACCGCGCGTGCACTGGCTTTGCTCTGGATCTCTATGTTACCGCGGTGGTTGGTCTGCCTCAGGCGATTGTGCAACAGAAAGCGGGGATTCAACGCGCTGTATCCAGTAAGGCCTGGCCAAGGGGTTGGTAACATGGGAATTAGGCATTGCTACAACCATAATGTTTTTTCCTTTAGATTCTTTTACATAATATCAACCATACTATATTTTTCCTTAATATTATATAACTATCTTTTTATTTAAATATTTCTTTCTTTCCTTTTAAGCTTATATAAAAAGCTTTTAATAACTTTATATATATCTTTATAATTCTTTTATAAAGAAATTTTAAATCTTTTTTTTATTTTTTTATTTTTATTATTATTATAAAAAAGTTAATAACTATTAATAATGAAAATATAAATTTAAAAAATAAAGTTATTATACTTTTTTAATTTTTTAATAAAGTATTTTAAAATATTTTAAAAGAAAATATAATAAACTTTCTTTTATTTTAAATTATTTAAATATTAATAACTATATAGTTTAATAAAAGTTATAATATTAATTAATTTAATAAAAGTTTATTAATATATATAAACTATTTATTTTTAATTATATTATTAAATTAAAAGTAAATAGTTAAAGTGTTTAAAAATAAAGTATAATATATTTTTTAAAATTAATTTAATTAAGTTTATTATATAAAACTTTTATAATAATTTTATAATTATTTATAATATTATTTATTATTAAAAGATATATTTTTATATTAATATATTAAATTAATATTAGGTTATATTAGTTTAGTTTAATATTATTAACTTTAATATAAATTAATTTATTAAAGGTTAAAGTTATTATAAATTATAAATTAATTTAATATTAGTAAATACTTTATCAAAGTATTAAATTTATTATATAATTTAAACTTTTAAATATAAGTTAGTTAAAATAAATGAAGATAAAGCTACTATTCCTTTAATTAAAATTTTAACTTTATTTAAATAAATATCTATTTATTTACTTTATTATATTATAAGTAAGACTACTTAAAACTAATTACTTAATTAAATTAAAATATAAATTTTAAATAAAGTAATTATACTTTATTATTTAAGTTTATAGTTTTAATAACTTATATAATTAAAAATAATTATTAATAATTAAATCTATAATTATATAAAGATAAATTTTAATTTTTAAAAGTTATTAATATTTAAAATAATTAATATATTTTTAAAATAGTTAAGAAATTATAAGTTTAATTTAAAGTAAATTAAAATTTATAAAACTTTTAAATTTTCATTTAAAGGTTTTAATTTAATATTTATATTTATAGAAATAAAAGTATTTATAAAGTTTAAAAGAAGGTTTAAATTAAATTAAATATTAAATTAAGTTATAATAAAAGAAATTAATTAAATAAAAATTAATTATAAAATTATAATTATAAGTTTTTAACTTTATATTTAAAAGAGTTATTAATATATATATATATATTATTTATATTATTTTAAATTTTATTATTAATTTAAAAATAAGTAGTTAATATTTTTAAAAAATAAGATATAATATATCTTTTAAGATTAATTTATTTAAATTTATTATATTAAACTTTTTTAATAACTTTATAATTTATTATATTTATAATACTTTTATTATTAAAAATATCGTTTTATATTAATATATTAAATTATATTAATTTAATTTAATATTATTAACTTTAATATAAATTAATCTATTAAAAATTAAAGTTATTATAAACTATAAGCTACTTAATTCTAATGTTATTAAATATTATATATAAAATTACTATATAACTTAAGTGTAAATTAATTAAAATAAGTTAAGATAAAACTATTACTCCTTTAAAAGTTTTAACTTTATTTAAGTAAATACTTATTTATTAACTCTATAAATAAAACTACTTAAAGGTAATTATTTAAGCTACTATATTATTAAATTAAAATAAAACCTTTAGGTAAAGTAATTATACTTTATTATTATATATAATATTAAAGTTTATAATTCTAATAGTTTTATAAAAAAGAAATATTTATTAATAATAAGATTTATAACTATATAAAATAGATTTTTATTTGAAAAAAGTTATTATTATTTAAAATAGTTAATTTATTTTTAAAGAAACTAAAAGATTATATAGTTTCACTTCTATTCTATATATATCTAAAGATATATATGGCGCCTTTAAACGGTAGTAAGTACTTAAGACTTAACGCTTAGAAAGAATATAGTGTTAATAATAATAGTTATAATATAATAGAAACTAAAAGATTATTTACTTAATTTAAAGTAAATTAAAATTTATAAAAATTTTAAATTTAAACTTAAAGACTTTTTTTTAAAAATTTAACTTTTTTTAAAACGAAAATATTAGAAAAATTAAAAGAAGCTTAAATAAAGTTAAATAAAATTATAATAATATAATATAATTAAATAAAAACTAATTATAAAATTATAATTATAAATTTTTAATTTTATATTTAAAAGGATATATATATATATATATATTTAATAAAATTATGTTTTTAATTAGAAATCTTTTATATTTTTTAAAAATATTAATATTATTATTAAAATAATTTTTTTAATTTTATTTATAAATTTTAAAATTAGAATTATAAATATTTATTATATTAGAATTATTATTATTATTAATATTATATTTTTTAAAAATTAAATATTAAATACTTACTATTATATAAAGATATTATATACCTTTTTAAATATATATAAAATAAAAGTGAAACTATATTCTTTTATATAACCTAAAGTAGGTTATCCTCTATGTGGCCGCTCTGCCGCTATAATATCCATGTCGCACATCATCTGCTTGATGCCTACTGTGTGACACACTAAGTCTAATCTGGGATGAGATGACCTCCTGTGGGTGAATTGCGGTAAGGAAGGTGAGTTAGATTTGTTGCACGATTTGGTTTGTACCATTTGACCGTGTTGCCGTGGTATTTTCAAGCCTGAGAGCACTTCAACGTCGGTTATAAGTTTGGGCAGCTATCCCATCACAGCATCATTATTACTAAGGCTTCCGCGTGACCTCTGATGACTCTTGTTATCTGCATGTCGGCTGCGTTCAAAAAGACGCCTTTCCCTTTCCGAGCTTTGGAAGGCAGTTTGAGGCCAGGGGGCACTGACAAGACAATGAATGGGGCGGTCAGGCCCAAGGGTCCAGGTTCCAGTTTATCTCTTATCCGAGGGGCAGCCCACCCGAACCCCTGTTCCCATTCGTCATTTGCAGGCGCCCCCTGTAAGCCGCTCGCCGTTCCCCGGCTTCTGCTGTAACGTCAGTTGCACGACCTCTGATCTGACTTGACTACACGTCAACTGACCGTGCGTCCGACTCAACCACCAACAACCCCTCTCTCCGCCCTCTCCTCGACTTCCACGACACAGAGAAACGCCCTGTGCCTGGTCGTGTCGCTATCGAACCCGCTGTGTACGCATTCTGGAACCCACTATTCACCTGGCCCTCCAAACCGTCCGCAGTCCGTCAAGATCTCCGGTGATTAACGGCTTCCGTGCACCGCCATCCTTCGACACTAGCAGTGAGGACCCAACAACACCGGAGTGGTCGACTACAGGCACAACTGCCAAGATGGCGAGCCCACGGCGCAGGATCGAGACTGATGTGAGTCATGCCCTGCCCAGTCTTCAGAGACCCGGAATGACCTCAACATGCTGACCGTCTGTTCTCTCTCTGCAGGTCATGAAGTATGTCCCGTAATTCCTGGTACGATATCTTATCGCCTGCCTAGCTTGCTAACTTGTCTCTAGGATGTACGTAGAAATAGTTGGTGGCTTCGTTTCCTCTTCCAAACTAACCCAGCTAGGCTCATGAGTGACTACGAGGTCACGCTGGTCAACGACAACAGTCAGTCAAACCCCCCTCCCAGCCGCGCTGGCCTCTAGTCTGACTGACCGGTTGCAGTGTAAGAAAATCCGACCGAACGAGAGACCCATTCATACCCCCGATCTCCCGGCTCACACATTCGAACAGGCAGGAGTTCTACATCAAGTTCAAGGGGCCAACAGAAAGTCAGTAGAAAGATGAGCACCGGATGGAGGTCATGGCTCACACGGGAATGCACAGCTCCATTCGAAGGCGGCGTCTGGAAAGTCCACGTCGAATTACCCGATCAGTACCCGTACAAGTCTCCTAGCATCGGCTTTACGAACCGCATATTCCACCCAAACATCGACGAGCTGTAAGTTGGACCCTCACGTACACCCTCCAGACGTGGACAGGGACGACGGCGTTGGGCGAGCAGGCGGATTACAAGAAGATACACCGGGACATGGCAACAGGCTAACGCCTGGATGTTTCTAGGTCGGGTTCTGTCTGTTTGGACGTCATCAACCAGACGTGGTCACCGATGTACGACATGATAAACATCTTCGAGGCTTTCCTGCCACACCTCCTGCGGTACCCAAACCCTTCCGACCCTCTCAACGGAGAGGCGGCCGCGTTGATGCTCAGGGACCCCAAGGGGTACGAGTCCAAAGTACGAGGTCAGTGAACACATCCCGGACTGGGGGCCCGGAACTGTGTCTTGTCCGGCGTGCTCACACCTCGGATAGAATATGTCCAGCGCTACGCGAGCAAGGATGCCGCAGAGGAGGCCGGCGCCGAGAGCGAGGACGACGACGATATGAGCTCGGTGGGGAGCTTCGGCGATGACGACGACGACGAACCCGCCGGCCAGATGGACGACGTGTAGGCGGGGTCTCCTCCGGCGAAGGAGCTCAAGAAGGTGGAGGAGCCTTCCGTTTGATCATCTAACTTTTTCGGCGTCATCGGTTTAACACCCCCGGCTCGGTTGGCATTGGAACTTCTGGATTCTATAAGATGGCATTCCCTTTTTCCTTTTCTTTTTTTGTCTTTTGTTTTTTTCGGTTCTCCCGTGGGAGTGCAACGAGCCATGAGCCGTTGACCGTCCGCTGCTTCTCTCCTGAGGTGAGTATGGGTACAAATTTATCGGGAGAAGGCGACGAGGACAGAGGCCTGGACAGTTCTGTAGGGAGGAAATAGTCGATGGGAACAAGGGAATAAGGGAACATTCATATCAGCCCCTGCACAAAGGAACAACACCTAATATCAGATAAGTGGTCAATCAAGATCAATCACTCAACAAGTCTCTCGAAGTCGCATGATCAAGTGATATGTTTCGAATTGGGAACTCTATGGGGTATCATAACGCTATTTCAAAAACAACATAAGAAGGCTCTTGCTCAGTCCGAGTCATAATCCACCAGGGCTGAAGACGTGGCAGCGACCTTTTCAGGTGGTTTATCTTCTGGTGGTGGGCTGGGTTCCACCCCGGGCTGTCTCTTTCTCTTCAGCCCAGGTATGATGTTGGCCGTGTTCTTGGTGTTGTCCCTGGTCCGTGGCTCGAGGAACGGGTCGCTGGCCATCCGGGTGTTGCCAACAATCTCGGAGACCAAGGAGCTCCTCATCTTGGATGCTGCGACCTCCGACTTGAGCAGCTTCTTCGTGGGGGTCTTCCTGTCTCTCGTGTTCGTCTCCTGCACCATAGGCTTTGCCCCGCCAAACAGTGGTTTCGCAAGGGCCTTGTCGCCCTCCTCAACCAGGCCGTCGGGTGCCTTGCCGAAATCCACCAGCTTCGCCCACCGCGCATCCTCCTCGCTCTCGGGCAACAGCTCGATCCCCAAGCCCATCCTGTCCCTAAGGTCCTCGGCGGCCGCGGCGTCCTTCTCCCTCTGCTTCCGGCCCACGCGGAACGTCTTCCTCAGCATCTGGTTGCGGGCGTACGGGTCGTCCCACTGCCTCGCGTTGGCATCCTCGATCTCATCGATCCTCTCCCGCGCCGCAGCGAGCGCGGCGCGGTCCTCGATCGTCTTCTCGAGCTCCGAAAACGCAGCCTCCCGCTCCTCGGCCTGCTCGCGCGCCGTCTTGATGGCCGGCACGCCCACCCCGTCCCCGACGAGCGAGTCCCCGTCCCCTTTGCCCTCGCCCGTGTCCCTCCTCCTCCCGCCCTCGACGACGACGTACGCCGTGTTGCGCGGGTCGGTGCGCACCTCGATCCAGCCGCCGCACGCGGCGTGGCGCATGCGGAAGCTGTACACGGGGCTGCTGTAGTAGTTGCCGACCCTCTTCTTCTCGGCGTTGAAGCGCACGCCCTGCCCGATCACGACGGGGGGGCTGCAGTGCCCGCACCACACGGCGAAGGGCATCTCGAACCGCACCGTGAGGATCCCCTCGCTGCGGAGGCGCGAGGCCCGCGCGCCCAGCGCGTGGCCCTTGCCCGAGGCCTGGTTCGCGCTCGCGACGCCCTCGAGGTCCGGCGGGACGTACCGCCCCATGTTGAAGCCTTGCATCCTGGGCGGTGGTGGGGGTGGTGTCGCCGGCGGGCGGCCACGTGATCGGGGGCGTGTTTGTGTTGCAGTGTCGTTGGCTGGGTTGTTGTTGTGTGCTGCTTGGTTGGTTGGGTGGTGGGTTGGTTGGTGGTGGAATGCACGGTGGGTTTGGCTGGACTGATTGATGCAGAATGGGGTCTGTCACTAACACTGCCTGGGACAGACCCTATGTTCTCCAGACCCTTTCTTAAGTGGATTCCTACAGCCTACACAGATGCGCCAAACAACAAATCTAGAAGCTTTAATACTGAGTGAAAATTGTAAGACTTTGTTTCCTTTCTCAATAAAAAAAAAGGCGGCGTATTTCCCTTGAACACGCTGTAGATACTCAACAACCTCAGAATCCCGCACTGGACAACCAACTCGAAATGTCTTTTCCTTTCTGAGTCTTTCTCGCCAATCTGGCCTCCTCCGTGCTCCGTCTCATCACTATTTCGTTGCTCAAGTCGAATGGGCACACCATATTCTCGAGCTCCCTCAACTTCCGAATCTCTCCCGCAGCCTTGATGGTGGCAGGACGGATGATGCCACGCCGAGCAAAAGCATCATTCAACACTCGGCCGTTCTCCCGCTTCTCCGCCTCCTGGGCAGGCATCTCTTGGAGGCCGTCGCTGCTGGAGAAGTCGCCAGTCATTATGCATTCCTGGAAACTTGCATTCTCCTCGTTGATTCCTCCGCCGAGATCCCAAAATCCACTCAGGAACTCGTCGCATGGGTTCGTGACGCATGCCCAGTCGAAGTCGAGAATGGCGGTGAGTTTCCCTTGTTCCTTGTCGTAGAGCATGTTGTTCATTGCTGTAACATAAACATGTGGTTAGTGTATCAAGACAACGCATGTGCTCAACGACTGTGAGGCAATACATACTGAGGTCACCGTGTACGAGAACCCTCTCTGAAATGTCCTGGCTACCCAGGATACGGGAGACCCCGTCGTTTGCCAAGAAGGAATCTAGGCGCTCCCTAATATCACTGTCCTTCCAACCACGCAGTACCGAGCTCTTGTCCGAATCAAGAACCTGGGCCTTGAGCTTCGCGGTCCAGAGGCTGGTGTATGTATCCCAGGGGCCTCCCACGACGAGCGGCATCTCGCCAGTGACAATCTGGCCGCTCTCGCTGAACGTCAGAGATCCAAAGCCAGTGACAGAATCAGGCACCCGTGCTCGCTGGATCGAGAGGAACGCATCCGCGATCTGCTCCATGACAGAGGTCTGCGCCTCCCGCGACAAGGTGGGGAACACCCCGTCCAGATCCGAGCCTTGCTTGAACTCGAGGATGCTCCAGCCGAATCCCGACTCGTCCGGCTGCTCGTGGAAGCGGCACGATCCCCAGGCATAGACGGCGGGCACGACGGGCGGGCGGTTGTCCTTCTCTAGTGAACGGCGGACTAGATACTGAGCGGCAACCTCATTTTCGACCCGGTTGGCATTGTTGAGCCCTTCGGCACGCGGGTTGCTGAGACGAACGACAAGCACGGATGTCCCGTCTTCCGGCAGTGGGTACGTGCCTGGCTGCTCACCCGACAGCTTTGATGACTCTCGAGTCGCTGGGGATGTGAGAGTGGCCTTGTAGATGAAGTTGTTGAAATGGAACGGGCAGTTCTCAAAATATGCAAGAGCCTCTACCGAGGTGGGCTAAATAGGGTCAGTCATGGTACCGCCGTCCACACAATACTCGATAAAAGTCAACTTTCAGAGCAGGGCTTACTTCTAATCCATGGTTTTGCAGAATTTGGTGCACGAATTGCATCCGGTTCTCATAGCCTGGCTGGTTGACGTTGCCGTTTGAAGCCATCTCGGGGGTTATCAACGCTTCCCGGGCTGCAGTGGCTGTTTTGGTCCGGACTTCGAAACGCTGGCACAACACGTACGAAGGATGGAACCTGACCAAAGATGCCGATGTGGGCAGCAACTGTGTCCAAGGCCTTATTTATGGTTTTCAGTAAGACCAACGTCTTTTTCGACAAGTGATGATCGGGGAGTTGCTCCTTATCTGCCCCGTATGGCGCCTCCCCCATTCGCGTTAGGACTGTCAGTTATCTATTCCGCCCGGTGGCACAGGCTTTGGCCCACAGCACTTGGCTATGCGCCATCCCTGATTTTCAGGCGTGCATCCTGTGATGGATGGCGAAGGATCGTACCAGACTGTGCCGCAGAATAGCAGCGCAAGCGAAACGATCGTGGTGCGTTTTGAAGTTCTCAAGAAGTGGGTAGACACCGAATGCAACGCTGACATGTTGCAGCTCATTGCGCGAGGACCATGGCCCGTTACCGTGCGGCGCACACTGCTGTGAAGACATCGCTCCATTCAACTGCGAAGGTCCGTTGCAAGCCGTGAGATTCCGTGCACAAGTATCCCCTGTTGCGTTCCATTAGGCTAAATCTTGCCTAGGTATGGCCGAGCTTCACGACCAACCACATGCAGCGCCCCAGGAGGAAGCATGCAGTGTCCTGGCGAAGGAGCTGAATCCCCGTACTACCTACCTACTTATCAAGTAGGTGTTTAGGTGTTTAGGTGTTTAGGTAGCAGGTAGGTGGTAGAGAAGCAGGTTGGCTCTTTTCACGGTCACACTCAAGTGCTCACGAAACGACCTGGGCATAAACCAACCCAAAAGCGACTTTGCCAAGCCCGGCCGTTAATGCATTCCGCACCTCTTCCGGCTGAGGGCGCGGCTCCTGGTAACCTTGGAAGACATATCGAGACTTAGGTCTTTGGTTCGCTTTTCACCAGCATTCTGCCAGTGGATAACAATGAAGTTCACGTTCGAGAGTTCCCTCGCGACCTAAGCTCTGCGCATAGTTAGATTTACAAAATGTTTGCAACTCTCCAAATGTCAACCAGTGACAGACTGTTTCAAGAGCCACGTCCGTGTCAACACGGCCTGTCCCGGCTGAGTCGACACAGATTCCTACGTACTGGTATGTTTCGCCTCGACTGCTGGTTCCGCTTCTATTCCGTATATGTCCGAGGACATCCATGGCGCCTTCATACGGTGATAAACGCTCAAGACCCAGCGCTTGAAAAAAAAAAATACGACGTCGATAACTGGAGTCAGAATATGGGGGAATTATCATGAGTGACTACGTCCTGACTTCTACATGCTAAGAAATGGGATGGCTAGTAGACATGCTGTATGCGGTTACATCCAAGCAGCGTTGCTGATTTGACCACAAGCACAAGGAATTATGCGTGTTACTCATTAAGGTGGCTCTACTAGATCATGCTAAGACAATCATCTAGGAGACACTGACTTCCACTTGTTTCTTCACAATGATGGCCTTGTCATCCACCCCTGTCCCGTAGATGCTGGCCTCATCATCATCGAGCCTCTCAAAGGTGAAGAGCCTGGGTGATGAGGCGCTGATCTTGGTAATGTTCATGGGGCCATCGTTCCGGAAGCCAAGACGGCTGGCCCTCGTACCGATTCGGGACGTCATGCCACGAGACATCCCGTATGACCCGGCGGTGGTGTTGCCATTGCTTGCGAAGAAGCTGCGGAAGAGGGGTCCGAGGAGAGGCAGGTTGCCGCTGACGATGGCGACGCCTTGCTCGAGGGTGGTCCAGGTCGCCGCGTAGACTTGCGTGTAACTCCCGTCCAGGGGGCTGAACTTGAGGATCTCTGTGATGCGGATGACGGATGCGACGCAACCGCTGGGGCTTAGTGTCAGCGGAGAAAGTTTGAATGATACTAGGGCTGAGGGTGAGACAAGCCGGGGGCGACTAACAAACTTCCGAGAAGGAAAATACCGACGACGGCCACCTTCTTTCGCATGTTGATCTTCAGCTGCCACAAGGCTGGGAGCGGTAACACTAGGACATAGATGTCGCCCACTAGTGAGAGAGCTGCAGCGGTCGTGCCCGAGACAACTTGATTTCGACAGGAGCCTCCCTTTATAGTTCGGTCATAGAAGAATGCGATGGGGTAACAAGTTGTGAGATTGATGGTCCAGGTCGTGACACCCCATAGGAGCGTGTAAGCGATGCCGATGTATACCCAAATCCGGAAATTTCCATATGCCCTGGTTGAAAATACTGTTGTCGCAAGTGTCAGCGAGAGCTTAACAACATCTTGAAAGGGCCCTGTTGTAGTGTGTTACCTCTAAGGTAGAATATCAGGATGGAGATTTTGACGCAGCAGAGCACAGGCTGATTGGCTCTCTGAAGGGCAAAGCTGATCTGATCGTGGGTCAGCGGCTGTGGCCCAGGAAATAATTGGTACGCCAGCAATCTTGGCTCTGATATCAGACCGTGTGTGTACATACTCTGGCAAAACGTGCCGCTTGGGCTTTTGGAAGATTGCAAAGGTGATGCCCGAGGCCATTGGCAACAACTGTAGTATTCCAGTCAGCTTGAGTGTTATGGGTATAATTTAGGACAGCTCAATTACTCACGTAGATACTGGCAAATCGCTGGTTCCAATGAGAGGAGCAAACCAATACCCATCAAATAGTCATCCCACGAAACCCTCTGGCTTGTCTTAACCCGAGCAACGATACGGAGACCATAGGTCAACAGAGAAAAGATTAGAATAATTGTCGTCGGAACCACGCCGAAGAGTTGTCTGGTGTATACATCATCCGGGATGTCTGGGGGACAAGAGCTCGCCGCAGCTGAAGACATGTTGATACGCGGTGATCAGCCCAGCTGATATCAAAGGCACGGATGATATCTAACGACCGAGCGTCAGAGACATGGGACGGAGAAAGTGGCGAACGCGTACCTAGGTAGCACAACGACAGTTATCATTGTGTGGTCGAGGTGGGGCGGAGTATATTATACCAAGAAATCTTCACATGTATTCTCCACATATGCGATACTTTCCGACTCATAGAACGACCCATTATCGATCGTATGGCAAAGTTTGAGAAACCGTTGGCCCTTGCGGTAGTTTGTGTCCAAGGGACCGGATTGATGCGTTCCCTTGCTGCAGCGGTTTTACTTCGCCGTGCAGACGAGTCCGGGGGAGCGGAATATGCTAAACCTGGCGAACCAGTTTGAATACTTTTCCGCATTTGGTAAGTCAACTTTTGCAGCCACATCTCGATCAGCCATGTCGGTGTTCAGCCTCTGTTCGCCTCTGCTGAATGGGGAGCTCAAGAGTAACAATCCCTGGAAGGGCCCAGGTGCCGAGTGTCGATGACCACAGGAGATAGATGGGCATCCACCTACATTCAACACATAGTTCCAGAAGCTTGGCTATGTTCCGTCAAATGTCACCTTGGTTCCCGACGCGTCAGCCCAGATCTGGCGGCATGATCCATGAACCGCCGGGGCTGCGTCTATGCATGCCCGTCATCTAAAGACCCCGGTCATCTCAAGGCTGCGATATCAGCCGAATCATCGGATGGTCGAAACAGCCCACGAGATGGTACCATGTAGTAAGGCTGTATGTGAGCTTGGCATCTGCGTGTTGGTTTCCCAATTGCGAATAGAACAGCATGAATCTGCTCGCCTGGGCAGGTGGAGCTGAGATCCGCTCAAGGGCCTTTGAGCAATTTTGGTATCAAAGGGCCACTGGTTTCAACTCTGCATTAGGCTGGGGCCGATTAGCGCACCAATGGTTCCTAGATCACGGTAACTGCTAGCTCCCAGAACCCCAGGTATTGGGAGGCTTATTTTCCCGTCCGGCGGCACAGACTCTGGCGTACTACCGCATCGCTAACGTCTGCCGACGTCAAACTAGTCAAGCAATGGCCATTGGGGATATAAGCTCTGCCGAGAAGTTGCTTAGCATTATACCCCGTTGGTTATAACTAGGTAGGTTGACCGAAGACTCATCAAACCAAGACATCAAGGCGAGAAAACTGCATCCAATATCATGTCATCGACATCTTCAAGTTATCTACTAACATAGGCATCAACACGATGGTATCCCGGGGAACAAGGCATCTTCTCGTGCTTTATTGATGCCCTGTCTCGTTCGCCAACGTAAATGATCCCTCCTGTCTTCGGACGAACCGCATTCCAAAGACCATGTTACGTGATGCACACCCTCACAACTTTGAAAAAGATCGGGTTTAAGCGCGTGTGCATATGGAACACAGTTGTCCCACCCAAATTTACGCGCTGCATTTGATGCGATTGGTGGATATAAAGCCCATCAATCAATGCAGTTCCCCCAGATCTGCTTCCATTGATCAGTCAGGGTTTCTGTAACTTATAACCGCCCATAAGGCGGGAAGTCGCCCGGGGTTGCCAAGCCCTGTTCCTTGTGTCGAATCCCGCACCAGAGAATTGGCATCGATGGGTGAGTTTATCCCGGGAGGGCTAATTAGGACTAAACAAGGTTTGTAACCCGACTTCTCGGTTTCGTTCAACCCTCTTCTTTCTTTGTAAGAGATCCGTAAAGCCAATCTGCTGCCATGATAGGGCTAGGAGATGCAGCACGTCTGCTCTGCACAGGGTTGCCTTGACCAGCGACCAGCATAGCATAGGAGTGAAGTTCGCAAGACCCATGTGCCGATATCGACTCCTCCATACCACTCTAGTTGATGTTGGTGTTGCAATTGCTTCACAAGATCGTGAAGATCGACATGAATCATCATCCTGCAATATTGCCAACGGTACCACTGCTTGCATAACTACTGCACTGCTGTCCGTTAATCTCAGCCGTGTCTCAGCACGTTGAAGCATTCTAGCCCTCGGGGTTAAATTCTGAGACCTCAAGTGCTCATTCAACCGGTTACGATATCGGCTTATATTACATATTATAGCTTCAAGATGCCGAATAGTGTTGATTCTCACACTAATTGAAGTATGCGGGGAGGACATAGATCTCGTAGCATCCCCGGTGTGACTTTGAGCTTACTGTGTTGCCACTTGGTCTGCTTGCTTTCTTTTCTCTCTAGGCACTTTCGCTTCTTCCCCCCAGCGTTCTGTCTCCCGGGTTCCAATCTTGTATCAACTCACGGTAATTCAATCATTTGTACACATAATGGCATTCCATCAGGATGACCACATCTCAGGGCCGAGCAAGTCCTTCGAGATCATGACCAAGTCTGAGGCTGTCAAGGTCACGGATGATGGCATCGTCTTAATCCCCCGCCCAAGTGACGACGCAGAAGACCCGTTGGTAAGACTCCCAAAGAAGAATCCAGACCGGCTATGCACCAGGCGGCTAATTCGATAACGACAGAACTGGTCTTTCTCCAGGAAATCAGTGAATCTGGCAATTCTCTTCCTGGGCCTCTTCGTGGGCTTCGCTGCCCCCTTCTGCGGCCAGCTCAACCTCTTGCAACAGGCCGCCCTCTACCACAAGACCACCGTCCAGATCACGTACTTCAACTCGGCCGCTTCAGCAGGGCTGGCGACCGGCGGGTTCATCTGGTGGCCCCTCAGCCACAAGTTAGGGCGCAGCTCCGTCATCTTCTGGTCCCTCTTCGGGCAGCTGGGCTGCCAGATCTGGGCGCCGCTGATGACAGGGCCTAATGACTACGTGCCGTATCTGGTCTCCCGTTACTTCTCCGGCTTCTTCGGCATCGTTGTCAGTGTTCTTGGACCCCGGTACCTCGTCGACATGTATTTCCTCCACCAGAGGGGCAGGGCCTTCACCTTCCTCCACCTGGCGTTGAACTTCGGGGCCTCCTTCGGCCCAACGGTATCCGGTTTTGTGGCTGGCCGAAGCTACTGGCCCGTTGAGTACTGGTGGTCCGTTGCACTGTGTGGCTTCACCATCATCGTCGTGTTCCTGTTCCTCGAGGAGACAACCTATGACCGAACGCCTGGGGCTGTGAACCGCATCAAGCCTGACTCCTGGCTGAAGGACCGGTACGAGACATTCCTCTTCGGGTCCAAGGTCGGTGCTGGTGTGTCTTGGGGTGACATGGTAAGTAGTCTTTCAGCACCCACTAGCAAGACTCGAGAGCCTTGGCTGAACTGTTCCGCAGGGCAAAGTTTTCATCCAGCCATTCAAGATGATGTTCGCGCCGGTCATTTTAATTATTGCTGGGTTTGATACGATAGCCTTCGGCTTTTACGTCGCCCTCAACGCCTTGACACCGGTCTGGCTGCAGATGCCACTCAAGGCCGGCGGCATCTATGGCTTCAACGTCACGGAGAACGCTGCCTTCACCTTTGTCCACTGGGCTGGCTTCATGATCGGTCTCGTCTACGGCCACTTCTTCAGCGACCGCATTCCTCTGTGGCTTGCGGCCCGCAACAATGGAGTTTGGAAGCCCGAATACCGACTCCACGCCCTCTGGCCCACCAACTTCGTCCTGATGCCCCTGGGCCTGGGCCTCGTCGGCGCGGCGATGCAGTTCAGGCTTCACTGGTGGGTCATGGCGGTCGCTCAGCTCTTCGTGACTATCGGCTCGCTCGTCAGCATACCTACGACTGTCAACTACATCTGCGAGTGTTTCCGGACGAACACGGTTGAGGCCACACTGCTCCTGAATTCTATGCGCTTGTTCATGGGCTTGTCTATCAACTTCTACATCCAGCCTTGGATCGCGGCAGTGGGTATTGGCTGGGTATACGGCCAGCAGGCCTTCTTCACCCTCTTCGCCTTCTGCTTCCTAATTGTGCTCATGATCTGGGGACGTCAGATCCGTCAATTGTCTCCTTTCAGCACTTCAAAGTCTGAGGAAGGCCAGCACATATATGACAAGGGGGCAGAGGAGCATGGCTTATAGACAGATATCGATTTCGACATTATCTACTAGGTTAAGGTTGCATCTCAGACCATCGCTCCAGAACCCAGAGCACCGCCTCGACGCCCACCTCAGGGCCCGTGATAAGAATGCTATGCCCGTGATCCAACGCCGTGATGTACTTGTTCACACTCGAAAGACGAAGCTGGCTCGCCCGCAGCTCATCATCATGCAGCCTGAGCTTCCCCAGGAACGCCCGGCACTCCAGGCTGTCCTCCTCGGAGCCGTTGCCCATCTCCTCGCCGGCCTCGAACATCAGCCTGAACTCCTGCGAGAAGTCGGCGCGCACGACGGCGAGCGGGACGTCCCCCAGCGCCTGGTTGGCAAACTGCTGCTCCCGCAGCAGCCTGCGGGCCGACACCCTGCAGTCCTCGTAGTCGGTCGCCGCGGCGGTCCGCCGGATCATGGCGGCGACGTGCTCCCACTCGTGCTCCGTGAGCCCGGAGCGCTCGCGCGTGCGCGTGACGGCGCCAAAGTCGACGCCCCTCGTGACGTCGAAGAAGACGGGAGGCGGGATGGACGGCTCGAACAGGTCGTACATGAGCTCCGTGGCCGCCTCGACGAGCACCATGCCGGCGACGGTGCCCGCGGGCCCGTCGTCCTCGGCGCCGCGGCGCTGCTGCTCCCGGCCCAGCAGGGCCAGGAAGGCCCGCGCGCAGATGCACCCGTACGAGTGGCCGACCAGGACGTACGGCGGCGCGATGCGGAGGACCTGCAGCAGCTCGTGCAGCTCGCGCGCGGCCTGCTGCGCCGTCAGCACGACCTCGCTGCCCTTGCTGGCGCTGATGTCGCCGCGGCCCAGCTCCGAGTAGCCGTAGCCGGCGCGGTCGTGGAACAGCACGCGGACGTGGGAGGCCAGCTGGCGGCGGAAGCGGACGTACGCCGCGCAGGGGGTGCCGCCGCCCGAGAAGAAGAGAACCAACGGTGAGCCCGGGGTGCGAGGGGGCCCGGACGTGGAGACGTTGAGCTTGTGGTGGCGGGAGACGGAGACGAGGGCGTCGATGTCGGTCGCCTCCCAGGGGTTCTGCAGGGGGTCGGCGGGCGGCCTGCGCCAGCTTGTGCTGGGTTTCCGCGTCATGATGTGGTCTCAGTGGGAGCCGTCAATGGCATCGTGAGTATCCTCGTTCGTTGAGTGCTCAGGTGAGTCCTGTCATGACCTCGACCGGGACAGGAGCAGATGGGGACTCGGAGCGGTGTAAGCAGACACTCTCACTCTCACACTCACACACACACACTCACACAATATACCCCCCATTCTCACAAAAAGGGTGTGACAATGACTCCATGCGATGGTCTGCAGCAGCTCGACGAATGGTTCTTATTTGACGTCACCGCGCATCCCGTCGAGCAATTGGAGATCTCCCGTCAACGCCATGTCACCCCTTCAGCATGACTAGCTGCCAGAACCCCACAAGCACGGCGCCCTTTCGTATCCAACTTCTGGTCCCGACTTGGTCTGGCCCCGAGTCGAATCTGAGACAGTTTGCTCGGGTGTGGCGTGACGGCGCGGGCTGACGCCAGAGTTGGTGCAGGCTTGCATAATGGTCAGTTGTATGGTGGTTTTGTTGAGTGAGTGAGGTGTCCTAAGTATTGTGATTTAGAGCATTGCCGGAGTTGGTGATCCTCGGAGCACTGCCACTGGCACAAAGGGGTAGACGGATCGAAATTATGAACTGATCGCTGACAATATACATTGATGACTTTTGAATTTTGCCTTGTAAATCAGCACGCCCTATATATCTTATTCCCTCACAAACAGACCAGCCATGCCCATGCCGGTCCCAACACACATGCTGACAACACCAACCTCGCCGTCACTCCTCTTCAGGCCGTGCATCAAGGTGCTCGTCATCCTGGCACCGGTGGCACCGAGAGGGTGGCCCAGGGCGATGGCGCCACCGTCGGGGTTGATCTTGGCCATGTCGCCCTCGAGGCCCAGCTTCCGGATGCAGTAGAGGGCCTGGCTGGCAAAGGCCTCGTTGATCTCCCAGCGGTCGACGTCCTTGTTCTCCAGCCCGACCTGGCCCAGCAGCTTGGGGATGGCCAGGGCGGGGCCGATGCCCATCTCGTCGGGGGCGCAGCCCACCGAGACGGCCGACACGAACTTGCCGATGATGTCGCCGCTCAGGCCGAGCTCGGTGGCCGTGCTGCGGCGCATCAGCAGCGTCGCGGCGGCGCCGTCGCTGACCTGGCTCGAGTTGCCGGCGGTGCTGGCGCCGTCGGGCTTGAAGGCGGGCTTGAGCTTGGCCAGGGCCTCGGCCGACACGCTGGGCCGGATGCCGTCGTCCTCGGTGACGGCGATGGTCTTCTCGTCGCCGACCTTGTTGCCCTGCTTGTCGACCTCCTGGAAGCGGGTGGTGACGGGGGCGATCTCGGCGGCGAAGCGGCCCTCGCTGCGGGCGCGGGCGGCGCGCAGGTGGCTCTCGGCGGCAAAGGCGTCCTGGTCGGCGCGGGCGACGCCGTGGCGCTCGGCGACGTTCTCCGAGGTCAGGCCCATGGGCATGATGCAGTCGCGGGCGTCCTTGACGGGCGAGTCCTTGAGGGCCGGCCACACGTCGACGGGGATGGCGCGGCTGCCGTAGTTGCGCGTCATGCTCTCCATGCCGGCGCCGATGCCGACGTCGATGGCCCCGGAGCGGATCTGGCCGGCCACGGCGGCTATGCTCTGCAGGCTGGAGCTGCAGGCGCGGTTGACCGTGTACAGCGACGTCGTGGACGGGTAGCCGACGTGGTTCATGGCCATCCTCGCCGCCTTGGACCCGCCCAGCTCCGACAGCACCACGCCCACCGCCACGTCGTCGATCTTGCCCGGGTCGAGCCGCGGGTTGGCGTCGAGCGTCGCCCTCAGCACCACCGACAGCAGCTCTTCTGGGTATGCATCTTTCAGCTGGCCCTTGTACGATCGGCAGATGGGTGTGCGGAGCGACGAGAGGATCACGACGTCGGACGGCGCCTTGGAGAGGACGGCCGAGAGGCCCTTGGGGAGCGGAGCCATCTTGCACGGGGCGGAATCGGTGTTGAGAATGCGAGGCCGGGACGGTGGGGGGCGAAGTATACGGTACTATATGTCGAAGTGAGCGTCGGAGAGGGACCTAGTATAGCAGAACAGCTGCGCACAAGGTCAATTGACAGCCTGGGTTCACGATGGGTATAATTGAACAAGTATAAGAAATTGTAGTACACAAAAGAAAAAGTGACAAAGAGAACTAGACGGCGCCATGGAACGATAATATCCGGGACGAGCTCGGCATTGTAGGCGTCGGGAACAACACCCGGCGTCGGCAGGCGAGGTGGGGGGACAAGCTCTCTTCCGGGGAAGCTCTCCCACGCTCGAGAGTGGCCACTGGGAGCGCTGTGTTGCTGTGGGGTAGCTCTCCGGGAAAAACACAGGCCCGGGGCCTCGGAAGGCAGTCCAGCGCGGCTGTTCCGACAGGCGCCTTGAACTTTGAAGCTATCGTCAACATTCGGCTGCATTCAACAGGGCCTGAACTATGACAGCTCATTAACGTCGTAGAAAGTGTTGCCTGCATGGCGTAAATAGAAACCGCCAATCGAATCAAAACCGGCACATACGACAGAGGTAGTAAATGTGCCTCCCTTCTTTCGCTAGGGTCTGTACGCTTGGGCCTTGCAACTAAGCCTCTTCCTCGAGGGTCTGGTTTTAAAGCGCTTGAAAACGAATGTAACAATAGCATCGTGCGCATATTCGCATGTGATTCCACGTAAATAGGAGAATCCAGATCGTAAATAGAGCCTGAACCACGTCACGTTACTGTACCAAGACGACTCGGACATTGCACTGCCAAGAGCTCCTCGCCCACGACGTACCTTTTCACGAGTCGGCATCATTTGCTCAAGTCATTTGCCTAACATTGAAGGTAGCATCTGGGACGTGTGATAACTGCAATGATTCGAAATTTGTCTACAGAATGACGCACAATGGCACCCTGGACAGAGAGGAGGTTCGTGTACGTCTATGTCCTCTAGACTAATGCCGAAATCGTGGGATATTGGTCGTAGGATGCCCTTGAACACAGCAAAGATTGGTAAGAGCACATCATCATGCCTGCGTTCAGGAGGTTCGCTGGCATAAAGACCGCAACTCAACCACGGTCTGCGCAGCCTGACACTACCAATCCAACTGCGGGACCCATGGATGATTTGCTGTCGAGTCTCAAAGCTCTATTCGGTGTGATGACCACTCTCAATTGAATCTTGAGGAACCTAATCCTGGTAGTTGGCAACATTGACCGAGATATCTCGGACCCGGACCGGGAGAACAAATACGAAAATAAAGATGACCGAAGCAGTCTGATAATCGGTATCATGTCACCATCAGGTGACAATGTGGAATCGGTCAGACGGCTGGACGAACACAATCCGCAGAGTCTCTCAGAATATATGCAGGAAATTGAAAAGTAAGGTCGGTCAGACACGTAAAGAAAGACAAACAATTGGTCATTTTAATTCCCATTGCTAAATGTAGTATTGCCTGCAATCTTCTACCAAACGAGCGACATCTCCGAACCGTCCAGCAGTTTCAACAGGCACCTCAGGCAGGTGACAACCCACCTTCCTGTATTATTCGATACCTAGGTAGCCTCACTTGCGGCCTCCATTTGCTGCAGCAGCAGCGTCTTGAGCAGCTTTCTTCGCGGCGGCAGCCTTCTCAGCAGCCTTCTCAGCAGCCTTGGCCTCGGCTTCGATCCGTTGGCTCAACCTCATCAACATGAGATTCTTCCTCTGGTCCTCCTTGACCTTCGCGTCAAGCTCAGCATCAGGTGGCGGTGTTGCCTCGATCAGGTCCGCTGCACCGGTCTTTTCGTTGAAAATGGAGTCCATGTAGCGCGCGTCACTCGCGTCAACAACCACACCCATCCACGCGAAGTCCTTGAGGCCTTCAACAGTCCCTGCGTAGCGCCTGCAGTCTAGATCGGGTCTTCGAGCTGCCTGGACGAAGGCGATAACTAATTCGATCCAGGAAATGCATCCCTGAGAGGTATGCATGGCTGCCGGCTGCCGCCACTCTATAGTTTTGCCGGTTCCCGGAAGATCCGCGTCCAAGTTCTTGAAGTTCCAGGCGAAATATCTGGTCTCGCCACCGTGCATGAGGTCAACCACGCTCTGGACAGTCTTGCAGGCTTCGATGAGTCTGATGCAACCGGCCACGTTCTTGTCTTTGAAATACCGATTGTTGTTTCTGAAGGTTTTGGCCCAAAAGTTGCCGTTCCGGTGAGGTGGGAGCAAGACTATCATGGCGCGCTCGAAGTGAATGATTGCTTTGCAGATATCCTTCAGCTCCGACAATTGCCAGTCTGTGTCGCGAGGAGAAATGTGGACATGGAAACCACAGCTTTGATTTCCTTGCATCCAGCAGACGCTTCGTAATTGATTGAACAGTTTAATTATCTGGTGGCGATAGTCCCCTCCAGCTTTGAAAACCATGATGGGAGAGACCAACTCAACTGGATCTGATGACAGATTAGCCAAAAGAAATTGCGATGTTTGCGCATGGAAAGCCATAAGACGGGATACTTACACAAGTTTTTACTAGCATCACCTCCTTTGATGGTTGAATCATCGGTCAAGATCCAAGCTGAATAGGCAGGACCGTTGAAAGGCAGACCGTTCGCAAAGTGGGGATGGAGTTGTATGGGGTTCTGTCCCCTCCCTGGAGCATCCTTGTACCCTTTGCATATCAGCTGAGCAGCGTGTCTGCTATCCTTAGGCAGTTGAATATCGGATGATTTAAGCGAGTCATCAGTCACCAGAGACACGAGTGTCTCAATCTCGCAGCCGATTCTCAACTCGTGGCCTTTCGCTTCCAAACTTGGTGGAGGAGCCATGTCGAGGTAGTGATAGTAATGTTCGGGGATTGTGTTGAGGCTTCGCGAACGGAAAGATTAGAATGAATGTATTGTTGAACAAGATTGGTGATGTAGACAGAATCAGTCGTAAGAGTCGTTGTGTGCTATTCGAACTCTGAAGTAGAGCGAGTGCTTGAGAAGTTTGAATGTTTGAATGGTGTGAGCGTGAATGAACTCCAAGAGAAAACTCACCACACATATCAAGACTAGACATGGCATCTTATATTTCCTTCATGTTTGTTATGGAATCAGAGACTGTCTTCCTCCAGAATCAAGTCTCACTCTGTCAACGATGTGAGGCTGCCTCTACTGCGCCGTGGGCCTGCATGTGTCGAGGCCCAGCTCAGGAGTCGGATCAAGGGCGTTACCCGTGGCCACCGACCGCGGGAATTCCATGCGCGCGGCTGGCCATGTCGGCCTGTGAATGTCTCTCCACGTATACAACATTTGAGGCCAACAACATGCCAGCCTCTGCTGGATGCTAAAAATATACCTGTCTGTGCCACCACCGGGCATGGCCTTCAGGTAACTGACCTAAGGCCCAGCACCGCATTACAGGCTCAACTGTACATGTGTGTGATATAATTACACTCAGGGTGTCCACTGAGTCCTTTGATTGGGGTCCGCGGTCTATAACTGCTGGTGGGGTGATGATGGGGTACTGCACATATGCGTGTTGGTGATTCAGAGTCTCAAAATAGGTACGCGTTTACCGATCGAAGGAGTACCAAAATCGTTTCAAGTCTTGACTCTTGTCCGGTTCTTATCGAATACATGAGCCCTAACTTTCTGCGGTTGAATCAGGTGAATTTTTACTTCCAGTGTTCAAGAGAAACGAGAAGTATCTATTACGGCCAAATATCCTCGCCTTTGAAAGCGTCAGCATAAAAGTTTGGGAACTTGTTGTAGGCGTGCAGTGGTCCGCATGGGCCTTGGCAGTGTGGATATACACAAAAATGGTAAGCCGAAAACTTGGCCCCCAGTGCCAGCCGCCGTTGCATCAGACCAACAGGCCGCTCGGCGGCCCGTTGGCTACACCCCCTCTCGCCAGTGGTCCGACGGGCCTGTAGGATGTCGCCAGTGAAGTACTGCCTGCCTGGCTGCATCACCAGCAGCCGGCCATCTCAGGTACTAAAATAAACCTGCGACCTGCTGTGCCTCTTCGGTCAAGTTCCGCCATTTCCCAATACCTAGGAAGCAGAAACGATCTCAACTTGCCTTCAACGGCCTCACCATTTTGACTTGACAACATTGACGAATCAAAAACACATCCAGACAAAGTCAGCACATTACTGCATATTGCCAACAAGATTTGAGGCCGCACTTCCATCGTCAGACCCTCGTGTGTCTCCTCACTTTTACGATTATGGAAGACGACAAACAATTGCCCCACGCCGACGAAGACACAGACGTCAAGACTCAAGGCGATGACGAAACCGCAATCTCAACAGACGCAACGTCTCAAGAACCCGAGCCACCCCAGGAAGAGTTACGCGGGTTTGCTGCAAGGTATGCGTCTTATCTCAAGTACCAAGAAGAGCATCCGGAATATGACCTCGAGGCCGAGTACGAGCGCATGAGAGAAGAGTCCACGGCAGCCTATGTCAAACAACGCCAGGGTAAGGAGACCTACTTCTTCTACGGGACCCTGATGGACCCTGCCATCGCACAGAAAATCCTCGGCCTGGAGGCGCCACCTGCCATGCGGCCTGCGGTGCTCAGAAACCGCGGCCACCTCAAGATGTGGGGGCCCTACCCTGCCTTCGTGGCTGACCAGCAGCCGAGGGTCGAGGTGAAGGGGATGATTTGCGAAGTTGAGGGGACCACGGCCAAGGACCGGCTCGCGGCGTACGAGGGCAACAAGTACGACGAGGTCGCGTGCTTGATAAACCCCCTCAGTGACGATGGTAGCCTTGAGAAGGGCATCTACGGCTGGGTTTTCGAATGGATCGGCAGCGCGGATGATTTGAGCGATGGCACATTTGATCTGGAGGTGTACAAAGCGGCCAAGGCAGAACTTGACGCTGCTGAGGCATGAGTTAGAAACCCTAGCTAAGGTCTTATATCGGTCATATCAGTACAAACCTACGCCTCTGGGACGTGGGTGCATCCATTTTCCCTCTAGCTTGCTGCATGACCGGCATTCCATGGATCACACAGCAAGCACTGGCAATCGCACTTGGTCGATACTACGGCCGTCTTGTGAGAAAAGAATTCTTCATAGGAAATATGGGAAATCCCAGATTTGAAAATCACGTATGACAGACCCAAATATGAACCTCCCCTGAGCTTTTACCACTTACATTTTTCTGGTTTCGCTTCTATTCCGCAAACGCCCGAAGACATCTTAGTTACATGGCGCCTTCATGAGGTGGCAAACGCTCAAGATCCAGCGTTTGAAAAACACACAGTGTTAACTGTGCCAAAAGTCTATACGATAGATGTCCGCAGTCATTTAAAATGAGCTTTCTGAGGGAACACCCAGGAGATAAGAAGTGGCACAGTATTCTAGCAATGCAAAGAAGTCATTCAGATCATAGGGGTTCTCCCTTTTATGAGCACATCAATGAGAACAACTGTACGAGAACGAGCCGAGTGAGAACACTTCGCATTTCAGGACTTAAAGGGGGGCATTCCAAAGGCCCTGGCGACGCACTCAATCTCAGGGATAAAACTGTCCGCCCTGCTTTGAAAGACCAATGTCACGATTCCAGAAAGATAGTCAGGATATAATCCATTTCAATTTTTTCCCTTCATAATCAGCTATATTTCCCACCAATAAATCCAAATATGAACGCCAGCCCCATGAAGCCGTAAAAGCCCACAGTCTGTCTGCAGAACAGAACTCCCGACCACCAGAACGCACACGCTGCCGAAAAAGCGAAAAAGTGCTAGACTCCCAAAAAGAGTAGTCCAGCTGAGACATTCATTTTGGAGCGTCTCCAAGCCCGACGAGAAACAAGAGCAAAAAGGCGACGACTCGGAGATCGAGCCCGTGGCACAACAGCCCAAGATAATGCACCCTGTCCAAGCAATATGATACATAGCAAGTATGTATAAGGTGAAACTTGTGCCACCCTCGAGCCATATCATTCTGGCCTCAGGCCGCGAGGCAGGACTTTTGTTTTGTTTTGGCGTGAAGCAAAAACACCCATCACGATGCATGCCGGCCTGAATGAGAATGCCGGGGAGAGAAGAAGAAGAGAAAAAGACAAGAATCGAAGCTTGGAACAATCTGGGGGTATCATGGCAACCAATCAGTCTCGGATCCCAAGCCCGACCAGCCTGAGCCTCTTGGTCGGGCTCACCGGCTCGGCGGCGCGCCTCGCCTCGTCCGCGACGCTGGCGTCGTACTTGCGCTTCCCGCCCCCGCTGCCCGACAGCGACAGCCCGGACTTGTTGACCGGGCCCCTCAGCGTGGACTGCATCCGCTGGCTCTTCTCCGCCGCGACGGGCGTCGGCGTCACGTCCCGCGAGTTGTGCGAGCTCGCCACCTCGAAGCTCTCCCGCGGGTCCCGCCTCAGCATGGCCGACGCCTCCTGGCTGGCCTGGCTCTCGTACACCTGGCTGTCGGCCTCGGTCTGCTGGCTGCGCTGCGACGGGAGCGGCCGCCGCGGCGGGGGTGAGCCGCGGGACGCAAAGGACGCGACCTGCTGCGCTACCGATTGGAGGGCGGCCCTGGCGAGCTCCTGGTTGTCGTCGGCTGATATCGTGCTCTCTCGGCTCTGGTGGGCCCGCTCGGGGCGTTCGCTGCGGGCGAAGCTGAGGCCTCGCTCGGGTGTTTCTGGGATGAAACTTCGGTTTACGAAGCGGCGTGGTGGTTCGGTCTGAGGTACAAGGTCTGCGGCGGGTAGCAAATCGGATCCACGTGGTCTAGGCGGATTTGGCGTTGTTGGAAGAGATGACAGTGAGTGGACACCCCGGGAGTGCTTCAATGGGTGCCGCCCTCCCGATCGGTTCGGCGTAGCTGGGGTTGAAGGAGCACTGCTATTTTCCTGCGTGGCAGCTTGGAGAAGGACTGCGAAAGGCTCCTGACGCCCCTCGCGGCTGTCTCGTTGTTTAGGTGTCTGTCGTGGTGTCGTCCTGAATTGTGCAGGAGACGCATGTGCGGTCTTGGGGGTGTGAAACATGCCCCCAGGGCTTGCCAGCTGGTTCCAGAGCTCTCTCTTGTCTTGCAGGCGATTTCGGAGCAGCTCATTTTCCTCGCGTAAGCTATCCATGTCCTCTTCCTGGCGCACAATGAGCTTCTTGGCGGCTTTGAGCCGCTTACAGGCCTCCTCGTAGTCCTTGCGGATCTTCTCGTTGTCCTTGATAGCTTTCTCGCTGAGATCCCGAAGCTGCTCGAACATGGCCTGCGAGATGTCGGGGCTGGGGCTGTGCATTTTCCTGGGGGGTGGTGCTGGAGCCTCTGCCTTCTGTTTGCGCAAAGCCTCGAGCTGGCGGAGCGTCAACTCCTGCTCGACGGCGGCCCGGTGCGCATCCTCGTCGGCTCGCACACTGAGGAGCTGATATTGGAGCTTATGATGGGCCGCTTCCGTCTTCAAGCGCGTGTGTTCTGCGATGCAAGATTGAAGCATGGCCCGAAGGGCATCCGGCGACGCGGCGACGACCGCTTCCGGCCTCGGTGCAGTGAAGAGCCCTGAAGGTGTGGCTTCGTGACGAACTGTGTTCAGCCCAGTGACGGGAGGCGACAGCATCCTTTGCCTCTGGGAGCTCTGTGGTGCCCTGCTGCCGGCACCGTTGGTCGGGACCTGCGAGGATGGTGGTGGGGTCAAGGAGGATGGTATGACGGAGGCAGAAGCTCTGTCTTGGTTCGGGTCGGACTTGAAGGAGTGGTTGGGCTCGGCAGGCGACGCGGGCCCCTCGGTGGATGGGAGGCTTGCAAGACTCTGCTGTGATGCGTTGACGGCCGGTCCATCTGGTGGGGCATCGTTCTCGACCGTCACGACGGGCTGTGCGACAGCCGCGTCTGAAGAAGACATCATGGGTGAATCGGATGGCGCTCGATCGGGGATGATCGCGGGGCCTGGTTGAAGCAAATCGGAGGGTTATAAAGCTTGTTCTGCCGGCAGGAAACGAGTGCGACCGCGCGACAACAAGACAAGCAATCGAGCTTCAGGCCCCAGCGACGATGGCGATTCGAGCGTGTGTGGAGGGTAGAGGGGAGGGTGAAATGCGTCAGCTGTATCCTTTCCCTACGGTCGCATGGCGGAGAGGACGGTCGCCGTGTGACAGGAGCTGATTTTGGGCGGCGGAGCGATGGTGGTGCTGCTGGTGTGGTGGTGTGGAAGCGTGGTAAGGAAGAGGGGGTGGGAAGACGGTGAAAGCGAATGAGTGCACGAGAGCCTGGATGCCGTGCAGCAGCCCGCCAGCGCAGGGCCAGCGCGGGACCAGCGTGTACCAGCGCACACCAGTGAACACCAGCGCACGGCAGCCAGTGTTTGAAGGATGGTTGGTCCTGCCTCGCGCAACAAATCAGAGGGGCTGGTCTGGGATTGGCTGTCAACACGGCACTAGCTGCTTTCGTGTCCGTGCCCGCGCCCCACCCATCCCGGCATCCTTGTACCCTCGTACCCTAGCAACCACGTACCGACCGAACCAAGCGAGCAAGCGAACATGTGCATTGAAGCTCACTTACTCCGTACTTCACTTCACCGCATTCAGCTTGACCCACGGACCTCCAGCTCATCACCTCACCCCCGCCCCATCTGTCTCTCCCGTTCCTGCGTGAGGGTTCAGTTAGTTGGTTCCTGAACGGTTTCACAAGCGGCTCGAGGATAAGACTGCAGATCATATCGTGGCTCGATGTAACTTATTGATGACATCTGGAGACTGGTGTCGTCTTCCCGTCTTGGCTTTCGACCCGCATTGATGCGTGCTTACTACAACGACTGACGTTGCTGGAACAAGGTGCATATTCGGGTCCAGAGTCGAGCAATGCTCGCGACGTGCTTTGAACGCACGTGCCGGGTCATACCCGAGAGGATGCATGGAGATGAGTCGAGACGAACAGGCCTGGGCAAACGGTGTCCCTCTCACATCACATGATCTCAAGAAACAGACCGCATGCAGTCTCTGAGCCACGCAGAGCAACCTTATAAGTATTAAATCTTACATTAGCAACGTAATGGCTTCCCAATCTTATCTACATGGCCAACATGAGCCCAAGCACCCCAGAGAGCCCGGCAAGAACGAGGTTCTGCCCTGGCCCAGCCACAGCGCCGTTGGTCGCAGCGGAGCTCGAAGCCGAGGTGGAGGAGGATGACGAGGAGGCCGAAGTCCTAGTTGCGGACGAAGAACCTGTCTCTGAGGGACCAGATGCGGCAGACCCAGTCGGCTCAGCCGTGCCAGAGGTGGCAGAAGAGCCTGTACCAGTGGCGCTGGCAACAGCCTGGATTTTCTCCAGGCCGGCCGTGATCGTCACCTCCTGCTGGCTCATCCAGAGGTCGCTGGAGGCCACCTCACCAGTCGTGGTCATGGGATCGTTGGCCGAGGGGCCAGCAACCGACTGGACGCAGTTTGCTGTCCCAGACGTGATCTTGCAGTCGGTGTCCATCGTGCTTTTGATGGTCAGCCATTGTGTTCATATGCCCATGACGTGCCCGGATGATGGGTGATCAGTTTTGCTGTTGCCGCACTTACATAGCATCACTCTCGGTGAGGTGAACACCCACGGTCGAGGGGCCATTAACGAAGGTGGCGCCAGGTCCGAATCCGCACTGCACGCTTCCGCGTTAGAGCCAGGATACACAAAAGTGTCAAGGGCAGTTTACTTACGTCGCTGTCGTCTGTGCCAGGTGCGCAGGTCACGAGATACGTCGTCGCTTCCGGCGCGGCAGAGATGACGGAGGCGACAATGTTCTCGCCCTCGAAGCCGTAGAGATTCAGGCTGGTGACGGTGGTTGACTGCGCCCTCGCCCCCGCCACGAGAGCGGCGGCCAGGACAACTGCGTGGGAATACATAATCGTCTCCTTGTATTCGACTCGTTTTATTCGATCTGTTTCGACCTAAATGTGCACGTGGATCACGCTCGGGAAAGTCGTAGGTCGGAATAGGTCAAGGCGATGGATTTAGTAACGAGTGACGGGCGCCCTTGATGAGAGAGAAAACAAAAGAGGCGGACAAAGGAGGACGACTGAGAATTTTATCCCGTTGCTTACAGTCTAGAAGTTCACCCCCTGAGGTCTGCGTCTAGCGGCCTTCAGCCACCCCGCCAATCGTGCACTGCCGTCGGTTAGGGGATTGGTGTCTACCTTCAGCTGAGGCTCCTTCTGGCCTAGCTTCCTGGTCTTGGCAAGGGCTTCCCCGGCTTTGAAACTGCTTTAAATTGATCGTGACATAGAGCGAATCCTACGAGTTTATCGTGCAGTTCGGAGTGGGCCAACTTATGCTGAGCGTGGAAAGAAAGAAATACATAACTTGAAGTGCAGAATATTCAACTCAAGCAACGACCTCTCTCATGTCGTCACATAAAGAAATCTGATGATCAGATGTTCATCAACCCAATCTAGACGAATAAAGTCTTGATGTTCCCTATTACGATATTATAGTCTGGCAGATGTTTACCTGACTGGTTTTGTTAATATTCCGTATGCATCTGAAGACGTACATGGTGCCTTCACACAGTGGTAAACGATCAAGCCCCAGCGTTTGAAAAAAAAAAGAAAAAACCAATGCCAATAAAAGTGTGGAGAGAGTACGATAAGTGGACACACAGAGCTGCCAGTACAAACCGAGCATTGGGAGGATACCTCAGGCCAATTATCACAGCCAGTTCTGTGTGCTTTCCTCCTGAGGAGCTAACCGCTCAGAAAAGGTAACACCGTATGGAGGCGCCATGTATGTCCTCGGACGTATGCGGAATAGAAGCAAAACGAGCAGATATATTAATTGGAAAATAATATAGATCTCACTAACATCCATATTGTAATTACTTGGCGTCCGAGACAGCGCGATGACAACTGTAACAGTCTTGCTCGTGAATGAAATTCCGTACCGGACGCATATTGGTCAAATCTGAGTAGTCCACCCGCTTTTTATTGAGTCTACCAACAATGCTATACGATCTCAATAGTGTAAGCCCCAACCCCGTCAAAGTCTCGATAGAAACGGGACTCGATATCACCTGCTCGAAACAGGCGTTCCTTCAAGTTCTTGAAACTCCGGAATCTCAGTCGCCAGAACCAACTATCAGCACGCCATGATCGGAGCAATTGCGAGGGGGCCACCGCAAAGCAACCGACCCTTTTGTACTGCCCCTTTTGCCCAGTATGAGATAGGATGAGGCCAAAGTCAGTGTTGAGACCCCCTGGAGCCCCCCAAGGATACGCTACGTCTGCACTGGCTAATTTGACGCAAAATACATCGGGATCCGCAGCTAAGTCGAGGCTGCTATCGATGTATATATCACAAGGATATCCTGTTTGCATACCTTGGCCGATGAAGAGTAGAACGTCGTTCTCAAAGTAGAATGGTGCCCATTCTCTTGCCCTTCTGCCAAATACACCTCCTGATGTCATGTAGAAGGACCGTGACAGTGGCCCTGTCAGATTCCGCCGTATTGCTGTGGCTACTTTTGCTTTGATCATAGGTGCCTTGATGACCAACTTCCCGGATTCAGGTGTATCTTGTGTGAAGGGAGTGATTCCCGGGGCGACATCGATATCCAGCACATCAGCGCATATTTCTGGCTCCGTTAGAAATGTGAATAGCATGGAATAGCTGACAGGATTCAGATGAGAGGACCATGACCATGAAGGTCCTAGTCGCGGCGAAACAAGTGGTTGATGGTCCTCCGAGGCGTCTTCGGGTCCTAGGTCCTCCCAGAGGAGTAGAAGAGGAAGATGTGGGCGCCACAGACCAAGAAAGTAGTTTCTCTCTGTCGTATGGTCAGAGAGCTGTTTGGCTACACCGCTGATGGCCACCAATCTATCACGTGGGAATGTCAGACGCCCCTTGCTGTAATTTTCCACGATAGTTCCCCAAACCTCTAGAAATCCTGGGCCATCTATGGCAGCTCCCCAGGACTTCAGCAAAGCATACTGATCCTTGATTCTTCCAGAATCCGATACCTCTATACCGTCGGGCAGTCTGCTCGGGTGCTCGAAGCTCTTCTCCCTAAGACCAGGATCGAAAGGGCCTCCAAGAGGATATATCTCGGACGCGCAGAGCTCACCACATTCCCAGAACAGCTGATCCTCGGCGAAATAAACCGTTCGGGCTGAAAGTAATCGTTCCTGGAATGTCCACGCCCGGCTAGACAGTGGAGAATTTCGGATGGCAGCGATCCATGGATCCTCCGGGACACAGCATAACGATCCCTCGAAAAATCCCGGCCATTTTATTTTCAAATCAAAAGGATTGATGGAGAACGGATTTCTCTCCCGGAATAAACCGCCGTGTACATCAACAGACGCGACAGCAGCGAGGTTGATATATGCCTGTGAATAAACTTGGGACATCTTCATCGATTCGATTCTCCAGTCCTCTTCCGAGTCCTGGATGATACAAAGTGCATCTATCCAGATAAGATTCAGCCCCAAGCGGCTGGTTGCTGCGATCGCATCCTGGAACGTTTTGGGTAGGGCGGTCACGCCGAACCCCTTGTTCATGTCCCCAATGCTGGCTTGCAGAAGACGTTTGAAAGTTACCGGTGGGGGACCCCAGCAGTAGCTTAAAGTTGTGTATCGACTGTCAGGGGCCAAGAGACGTTCTGTGGTGTTGATGATTTGTACAGACTGTGGATTGATCTGAACGAGCCGGGTTGGGAGCCAGCCTTGCGCCTCTGGCATTGAGGTCTTCATAAGGGGCCGGCAAAGGTGATGCTTCTCCTCACACATACTTATCCACTTTTCAAGAGTAGCAAACGCAGCCTCTGAGGATGTGGTAGTTGAGTCCTGGTCCAGCTCACGCATGTTAGAAATCCTCGAATCTGAAAAGAGCATATGTCAGCATCGATCGTGGGATGTCATTGTGCTACCGAGGTAGAGGAAAACTCAAGGGAATAGCTAAGGGCATACCAGTGCACTTGAACAGTCTCAGTCGACTAGACGAAAAGTCATGTGTGATCCAGCTAAGTTTTCCTGTCTGAATTTCGATGCCGTGGTAGCTATATTTCTCTCCGTCCCCTTCATCGCGCGTCCTTTCGAAGACGTTGAGATAGATCTCCTGCGTTTGTTTACCAGATCGAGACGTTGGGTCCTTCTCCCTTACTCGATTGTCTCTGGATCGCATTCTGATCAGGAGCGAGCAGAAATGGCAGTCGTTCGCCAAGCTTGCTGCCAGGACCAGGTCTGTTGACCATAGGAGTTGATGAAGGCGATGGCCCTGTGGTAATGGTATGTAGGCTCTCGGTGAGTATGGTACATCAGTCTCCACTTGTTCATTCGTGTTGAAGAGCTGCGAGCAATCACTGCAGAGGACGGCTTCCCGATCCGGCATGATGAAGTACTCAGACCTGCTCTATGCACTCAAGGGCTTGATTGGAAAGGAAGTTTGTGAATTATGTGACACGAATCAACGAATCGACGGTTTCTCAGTAAGCTCGGTTAAAAGTAACCAACGTGTGAGGAGATCTCGATTGCTTACCTACCATCATGTGCCCCACCTGCAATGCAACACCCTAATCCTGCCGCCCTGGGGTTTTGAGGACGGAGTCTGCTATCGCCGCAGCAGGCCATCGGTGGCCTTTTGTAGCCTGCCAGTGAAGCTTCTGAGGAAGTCCTAGTAGACTTATGTAACTTCAACAGCACGAATTAAGGTCACTAATCGTATGTTCTCAAGTCTAAAAAAGTTAGTGTCTATACAATAATGTCCTTTACTGACACTATTTTCGGAAACATAGTTCTAATAAGATTCACTATTTAACGGTTTAATTTTATTATAATTCTAAAAGAGAGAAGAGAAAAAAATGTGTGTAAAGTAAAGTGAAGGTATCATTATAAACTTTATTTATTTACTGCTACTACTCGGCTCTTACGCTGTGTGTACTTATTTACTGTACTCACGACCCTTACCTCTGATATATGACATGAAATAGAAGTGGGTCGGTATCCACTGCTGACACAATGAATGAGCATTTCAATATTTATTAGCCGCATACCCGCACGTCCGTTGGTACCAATGTTCTGATGGCGTTCTAACAGCCGCAGATATGTCCGAATTCGACAGAATCCTTGTTTCGCCAACTGCATGTAAAGCCAGAAAATTGCAGTAACCCCTACGTGCCCGCCAATCTGCTTGGTAAGAAGAGGAAGATCAGTTTGCAGGGGTCTCAAACCCTTCTAGGACTTGCCATCCGGGAGATCTTGAGGAGAAAAGACGCCAACTCATGTTGGCTGCAAGGTCTTTGTGGGATCGTTCCAAGTTGCGCACTTATCTTAGCCAACCAAAAAAAGATTAAGATTTGCGACCCCTGCAGACGGATTCTTCCGAGATGCAGAAAGAGATATATAATGACAGCCAGCCGCGCTCCGGCGCCAGCTACAACAAGCTACCTAGGTACCTAGGTACGAATAACTCCTTGCATAATGAGCAACGCACCTTTTGTCCACCCCGATTACTGGCACCTGCTGGGCGGCCAAACGCCACCAGCAAAGCCACCAGTGACGGACGTGTACGCCATCAGAGAGTCGACGACAAAACACACCAAGATGGCATCCGATGCACTGCCTTTCCCCGCCGGGATGACCACGTCGGTGAGCACAACCACATCGGCCGATGGCAGCAAGCTCAACATCACGCGCTTCGTGCCGCTGTCCGTGCAACAGCGTTCTCAAGACACCGTCCCGGACAGGGCCATCATTTGGGTCTTCGGCGGCGGTCTGGTCGCGGGCAGCGTCGCCATCTCGTTTAACATGATCGCGAGCTTCGCCGAGCGGACCGGCACCCAGGTCTTCGCCCCGGACTATCGCCTGGCACCGGAGCACCCATTCCCGGCGGCTCTTGAAGATGTTTACGCGTCTATCACCTGGCTGCAGGCACACGCCAAGGAGTTCAACGTCGACCCAGCCCGCATCGTTACAGTGGGGCAGAGCGCAGGTGGCGGACTTGCCGCAGCGGCGGCGCTCAAGGCCAAGGATGAGGCTTTGAGCCCGCCCATTGCAGCACAGGTCCTGACATATCCAATGTTGGACGATCGGACCCAGATCGATCCTCAGGATCTGCCATTTCCGTTCTTGGTCTGGACTCCTAACAGTAACAGTCTTGCATGGAAGGCTTATTTGGGTGAAAAGGCCAACGAGGGTGAGGCAGGCTCAGGTAGGCTTTGCACGACCGTTTCCACTGTCTATGTGAGGTTGTCATTGATTCTAATTTTACTCAGTCAACATCCCGTATACGGCAGTTCCGGGCCGGGCTGAGGATTTGCGTGGCCTCCCTCCGACTTTCTTAGGCGTCGGAGACCTAGACCTCTTCCTCGATGAGGTCAAGAGTTTTGCGGCCAGGCTGTCGTCTCAAGGTGTCAAAGTTCAGTCAAAGGTCTACTCTGGAGTGCCGCATGGCTTCGATGCGATTTCTGCCATCTCACTTGGAGCTGAGCTATGGAATGACGAAACGACATTCATCCAGCAATTTTAGGGGGGCCTGTGATCTGCTAGGGTAATTTGCGTCGCCCTGTGACAGGAGCCTGGCATGAAAAGACACGGTAGAATTCCACATCACCGTTACTTCGCCAGGAACTGACTAAATTTCTGTTGGGCATAGACTTTGTCTGCTTTAATTCCTCTTAGAAGTAGAAATAGTAGTAAACTACTGCACAGAAATCAGCCGGTATGCGGGAGTTATTGCATGGATAGCTTCAAGGCTACTCGCTTTGGTACAGTGGTAAACGCTCACGACCTGTCACAGTGTAGGTAGGTAGGTCGAGATTATGAATTTATTGTTGCACGAGAAGAGAATACTAAGAAATACAGCCGCCGACGAAGCCGCGGCGTTTCCATAGACAGGTTGGGTCGTACCTCATCAGTGTGTACCGTGACACGACCTGTTGGTTGTGGGTACATGCTTGCCAATAATCAGGCCGGCAGCGAGTCAAATACTACCTAGGTAGTGCCGAACGCGCCGAATCGAAGTAAAGGTGACCCTCAAAGCAAAGGATCCGCTGATAACTTTCGAGCGTGGTGAGGCGACGTCGAAAATACGGTGGATCGGCCAAGAGAAACCTCACGCGCGACTTCGAAAGACTTGACGACGACGGATTGCCTCTCTATGATATCATGATTCGTGAGTCAGGGCGCCGAGCATGCCAATGCAAATAAAATAACAGTCAGAAGAGAGTTCAGACTCAATAACGACCAGACCTGTAGACAATGGTCTTGGGTAAAGAATCTTGGATCTTGAACACCTGAGCACTATGAAGTCGGAAGATTAAAAAGAACCATTTCATCCATTTTCCCCTATTCTGAGAATGCTGTTCCTGTATATGATATCCATGTCTTGAAACTCCAAACCAAATCCACAGCTGTAAAGCCTCTATCGTCTTATCTATGATTTATAAGCGATCGCATCTCTATAGTCTTAAAACTCGAACGCCATCCCAATCGCAAGTCTTCGTCACTAATTTTCTTCAGCCTTCATCCATGTTCTGATGCACATGTGCAGATTCTGCTAGTCAGGTGTAAGTCTCCCTCCGCGCGCCATCCAAGATGTCATGCTCAAGTTTCAACTCAGCACTATCAAGGACATCTCGAAACACCTAGGCCTCGACGTCTACCAAGGTGGGTAGCGGCCAATCCCAGATCGCTAGGCATCTTTTAGACTGCAACATCGGGCTTGCCGAACTCCTTGATGTACTCTTCGCAGTAGGGGTAGTCGATGTAACCGGGTTCGCGCTTGTCGCCCCTGTACTGGTGGATGTAGAAGGTGCTACGGTCGTACTCGGTGAGGGGAATGCCCTTCTTCACCCTGTAGACCAGATCCGGAGTAGAGATGAAGCGGCGGCCGAAGACAATAATCAGCTGGTCGGCGTAATCCTTGTACTTGTTCTCGACCGCATCGATGGCGAGCTCCGTGCTGTAGCTGCCTGCGATGAGGATGGGCTTCTCGCGGCCCCATGCCTGCAGAGCGAAGTCGAGGCTCTCATCCGCGGGCTCAACGTCAACAACACCGTGCACCCTAGGCTCGACGAGGTGCAGGTAGGCCAGGTCCAGCTCGCTCAGCCGGCCGATGAGGTAGCTGAACTGGGGGATGGGGTCCTCCATGCGCATGCCCTGGAAGGAAGACCAGGGAGACAGGCGGATGCCGACCTTGTCCTTGCCGACAGCAGCGATCACAGCCTTGGCGACCTCGATGGCGAAGCGTGCGCGCTTCTCGATGCTGCCGCCCCAGGCGTCCTCGCGCTTGTTGGAAGTGTCCTGGGTGAACTGGTCGATGAGGTATCCGTGGGCGGCGTGGATCTCGACACCGTCGAAACCGCCCTTCTCGACGGAGAGCTTGGCTGCCCTCGCGTAGTCGGCGATGGTGGCCTGGATGTCCTCCTCGCTCATGGCCCGAGGCGCCCGCTCACCCTCCTTCATGGGGATTGCACTGGCACTGACGAGATCCTTGCTGAAGTCAAAGGTGGGGTCAATTGGTGGGTTGCCAGAGGCCTCGCCTCCTGCGGCGGCACGGCCCAGGTGCCAGAGCTGTGCAAAAATCTTTGAACCCTTGCTGTGGATGGCATCTGTGACCTTCTTCCATCCCTCCTGCTGGGCATCTGTGTAAAGACCAGGAGCATTGATGTAGCCCCGGCCCTGAGGGGAAATAAATGACCCCTCGGAGATGATGAGGGTGCCGGGGACGACACTCCTTTGTGCGTAGTATTGAACGGCGATGTCCTCGGGGACCAGATCGTTGTTGGCCCGGAATCGGGTCAGAGGAGCCATGGCAATTCTGTGCTCTAAGGTGGTCGAGCCAACCTTGATAGGCGTAAACAGCTTGGTGTTCTCGGCCATTTTGAAGAGGGTGTGATGAATGTCAGAATACGAAGGAACTTGTTGGGTATCAGGTGCAGTATGTAAAAGCAGACTAGTTCAAGAGAGATTTATCCTTGAGCAACAGAGAGGAAAGTCGTGAAAAGAGTTTGTTAGCAGTTGACCTTTTATATGTATGGCTTCCATGATTTCTAACTTGTTCTCCACTGCTGTTCCATACTTCGCTAGGGTATTTCTCCTTGCTTAAAAATGCAGACGAGCCGCAAACAGGCCATGGCACGATCGTCCACAAGAATCTGGGTCATTAATGTGGGTACCTAGTCGTCGGGTAGTCCCTGTCTCCGTCGCAACTCGACATTCCGAGCCGCGCCGAGTCAGGCATGACAGCCTCAAGAACGTGACATGACGTTATTCCTCTGCTATTGCGGGTCAAGCTACCTTGGATTCCAATGGATTACAAGTTAAACCTAAGCCTACCGGCGATGCATGCATCACACCTCTGCAGTGGATTGTTGGTTACGTTGAAGGCCTGTAGATCGCTTTGCGGTATCTTGCAGAAGGATCAATAAGCTCCTGCTGCATATACCTCTGAGGCCTCTAAAAAAAATCCAAACCAACACAGCGCTGCATAATACGTAACCAGATAACTTGTAAGTTCGGTTCCATACCGGGAAAATTCATACACCGGGTGGGTCCCTGTGTTCTTCGATCTTGGCCACAGCTGAATAATCTCAGCGGGACTGCAGGGGAAATAATGCGCCCGCCCGCTCGGGTAACAATCTAGAATATTCGCAAGCTCGGCGTTCCCTTGCACTAGAACCCTTCCCTGGCCCCCATAATTATCTCACCTCCAGGGCCGTGCTTTAACGGGCGACTTAACATCGAAATGCTCTCGGGTTGATAAGGGGCGCCCTTAACAGATAGCCCAGTCCTTCTTTGCGTACGAGCTTCGAAGCAGCCAGTGAATGCCGTTGCTTGCTCTAGCAAGTTTTGCTAATCTGCTCTGGTGGAAGATTGAAATCCCCCCAGGCAAGTCTCGCTGAGCAGAGTCACGCAGCGTTTCCGAAGGATGTTGGTATTTAATAGCATTCGAGGCAATCGTGCATCATTGACGTCGGGACAGAGTATTGAGTGGGGTCATAGGAGATAACCACGTCTCATACTGGCCGCGAGCCGTAAATTTCCCGAAACCTTATCTGCCTAAATCCCGCCTGCCTTGCAGTCCGTTACAGAGCGCGTCACTGAAGATGGATGTCTCTACCAGTCCTCCTGTAACATATTTCCCATTGCGTCAGCTCGATTTCAGGTTGATGGGTTTTTTTTCTCTCTGGTTGCAGCTGGAAGCAACCAGCAACTGACTCCCACTGCATGTACCCGCTCGTCACAGTGAGTTGTGCAAAGAAAGTTAGGGGCCTGTGGATGGACCACGGCCTAAGATAACTTTAATACCTAGGTATATCAATACAAAAGAGATCGGAAATTCGCACAGTAAAAAACGAAAGGTACACAGGTACACTTCTAACCCCTACACTACAGCCAATTAGAGCACCCTATTTAACTATACTTAACTACCCACACTACTTATATTAATACTTTTTATCTCCCAACCCTACAGACCTACTATTCCTTCTTTAACTACTAAATAACACTCTCTTACTAACTATCTACTACTTATAATACTAATTAAATCTTTTTATAATTAATTATTTTACTATTAAAAATACTTTTTTATCTATTAAAATTAAATTTACTAATATTATAATAATAATATAAATCTTTAACTATACTTATCTTAAAGTATAATAATAGATAGATTATTATAATTAAAATATTTAAATTACTACTATAAATAATTACTAATTAATACTTTCTAATTCTCCTCCCTTTTTACAACTCTTCTATAATAAATATAATATTTATACTAACTTTAAAACTAAATTAAATATTACTATAAAGTTTATAGAATTTCTAATATTAATTTAAAAGTTAAAATTAAACTAAGTATATTTAAAATATTATTAAAATAATTAACAACCCTTAATTATTATAATAAATAATATTATAATAATAAAGATAAACTATAAATAGAAAGTATTAATCTATATATTAAAGATAATAATAAATAAATAGAAGCTTATAATCTATAAGGGTATATATACTTACTATAACCTTTAAGAAGTAGAGGAAGTCTAGTATAACTAAGTAAAGTTAATAGATTTATAATATAAATTCCTTACTTATATTACTTAAAATCCTTTAATAATAAAGTTAAAAGTTTAAATAAATACTTTAATAATAATATCCTAATATTCTTATAGAATTAAATATAATAAAGGTTTAATTAACTATTTAGAAAAAGAATAATAAGGATTTATACTTTAATATAAACCTCTTTAAATTTATTTAAAAGAAGAGATATTAATATTATTTTATTATTAATAATAAAATAATATTATAAATATCTTCTAATATATAAATAATTAAATAGTATAAATTTAAAAAATTACTTTATATAATATTTATTTATAAACTATATATATTTAATAAATAATAAGAAGATATTATACTTTTAAGGTATTTATATAACTTATATAAGGAAGAATCTACTTTTATTTTAAGGTATTATTAATAGTAAGAAGGAACCTAACTTTTAATAGCTTTTTAAGTAAGTTTATAAGCTCCTTTACTATTACTAAACTAATAACTTAATAATCTATATAACCAACTATAATATTACTTTAATTAATACTATTAAATATAAATTCCTTTAGGTATATTATTAATTTTATATCTTTTATATTAATATAAATATTACTCTATATATTAAAAGAAGTAAAAAAGCTATAAATAATAATAGAAAATAAAGAGGAGGAAGTAAATAAGGAAGTAGATAAGGAAGTAGATAAAGAAGAGAGCCTAAATCTAACCTTACTTAATACATTAAAAAAAATAAAGTTATAATATCTATTTAGATCCTTAATTTAAAGGATATCCTCTATATTTATTAAATTTTATTTAATTTATTAAAGTTTATAAAGTATTTAATTAATTATAAAATTTATAATATAACTTAATAATACCTTTAAAAAATTTAAATTAAAAATAATTATTAACTACCTTTAAACTTAATATATTAATAAAGGAGAGAAGATTATTATTAAATAGGCTATATATAAGACCTATAAGAATCTTAACTTTAATATATAAGTAACCTCCTCTATAAAAGCTATATACTATAAGTTAAAGGTCTTTCTTAATTATAAAATAAGAAATATTCTTTATTTAATTCAAACTATTAATAAGATAATTAATAATAATTTTTATACCTTATATTCTAAAAAGTCTATTAGAAGATAGTAGTATTAAAGAAGTTTAATAAGTAAAAATAACTTAATAAACTTTTACTTTAAGTAATGTAGATAATATTAAAGTATTTTATATTAGTAAAGAATTCTATACTTTTAATAAATTAAAAGAAGATCCTATAAAATAATTACTTACTAATTATATATGTTTACTCTATCTACATTTAATTTAACTTACTCTATATAACCTAAATTATAGAGAAAGAAAAGGTAAAGCTATTACTAATAAGGGAGGATATCTTTAAGTTTTATTAACTTAATTATAATCTTTTAACTATAAATCCTCTCCTTTTTATTCTCTTACCTAAAAAGATTACTACTATAAAGAGATAGCTTTATAATAAGGGTATATTTAGCGCATAAAAAGAAGGAATTCTTATTAATTATAAGTAAGCCATATTAAATAAAAAGACAACCTTAATAACTACTAATCTAAATAATAGGGTAGGTAATAAGATAAGGGTAATTATAACTTTTATATAATAAATTAACTTAATATTTAAGTAAAATAATAAGACCCTTTAATCCCTTAACTAAAAGGACTTTTATAGTAGGAAGAACTAATAAGAAGTAGTCTAATAGAATAAGTAGTTAGAGGTAGAGCTTATAAAGCCAGCCACTTATTAACTTTTCAAATAATAATTTATAACTTTATTAACCTTATTAGTAATAATAACTATAATACTTAAGCTAATAGTTAAAAAGTATTATATAAGTATTTATAAGATAATTAACTAGCTACTATAAGTAGATTTAGCTATAAAGGATTTTATTAATAATAAAAAGGATATTTAAAAGGAGATTTAAGTATTTAAATTAATTAAGAAACACCTAATTAAATAAGGAAAGAAGTAATAAAATATTAGGGAAGAAGAAATAATAGGGGTAAGTTAAAGTAATAATAATAGTATATATATAATAATAAATATATATAATTAATAACTATATATTATAGATTTATATAGTAAATAAATAGTATAATTTAATATTAGTGTACTAGGGGTGTACTTATATCTATATACCTTCCGTTTTTTACTGTGCGAATTTCCGATCTTATACGAAATTAGTAGAAGATTATGGGTAGCAAAGAGTCAAGCCAAGGGACCCCCCCCCAAAAAAAAAAGCAAGGACACTCACAACTTGTTGGGACGAAAGAGTTCAAGACAGTAAATCATGGTTGGCGTGATGATGTTACTTTTGACTTTTCTTTCTCCACCGAAGCCGCCTAGCGAAGGAAGGACTTCTGTCAGGATACCGGGTAGTAGAAGCGAAAGGGCCTTCTGTGAAATTGACCCCCGGGGGCCCCTATTAGGCAACATCCCGATTCCTTAGGATGATAGTCTCCTGCCCTCTTGCCCTCTTGCCCCCTCCCTGCCCTCCCACCAGATACCCTCCCACTAGACACCTTCCTACGAGATACCCTCGTGTAGGGCGACCTCGTATGGAGTGATTCCCTCTCAAACAAGACCTTTTGTGCCCTGCTAGGTCGTCATTATTCCAAGACAAGCGCTAAGTTGCGCTGAGAGTCACCAATTACAAGCCACGCAGCGCATTCAGACCGCCTTTCACGGACCAACATTGCTGTGAGTTTCTAGACCTTACCCATATCAGCCCAGCAAACGAACCTTCCTGCAATGCAAAACGTTTCAGGAATACTCCTTACACAAGCTCTTCTGTTAAATCCAGGCTTTCATCTCCACACACTCACCTAACTTCCATTCATTTGCCACTACTTGATAAGTTTCGGTCGTCTTGACGGCCAGAACTGCTAGCTTATTAGGGAAGTCACCAAAGGTTACAAACGAACTTGCCCCAAACAATCAGCTTCATCTCAAGTTACCTGCCTTGGAATTTCGTCTACCTCTCAACTCAACGGTCCGCGAGCCTGACGATTTTTCAAAGACAGACTTATTCCTCCTTCCAGAAAGTTTGGCATCATTGATCTTATTCCTGCATCATCGGAGCCACACAAGTACATCTCATTGGTCCCTCCTCCCTGAGCATCATTCCCCGCCATGAAAGCGTCATCATGAAGCCCGACCCCGATACTGAGAAGCCAAGGCCTTCGATCGCAAGATCGTCATCTTCAAGGGTTGTTGATGGAGCTTCATCTTCGAAGCCTACAGAAGCTCCAAAGCCATCTGGATTTCTTTGGAAAGACAGTGAAGATCTCACCCAACGAGATCGAGTCGACATCAAACAGCAAGCTGTTCTCGATGGCCTCAGGCTGGGAGAGAAGGTGAGCAGAATCTTGAGAAGCCGAACCGATGGCCAGAATCAAGACGATGGCGCTCAAGGTCTTGAAGATTGGGCGAAGCGATTCGGTGAGCATTCTAAATCCTAATTGGTATCCTGAGGTCTATCGGGTAATAACAGGACTCGCAGACGATGTGAAAGGGCAATACGAGAAACCTCACTCGAAAGTTGGGCTGATTGGCGCAATCGGAGCGGGTAAAACAACTCTTCTCAATGCCCTGCTTGGACAGCAGGATCTATTACCATCCAGCAGCGACAGAGCCGGAACGGCAACTGCGTGCAAAATTGTTTACAACCATGGTGCCGATGGCTACCGAGCGCAAGTCCTTTTTCGCAGCCAAGAAAGCTTTATCAAGGAGCTGGATAAGCTGTTTCGGAACCTGAAGTACAAGAGAGATCTCCGAAAGAGGATGGAGGAGAGCCCAGGCGACAGCGAGCTGCAGGAGATCGAAGGTCAGCTCGACGACATCGAAGCGACCATGTCTGGAACCCTGGAGACAATACTCCTCCTCTTCGGACTCAAAGAAGAGGATTTGAATATCACCTCAACGGAGGAGTTTCTCAACGCTCATCCTTTGTCTGTCTTGGGGACCATGAACGAAATCAACGAGACAGATCGGGAGACTTTCGTCAACAAGGTAAAGCCGTTCATGGAGTCGAAACCTGAGGAGCTCGCCGGTGGATTACTGATGCTATGGCCTCTGATTGAGCATGTGACAATCTTTGTGAAGTCTGACATCCTCAAATACGGCCTCGAGCTTCTTGACTTACCTGGCATAGGCGATGCAGTAGAGGCTCGTTCAAGGGTCGCAGAGAGCTTTTCACAGGAGCTTGACATTACGGCCATGGTCTCATCTACTATTCGTGCCATGGAAGAAAAGGATGTGACCGGCTTCATCAGGAAACGACAAGAGACTGAGATGAAGATGAATGGAAAGTTCGATCGCAACTCACTGTGCGTAATTCTTTCGAAGAGCGAAGACGTGGACCCCAACCAATACCTCCGTAGTAAATGGATCGCGAAAGATTATCCATTTATTCTGGGACACGTCGATCGAGCAAAGGAACTTGATAAACGCATCCGGACATCCGGATCGAACAACGATACCACCGCGAGTAATTCTGCGAGTGAGATTGAGAAAGCCCGAGAAGAGCTGTCGTCCCTCAGAGAATCCCTCAAACAGGCTGCGATCTACATTCGAGGTGGATGTGTTGTGGAGCGTGTTCAGAAAGACTTCCGCGGGCGACATGCAGCCACAAAATCAGTTGAGGACGACCCAGCTCAAGCAGACACTTTGGAAGTATTTGCTACCAGTGCTCGATCGTTTCAGGGCATTCGACACGCTGGGAGCCTGCAAGAGGCAGGGTTTCCGACCGAAAAGCACACAGGGATCCCTCGGCTCAAGCAGTGGCTGTTCGAGGCAACAATGAAGAAGCGAGAGAATCATCTCGATAAAATTCTCAATCAGATGCGGATATTGTTCTCGAATATCCAAGACTGGATCTCTATGGGCGAACACACGGCAGTCTTAGCGGAACCGGAGCAGCGGGATCTCGATGCTATACATGAAAGGCACTGCCGAGTCCGTATCAAGTACCTGTCCCCCGAAAGTGCTTTTGCTAACTTGGAATTCAAACAGGCACTCGTCACCCTGATGAGGGGAGTGGTCAAGATGATGAAACAGATCAAGCCCCTTAAAGCGAAGGCAGCAGCAATCGCTGAGTGTCAGAAGGAGTTTCCGGGAATAATCGACCGATGGCGCTACGTATTTCCCGAAAACCCCAATTCCTTTCGCAAAGCCTTTGGAAATACCCAGACGTGCAATCTGCGGAAGAATGGCGACTATCATCAGAGCAAGGGGAAGTATGCGTGCAAGTACGAGTGGATTGACAATCTGTAAGCGCCGACTTATTCCACATTTCCAACATCCTATCCTTCCAACTCACATGGATCTAGTTCTAGTGTCTTCTTCAACGAGCAGATACTCAGCGATTGGCATCATGCCTTTGCCGTTGCTGTGCCTAACATTGAAGTCGAGATTCAAGAATTACTAGAACATGCCTGGAAGCGGTACATGACAGCCCTCGAAACTTTCTGCGCCAAGCACAACGCCGCGCACCTCAGAAGTACTGAAAAGGTGCAGCAAGTTATCGAAAATGCTGAGCAATACCTGGGAATTCTCGCTCATGCGGTCCTTGAAAACATGCAGAATGGTGCACAGGATGTCCATCCACGTTTTCGGGCAGAGATCCAGAGTCGAATGACACCTGCATTCGAGGAGGCATGCGCTATCAAAGGTGAGCTTTTGTGTGCTTGCGAGATTTCTTACCTGTTCTGACCAGACAATACAGGAGAGGGATGTGTGCGCAAGCGAGACGAAGTGTTGAAGAGGTTCTCTGATGCCCATGCCAAAGACCTGCCTGTCTGGGCCTTCGAGAAGATGGAAACAGCGCTAGAAGATCTGATGAAGCAGACTTACAGCTCGCTGGAAGGTATTGCCGCCGAAGCCGTCTCAAACGTGGCAAAGCAGATGAGGCAGCTTCTCAGGGTTGGAGAATCCTGTTCAACCCCTGCTGCCCAGGCGAATCGGAGAAAGCTAGCAGAAGAAATCAGTCCGCACTTTGCATCGTGGACCGCTTGCTGGCAGCAACCCTCAAGTCACAGAGATGATCATGTGATGAGGGGTGACTTCAGCATCCCATATCCCGACCTCCTCAAAATTAAACAGGGAGAGAAGAGCGATTAGGTCGGGGTCACCGGCTGCGCGGACACCAGGCATGACCACAACTTGTGGTGGGTTTTGGTGATGAACAGGCTTGAGACACCGGTGGGACGAACACTACGATGAGGTTACTGGGATTCATTATTTGGAATGGGGAATTGCGGTGCTTTCACACTAATCGATGAAATGGCTCTAGTAGTCTAGCATCAACAGCTGCTCAGGCAGTTAGATTCGAATGAATTGCATTGCGATGATTTCTTAACCTGCACTCATGTTGCTGGCGCGACATCTAGGTGGTGATTGATATTTTTAACTGTGATGCGCAGACTCGTCAATTACAAAGACTACCCATGTAATTAACCAGCAGCCCGTTGCCTTGTCGGTAGTGGCTTCCAAGGTTCTCATCGGGTTCATGAGGTCTCAATGCTCAGGCTGCTGGCCTACTCGAAGATTTCAAGGGTAAGGCCTTGTTTCTGGAGGCAGAATATGATCACACTAAAGAAAGAACCACGTTGAAGACACCGAATATGTATGGGGATTACAAAGAAAAACGAAACCACTTGAAGACACCGATCTTCTACCCAGCTTCGCTTGGATCTGAGGCCGGTTGAAGCTTCTGCAGTGAGCCTTAGGTATGTCTTTCCATTTGCCGTGTCGAGCGAGCCTTGTACTAACAAGTTCAACAGAAAGTTCTTCACAGGGGAATTAGTCACCTGCACCAGGCCAAAGCTATTGGTGGCTCGGCGACTTGAATTTCCGTGTCTTCGTGCTTCTTGTACAAAGGATCACCGACTCTTGGGAGAGACTGGGCAACAAAGGCTGGAATCGGAACGACGTGAAGACACATCTTCACAAGGCTTACACTAACCCTTCGATTGACGATGCGACTGAGAAAACGCTCGAGATCAAGGGTTAGCCTATGAAGAACGATGCGGTGAAAGGACTAATCCAGACAAGCTTCTCCGGTAATATCAATATCCTGCATTCAATACGTGAGGCTTGGAAAGCCAGCTTCAATAAAAATGGCCACTTCGTGCCGGAAGACCTGTTTCTCCATGAATCAGTCGATTCTTTCAGCTTTCTTGCATCATTGATCCATTGAACCCATCACGAAGGAGAGGAACTATGCCGCTACTTAAGCACAGCCTACTAAAATCCTGTCAAGGGACGAGGCAACCTTCTTCTAGTACTGGCCATTCCCACATGAAGCAGGTCAACTGGTCCCTACTCAGAAAGACAGTGGCTCCATAAACGATACAGGAGTTTACTTCACTCGTGATGGCATGTCAAAAACGGTGCTAGCCAGGAATGAGATCTCCTGGCAGCTGGTGTCTTCAAATCTCCCAAGCCCTGCAGCTACTCGAGCTCTCAGGCATCGGGAACAAAGAGCTGATCAAGAAGCATGGAGCCGACATCGTTGAGCCTCTTCCGGGGCTGGGAGAATCCCCATGAGCACACAATTGCCTGGGTTTCAAGGCTTCAGGGAACGTTGTCACGCTTGACTCTCTTATGAGACAAGAGCCAGAGGCACTACAGCAAGCAAGGCGGGAGTGAGGAGCGACTCAAAGCGGACAGCCTTTCATCGACCCCAACTACCTGTCTCACCCTGTTGAGATCATAGCACACCATATATTACAAGCCAAGAGGATTGCCACGCTGTCGCCTTCAAACAATATGCTGGCCAAGCCGCTGACGCATCGCGACCCTGCCGCGGATTTCACGGACGTAGAATCCGCATAGGCCTATGCCAAGGGAAAACGCGATCTCGACATGGCACTTGGGTGCCACCTTTTCCATGCTACTAAAAAGAGAAGTACGGGGTAGTGGATACAAATCTGAAGGTTTGTGGCGTCGATGATCTGCGGATCGTGGACGCGAGCGCTATTCCGCTCATCAGTACAGCAAACTTGCAGGCTACTGTCTATGCATTTGCAGAGAAGACAGCCGGATATCATTAATAATGACTAGTTCTTGAGGCAGTTTCCCAAAGCTGCAGTGGTCACTTTTGTTTTGGGCTCCCGAGTTCCATCTGGTGACTCGATTTTCTGGGTGTGCTGGGAGAGGAATCGTCCAACTTAAATGGCAGATAGGTGTTGATATATCCTGATTGATCTTGATCTTTGCCCGCAACAGTGTGCTCTGCGCTCTTCAAATTGATGGCACTCTCTTCTTCACAGCCGGGTATCGGCCACGGCAAGACCACCATGACCAGCAGCTTGGTTCCACCATGGCTCCCGGGTCACTGAGTAGCCTTGAACTACACGAACACAAGTACAGTCTTCAAGGCGAGCTTGTGTATGCAGCCAAGAGTATCAATAGTGATCGAGTGCCGGTCGCAGCTGGTACGTTGACCGGCCCGCTAGTAGTTGCGCTTGAGGAACCGGCAAAAGCTCAGACAGACCACTGAGACCAGAACACCAGCGCACGTTTGGTCCAGAGGTTCTGAATCTCGATTTCATTACCTACCTAGGTATCTCTTCCCGATGAAGGGACCTGGCTACCGCGCACTACGCATATCGTCACCAATCAACGATGGAAGCTCACATGCAATCGCTTACACTGAGCAAATCAATATTGCCAGAGCTTCGCCACCGTACCTCGAAGAGCCTCCCGAGGTCACATGCACTTCACATGCAATAGCCCATGATTTACATTTCATGGATGACAGTTGACCTGTCTGTTCCCGAGTAAGCAAGCACGCGGGCTAAGATGTGAGCTCGTATAAATATCATGTCCAAAGACATTAAACAGCATACCGTGCTCACTGATCGCAATTAATCTCTTCCCCTTGCTTCATAATTCCAACACCGCACATCACAACCATCACAATGGAAATAGCTGCTGCTGCCGCACTGTACGGCCTTGCCAGCGCGGCTATAATCCCGGCCCCAGGCCAGAATGAAAAGAACTTTGTTCCTGTTTCAATGTTGGACGACGCAACATATTACCGTCCTGATGTCTACGAGAACCTCGGCACTAGTGCTTTGGGGTCGTCTGGGCCAAGGGTTACTGTTACCGTAACTACGACCGTCACTGCTGTCGCAGTCACAACCACAGAGAAATACCCGACGAAAGGGCCTTTTTGCGAAACTTTGTCTTCCTAGGTGATCGGTTGAGAAAACAAGCAAGGTGAGGCTAGGAGAGTTTACTGCCTTCAATGTTACTCACGATGCAAACAGCTCTACTCAGGTATGCTAGACGGTGGAAAGGGGTGGTTACACAGGAGAAATTCAACACCTGTACCTAAGCGAAGCCTGAAGTGCTGTCCATTGCTTTCTACCATGATGTTCTCACAATATTTTACCTGACACCGAGAAAATACCATAACTCACATCGTAAACCTTGCCACATATTCGCTCGACCTACAATGATCGGGTTTTCCTTACTGCGACGCACGTTGCACGATACAGCCCAGGTATTTGGTGGAATGGTTTGATTATGAACACACCCCGGATGTTTCCTGTTTATGTCTTTGCTACTGGGGCTCAATATGTAGTCAGTCTAAATCCCATGCACTTCTATATCTGGACCGCCGACCACTGCTAATACGACATGACTTTACACCCCTTCTGAACAAGCCGAAGAGCCTGTCTTCGTTTACAAATAGTCGTACGATCCAACAATAACAAAGCGGAATTCACTCGGCGCCGAGGCTGATATCTCTTGAACCCGACCACGAGACCGGTGCTCTTGTCCCTCCTCACGCCACCGCCAACAATCAGCCCCTGGCCCTTCTTTTGCAAAGCCTGTAAGCTGCGGGCAACTTTCTCGTAGCTCCCAAAGAACTGGTGTGCCCTCACATCAGTACCTCCCCTCCTCTTGATCATTCCGTGGCCTAACGTGACGCCCCAGAATGGTATCGCATCACCCGTACCACCACCAAGCTCGATAGCATGCGCGTCTACGTCCGCGTCCCTCTCCAGCAGCACGCTATATATCGCTCCCGTGTACCTGACCTTCCCGCTCGGCGTAATCTGGGCGGGAAACACCCAGCCACGCCCGTCGTCCGCCACGGTTGATGGATTAGCGGCGGGCAAGGAGACAGGGTGCCAAGGGGTCACGAGCACGCCCTCGATCCGGACCATGATCTGCCGGCTCACAGGAGTCTCCAGGACGGCGGCGACTTTCCGGGGCCCAGACGGCGTAGCGACCACGTGTCCCTTGCGCAGCGACGAGATCCGCACGTGCTCATCGCTGGCGAGGCGCACAAGCGTCCTCCCCGCGAAGCACGGCGCCCGTGACGAGTTATACGACTTCATCGTGAATCCGGTGAAACTCGACGTGCTCGAGCTGCCGCCGCCTCCGAATGCCCCGCGCGCGGCGGCGCCGATGCGAGCGGCGTAGCCGGAAAGACCGGGGCTTGGGGGCCCGGCGTACCTCGCCGCCCCGCCGAAGGTGCGGGCCAGGTTGCTGGGCTCTGGGGGCGGGAGGTCGTCGAAGGCGGTGCTGAGGGCGTCGCGGCACCTGGTGAAGAGCGGGGACCCCGCGCCGTACTGCAGCGGGCCCGGGTCCTTGAAGCTGTTGCAGGCCTGCCTGACGTGGGCGCCGTGCAGGCTGGGCAGGTAGTGCCGGCCCCAGCGGTAGAGGTACTCGTCCTTGGAGAGTGCGAGGGTGACCTGGCCGTGGGGTTCCGGCCCGGTCAGGTCCAGCATGAGGGCCGCGCACATCGCGTCGTTGGGGAAATGGGCCGCGGGCAGCGAGGCGATGAGGTCGCGGAGCTGTTTCTGCTTGTCCTCCAGGGAATAGAGCCCTGGGTGGGGGCGGTGCTCGCCGAGGGCGTCTATCGGGAACAGCTCGGAGAGAAAGGCGCAGATGCGGGATCGAGAGACGTGGCTTGCTATCTCGGCGTCGGAGAGCGATGTGAAGGATAGGTCCATGAGGTCCCGGCTGACGTGGCTGGTATACTGTGTTTCTGTCATCTTGCTGTATTGAAGAGCGGCGTTGAGGAATGAAGGCTCAATGTCACTGTCGGCCGAGCTGCTCTTCCATGTCAAGTAGATATCCCGAGATTGGCCGTACTGTAGACTTCCTAGTGGTATATTGAGCTCGAAGTTGCCGCCAGGAGCCTGCACAGGGCTTTCTAGGTACACAGCAATTCCCGTTGTCTGCTGTATGGTGACGATGTTGGGGTATGTCAATTTCAGAGTGGCAGAATTGGCGAAAGTAGATTGGAGGTTGGCAACGGCGTGGACAAAGACAGTGCCTATCATGCCCGCATCGGGGATGAAGGCATAGTTGCCCGCTCCAAACTCCGCGATGGATTTCAACAGTCCTGATCTGAGCTTATATCCGAACCCAAAGGTATGGATGGACGGCGCTATGCTGCCCATCGCCTTGAGCGCTGGCACATATCCTTGCGGCGGGCACAGGTGGTTCGGTTCGCCGTCCGTCAAAACCATGATGGCAGGCACGCGGCCTGTCTTCTTTTGATCCTTGAAGAGCCCGATGCCGTCTCGCAAACCGTGCCACAGATTGGTGGAGGTTTCGGGTGTCATGGCCTCAATCTTTGCCTTGGCGGCCTCCTTGTTGGCGTCTGTCATGTCTGTCAGGGGCTGCAGCACCTTGCTTCGATTGGAAAATGTGACGATTGCCAGTCGATCTTCCTTGGTCATAGTAGACATGATTGTGCGGCATGCGTGCTTGACCAGATCCAAAACTGATAGGCCGGTTCTCTCATCCTCGCCGGGAGCCGGGGCATCAACCGCCATACTGCCCGACACGTCGATCACTAAGGCGATGTCGCATGGTACATGTGAGATTTGCTCGTTCTCTGGAACTCTCGGCGGCTGGACGGTGAGAATGACACCGGTTTTGTCGGGCAATGGTTGGATTTTCAGCGCAGCACCACCTTCTGGAGTGGTGTTCGCGGAATCAGACTCCACTTCGGCGTAGGGAGGAGGTGTGTCATCGTCGACGTTCGGTGCCTGCATATTTCTGTTGAAGATAGGTACAAGAACCTGTTGTTCGTTAGTGCCCAACGGCTCACATGCATGTGGTAACTGTTCAGAAAGCCCAACACTCACCATTGTTGTCTGTGGCACTGAATAAAGGTTAAGTTATACACGTTCACGAGGACCCAAACTCCCGGAAAGTCGTGCAGGTTACTTAAGTAGTTGGGGAAGGGAACGGATGTTGGGAACGGACGTCGTCAAAGAAAGACTCATTGTTCATTGTATATGCCTAAGTAGCAATCACACCCACAAAGGTTTGCGGCCGCCATACAGCACTTGAGTCACAGCCACTCACCTGCCCAGGTGACCGGCATTATCCTGTGACAAAAACCAAAATTTGGCCGGCCCGAAGTACAAGACAGTAGGGGGGTGTTGGCCGGGTGTTGGGTGAGGGCCACTTTGAGACCAACTTGGTCTGACTACTGGTTTAGCGGCTAACAATGGTCAAAAGTCCACTCCATTACAAGGAATTTGCTAAATCTACCTTTTTGGACCACTTAGGTTGTTAGCCGGATCTCAGGCATGTACAATCCTTCGGCCCAGTTGTTGCTCGGAAGTGGGTCCAGCATGCACACGGGGCGTTCTGACCTCCCTTTCCAAGGTTATCCAAGCCTCCAAGCTGGCCCAGGGTGTCTGCCTTGCCTGGATCCACGCTGCCTACTGCTAGCCCGTTGTCTAGTAGAATATTTCCCCACGGGACGGCTGGCTTCAAAAGTACAAGCACATGCCCACTACACCTGGAGACATCAACCGTCGCTAATTTCAAAATAAGCACAGTTGGAGGCCGCAGGATTGATCTAGCGGCAGACGCTCACCTCCTTGTGAGGCCGGATCACGGGCCTGCAACAGCCACCGAAACAGATGGCTGTTCGGGCGGCGGCCTCAAATCTTCTTGTCCAGAGCCAGACCGTGGAAACGGAGTCATTACATATGTAGTTGTTGAATGCCAGTGCTACAATGAGGAAAATTGGTTATTGTTACACACGCAAAATAAACTTTTGACAGCTGCAGTGCAACAGAAACACGTGAGGCTCTTCGCCTGCACGCAGGTGGGTCAGGTCCTGACCTTGGTGGGTCCCTTTTAGGTCCGCCTGTGGCGGCGCAGCCGGCGCCCTGCTTGCGCCTCTGATCTAATGTCCACCTGGTGGGCGCTTGGTGATAGCGGCATAGCCACCTTGGCTGCAGGCATCACTTCTTACTCTCCTTGTGCGGGCTCTCTCCGTAAATCAACCAACCACCACACCAATTTCTTTTTTCTACCTGTAGCCGTCAACCACTCTTGTAAGAAAAGCTGATGGTTGCAAACACTGATCAAGTGTCCACTACACCACCACAGTATCTCACCCTTTCATAAGACACCAGTTGACCTCTCACGGGAAACCCTCCGCCCTCCCGGGCCTAGGGTAAACCTGGATAATTATTACATCGGCCATTCGCGCCGGTGCGGCTGCCATCTGATTCGATATGCAGGAGACCGATTTTCAACTGACGAGGCGGGCTTTTCAATGATCTCTTAGATCTTGGTTCCTCTACTATTTGATCATTGGAAACATCTCCCAAAGAACCCTGGGACGATATAGCACAAGGAAACCTTTTTATTTAACAACAGTACTTCCATTGAATTTCGCAACATGGATCCATTCGCCGCCGACTTGAGTTCTGGGAATCAAAGCTCTAAACTGGCCCTGCCGCCCCAGAAGCTAGACTGATTTGGTCTTCCTGAACCGCAGCGCCTGTGAGCGATCGAGCCCTCTGCAGCTCATCATTCAACGAAGCTGAGGACCTTGGTGACACTGACTGGTAGAGACATTGACCGGCTCTTAGAGAAATCTTTTGTTCTCCTGCCAACATATCTGGAGCTGCCTTGGAACTGCAGTTTGCACTCATCATAACGACATGGAGGGAAACCTCATCTTTATGCCCCGTGTTCGAGGGCCCTACTAGCTTCCGAAGAAAATCAATTATTACTACCAAGCCTATCAATCTACCCCAGAGTTCAGTACCGAATGCCGGAACGTCGTCAATGACGCAATAGATAGTTGTTCCTGGAGGCATTGTTGAGACGAGATCATGGAACGTGCGAGTCATCGCAGTCAAAGCTAACTCGGTGTTTGATGATTTCATAACCGACAACGATGGCATGGGATTGATACGCGGGGGCCGTTCTCTGGGCCATGCCAGTAACAGCTGGCCTAGGAGGCTCCGAATGAGCCCGGCTTGGCCTTCGAGGTCACTCTGCTTGTCGCGATGCAGACCATGAAAAAAGTATAGCATAAACTCCGTTCATCTTGTTTCATGGGTTTTTTTCGATCGCTCCAGGAGACTTCGAACAAGTATCGCACAGAAGACGGACATTGGGGATGTTGAGCCGCTTATCTCACTCCCGACATATGCGTTCACTAGGAGAATATCAGAACGAGAGTCAACCAGCTATTTCCGGTCTCTCTCGATGTTGACAGGATATTCAGGCTGTGCTAGAGCTCTGTCACTGAAGTCATGGTGCTATTTCGGTGTGTTGTAGAGAACTGGCCATGGGATACCACTTCATCATCGTTAAATAGTATGGTGAGATTTCCGTCGATATCTATCCAGTGCCCAGGTGCTTGACTCACTCCTTGATCATCGCAATCTGAACTCGATGGAAGCCCACGAGCACAATTCTCATAAATGGCTGCGTAAATCTCAAGAACCATTCGAAACGCTCTCAGTGCCTGAGGAAGTAACGACCATCAAAAGTTTCTCTGCCTCTCGGGAGTTCTGCCATTATTGTCTGTTGTGAATTCAACAGTGCCAGTCGTTTTTCCTGAATAGATGTCGTAAATACCGACTTAACCTGTTCCATAATGGTGTCGATCTTACTCTTCACGGTGCTGATACCCGATTTGATCTCATGGCGGTGCTGGTGCTGATTCCGTCGAAGTACTCCTATCCCGACCCGTGTTTCATTGGCTAGCCTGGAGTCATTGGGAGCAGTTCAAGGTTCGCTTCTCGTCAGCTGTGTCACCATCAGCAATCGATGTGCTGCTAGCCGGCAAGGCCTCAGAGCTGAAATGGAGGATGAGCAGTTGAGGCGCGTGTTGCTCAAGGGAAAACAAGAGCTCACCCAGGCCCCAAGAAAATTTTAAATGTAGCCGCAATATGAAAAATGCGATTCCGAGCGCATGGAACGCGTCAGGACCAATTCAATCATCACCCTTGCCTTCTTATCAAAGCACTTGAGGTCACTGGGATAAATTCGTGGTCCAACGCGCCGTACAATCCCCAGACTTTATTGAGGTCGTTCAAAATTCTCCAGAAGCAGATGGAACAAGAGTTCTCATGGCTGGCATCCAGGCTCGTCTAGGAGAGTAGCAGCGTCTACAATTAAGTTCAGGTGAGCCTTAGAACTGACAAACGCCGGCCGACCCCTGCCCCCCAGGTTCACGTGTGCCCCCATTCACTGCAGCACTGAGCATCAGACGAGTGACTTGTCGACAATATGACGCAAGGTGCCACGGACCCAAAGACATATGCCTAGCCAACGACCCATAATCCAAAAGACTGGAAGGTAGCTCAGCTGGTAAGAGCGCTTGCATACATCTCCCCATGGGTCGAAAACATCCGGGCACTCATGGGTCGAGTGGGAGTCGAGTTCCTATGCAGTGGTCCTGTGTTCAAATCACAGCCTTCCTATCAAATACCTTTTTGCTTTTTGGTCATCTCTTGGTGACTACTGTCGCCTTCAGCGTTTATTGACGCTAGCTAGCTAGTACAGTGCTCATCTTGAATCTCTTTGCTTTTCAGTATTGCTTGGGTGCAAGTGGGAACTAAAACCCCCCTCACCTTACCCACACCACACACAGCCTGAACCAAACGCGGCAAACTTGAGAGTGGCCACTACACCCAACCAAGTATGGGCCTTTGTAAAGTTGAAAAAGGACCAGAATGCACTCTATGAACAGGGGATATCACACCCCCTTACATGCCGCCTCTTCCTGTTGACTGGTGCTCGCCGTCCACTGCCACAGCCAACCTTGGAACACGGTATCATTCAACACGCCGCGTATCAGAGGCAGCGGCCTTCCTGGCTATCAAGTTTATAATAAATCGGAGGGTAGCTCAGCTGGTAAGAGCGTCCTGCGTGACTATGTGGGAAGAACATGGGTTCTTCCCATATTCTTCCCCTATTGTCGCGCAGGGAGGTCCTGCGTTCAAATCGCAGCCCTCCTAGTATTCATTTCCTTTTTCTTTTTGACCAGCAAACGTCTTCGAGCTCGTTTTTATTTACTCCAGAACCACTGTGGACACACCTATCTTAAATTTGGCCTTTTTTCTAGTGGCATGTTGCGACGTGGGAAACCCCCACCTCACTCACAGCCTGAGCTCTTCTTGAGAGCTCTAGAGGGCACAGTTACCACATACAGGGCTTGCGATGTTTCTCACATTGAGGGCCTACCCTCAGCAGACAACCAGACAACTTATTAGAAACGATGCACTTGACTCATGTGCTTTTAGACACGCTACCTACTGAGTTCGTCATTTCCACCCTCAAGGTTGTATGGAATCTCAATTTCTGCCTATGGCTTTTCAATCGCTGTCAAGTATCGTCATTTTTCACCGTTTTGATTCATAAGAAATTGTCCAACATAATCACCACTCATCAGTCACGTGGAAACTTGCAACGACTGAGACAGGCACAAAGGCCCCAACAATATTTGAGCAAGCCCCTTGGGGACGGGGAGATCAAATTGAGCGTTGGAAGTTGACAATACAATTGATATTCTACTCTTCTCATACCAAACATAGTCTTAGAAGCCTCGTACAAACTACACAACCAAGTCTCGACTCAAGAGTTTGGGCCAAACGCGGCCAGCCGCCGCTCGCAGACAGGGCAGCTCAGCTTCCCCTCGTCGTCGTCAGACAAGTGGATAAATGCCTGCCCGCACGGGCAGAGTTGTATTATTTCATGAGTTTCGGTTGGCTGAACCATGATAGCAATTAGTTTCGTTAGTTACTAAGCTTAAGCGGCCTGGACAAATCTAATGGCAGCAGGCACAACTGTGTCGATTTATATCAATGGTTCTTGCTTTGGATTA